TCTGTGTGGCCAATAATTGGAGACCTCCAATTATCTCCAATTAACTTGTTCAACAAAAACACTTCAAACAGCACCCAGAAGCCCAACAAATTAAAGCAATGAATGATAATATAATTAAGGACTACTTAATGAGCTCAACAAACAGCCTGCAGGAGACTCCCCACACAAGGTAAGGATCTCGTACATACAGGGTCAACGAGAACCTCCAAACTGAGCCACTCCAACACCTGCTTCGGGGGAGAACAACACCTGCCCCCTACAACACGTGCTTCAGAGACAAGAAGCAGAGAGACTCTTCAACATCTGCCTTGGAAAGAAAAACAACTGTGCCCCGTGAGAACAAACCGAGACCCCTACAACCTCGGAGAGAGCACTACCTACATCCAGTTAAACACCTGCCTCTTCAACACCTGCCTCTTCAACACCTGCCTCAGTACAGGACTCACGACAAAGCCTCATGGGAAGCGAAGCGTCGAGTCAACAGGTAAAGAAAGACCCGACCTTGAAGGGTGTTTACCTCTACATACCTGCCAGCACTTCCTGCTCCTCGGGCCCCCAGGTGTATTGGCTCACTGCCAGGTGTCTAGATTCACTGCCAGGTGTCTAAATTCATTTCCAGGTGTCTAGATTCACTGCCAGGTGTCTAGATTCACTGCCAGGTGTCTAGATTCACTGCCAGGTGTCTAGATTCACTGCCAGGTGTCTTGATTTACTGCCAGGTGTATTAATTCACTGTCAAGTGTTATAATTAAGGTGTCTAATCATGGCTGCCCAATGTGTTCATCAACACTAAGCTCGCGAAAGAAGGCACAATTCCGCCTGACTTGTCAACAGCTGAAGACAAGGTTACAAGGGTGGCACCGCTGTAGCTCATGTCTTGGCACCGCTGTAGTTCATGTTGTAAACGAGTCACTGTAGCAGTAGTCAAGTGCCAGTACACACACTCTGCCTCTCCACTAGTAGTTCGCGTTTGGAATGATATCGTATGTTATCTTAGCGCGCGTTATCGTAACAAATGCTACAGATGTTGATGGGAGAGTTGCTTGGTCTTAATTAAGGACCAACAATCATCGGAGGGTAATTAAGGCCGCAACAATATCAACCACTAAGTATACTCGAAATATATAGATATATTAAATAGTATTATTTAATAAGATGCTGAACTGAGAGACCCCCCTCCAAGTGAGAGAGACCCCCCCTAAGTGAGAGAGACCACTCCCCAAGTGAGAGAGACCTCCAAGTGAGAGAGATCGCCAAGTGAGAGAGATCGCCAAGTGAGAGACCATACTACAAGATGGACTTAAGATGCTAAGGAACGGACAAAAGGAATGATGCGAAACGCAGTCTCTAACATTACATGATTTTATGGCGAATTCCATAAACTGTATTTTAATATGTCTGTATTTTGTATGTCTGTATAGGTAAGGAAATGGAACTGGACTGAACTCGTGTCCGTGGACTCCCAAGACAAGCACACACACACTTCCTACTTATCCACAATGAGCTAAAAGTATCTCAACCCAAAGGTTATACATCTAATCTATTCTAGACTAGTTCAGACTATGCACACAATTCAAATACATAATATTAATTACATTTAGGAAAATGCCAATTTTCAAGTCTTTGGGATCGGCGGCAGCTTGGATGAGTATAGGCAGCAGACGAGGAGTCACAATAACGTGGCTGAAATATGTTGACCAAACCACACACTGGAAAGTGAAGGGACGACGACGATTCGGTCCGTCCTGCCAGGGGGGCCAGATTCACGAAAGCACTTACGCAAACACTTACGAAGGTGTACATCTTTTCTCAATCTTTGGCGGCTTTGTTTCCAATTATTAAACAGTTAATGAGCTCCGAAGCACCAGGAGGCTGTTTATAACAATAACAACAGTTGAATTGGAAGTTTTCATGCTTGTAAACTGTTTAATAAATGTAACCAAAGCCGTCAAAGATTGAAGAAAGAGGTACACGTTCGTAAGTGCTTTCGTGAATCTAGCCCGACCATTCTCAGGTCGGTTGTGAGTATAGGTTATGAGGTGAGTATTGCGTGAAGTCTTTCATTTATCCATGGGATTGTGATGATGGCGGCTGGATTAATGAGCATTTGACTATTGCTAACAGTTGCAAAATTTTGATTCGCCGCGATGATATCAGATATTACGTCACTACCAATAAAGTGGCGTACCTTCAAATGATAATTCAGCTAATGTATATCTATAAATTATCTACTTTTTTTTTAGCCTAATATGTAATCCTCTTAGTCACTCTAGTGTATGACCGTGTCACACACACACACAACATATATTGCGAACTAATTCTCCACACAAGTTAAATTACCAGATATCTGTCGCCTTGTAATCGAGCTGTGGAAACGTCTATGCCAGTCACGACATTATCAGACAAAAGATATCCATTACTACAGAGAGAATTGTTTCTGTTCGTTTAATTTCTGTTAACATTGTTCTGCTCACTTCAAATTATTCCGGCTTATTATCTTCACATGGCATCTTAAGGCGTCTCTCTAGAAGACCTTCAGGAGAGGGAATTCTCATCAGTTGATTAAATAGTTTATGATATATGAGGCTATTGGCTGCCTTTTACTGGATTCTAAGGCAAGGTGGTTACATTCTAAGGTATTCTTGGCTAGTAATGAGGATAAGGAGGCGAAGATTATCAAGCTATGTCCAACAGTGTTGCTGTTATAGTTGCGAACGGTTTAACTTGAATTGTTTACAGTTGTTTCATTGCATGGATGTCCACCTGTTGACTCTTGGCTTGCCAGACTCCTGGTTAATGTTTCTAAGTTTGCTCCGCTCATGGTAAGCTGGACATTCTTTGTCATAATTATGCTGAAGCTCTGACCAGAAGGCCAACGCTGGATCCTCAAGGTTATTTAGTCTCCAATCTTCCGTTTTCTGTTCCTCCCCGTTCTTTTACCTCATCCCACTTTCCACTATAATATTACATGTTCCAATCTCTCTCTCTCTCTTTGCCCTTTATCAAATCCTCCTTCGATTGTCCTCAGTTCCCTTCCAGGGTTCCTACCTTCTCTCCCCTACCCAACACATGCGTGGTCTCCCCGTGTTCCAACTACCTTCCTCACCTCCCTCAGCTGCTGTGTTCACCCTGGGAGGCGTCGTAGCCTCGTCCTCCTCCTCCGTCAGCGCCTGCGGGAGTCGGGTGCCCGGCCTCGTCCACACCAGGTAAACAAAATAGCAGTTTAACCCTCGTTGGCGCATGCGTGACCAGGGGCCAGATTCACGAAGCAGTTACGCGAGTACTTACGAACGTGTACATCTTTCCTTAATCTTTGACGGCTTTGGTTACATTTATTAAACAGTTTACGAGCATGAAATCTTCCCATTCATCTGTTGTTATTGTTATTAACAAGCTACTGGTGCTTCGGAGCTCATTAACTATTTAATATTTGTTAAACAAAGCTGCCAAAGATTGAGAAAAGAGATACAGGTTCGTAAGTGCTTTCGTGAATCTGGCCCCTGAACTCTCCGGACGATGTGTTACCTTTGATTTGCTTGTTGTTATTGCTTATCTTTACTTGATTATTTTTAATGAGTTGTTGATTCGTATATTTGCTTCAGCTACACAGTGTGTAGCAGAGGACAGTGTTGCTTATTCCCACCTGTGTTTGCTCACCTGTCGCCTCTGTGTGCTGCCCACACAGGTGAGTACGTGCCCGCGCACGTACCTCAAGGTTACGTGCCCGCGCACGCACGTACGTCTGTACCAGAGGAGAGGAAAAACACATTATTCAATATGGTATCTTGAGGTTATCTTGAGATGATTTCGGGGCTTTTTAGTGTCCCCGCGGCCCGGTCCTCGACCAGGCCTCCACCCCCAGGAAGCAGCCTGTGACAACTGACTAATACCCAGGTACCTATTTTACTGCTAGGTAACAGGGGCATAGGGTGAAAGAAACTCTGCCCATTGTTTCTCGCCGGCGCCTGGGATCGAACCCAGGACCACAGGATCACAAGCCCAGCGTGCTGTCCGCTCGGCCGACCGGCTCCCTTTAACATACATTTTGTGTGTGTGTTTACTATTTGTGTCTGCAGAATCGAGCTTCTATAGCTCCTGGACCCCGCCTTTCTAACTGTCGATTGTTTTATATTCTGACTCCAGACCTATTTTCCTCTTGCAGATTTACTACATATATTTCTCTCTCTCACACACACACATTCCCAGGATGCAGCTCGTAGCAGTTGTTTAGCACCCCAGGAACCTATTTAATTCTAGGTGAACAAAGACATCAGGTCAAAGAAACTGGCCATTTGTTTCTGCCTCAACCGGGAATTGAACCCGGGCTCTTATGTCGACGACCCCAGAACGCTGTCCGCTTGGACCTGTGCAGGTAAGAGTCACTGACTAATCACAGAGCTGTGCACTGAATGACAATACAACAATAACAATGAGAGGTTGAAGTGGGGCAGCCCGCATCTCTTATACCATGACGCACTCAACATCTCTGTGGGTAGACTGGACACACAGAGCTGTTGTGGGTAGCTGTCCAGCTGCTTCACGCCCGCGACACGCTCGTCCCAATGTTTTTGACCAAGTCGTGGTGCAGTGATGCAAGGCGCTTGTTCGGGAGTACCCAGAGTATAGGTTCGGAATCTTCATGACTCCTATACAGATTTGAGGTAAAATCTCCCACGGAGAACTATGCAAGAGCACTTCCCTCGCTCACACAATGGTCACCGACACACTGCTGGCGTGTGACGGCTCACACTCACTGCTTGCATTTCTCTGGGTGACAATGGTTCGCTCAACTCTGTTGCCGCTGTGTTGTAAGGACCAGCTCGTGGCGTCTGCACTTCTTGGCTGGCGCATTCAATCAACTTAATGCAATATAATCAGTGACCCAATTCTGGCTACACTCTGGTATACTGGATTCAAATGTGGTGGACTTTATGGAAGAGTTTCAAGGAGTCCATGTTGTCCATGTTGACAATTCAACATGGAAAATGAAAGCTTTTGAGGAAGGCAGTAAAAATATTATTAATATTCACTTTTTTAACAAAGGCAATTGAAAAATAACAATTTACAATAATATTTGACCTTATAAGTAGCAATGAGAAATGTAAATGTTAAATTATAAACTTTCGTTCATATTATGATTTTTTTTTTTTTTTTACTTTCAATGAGACTTTTGCAGGTGCACAAGTGATGATATATTTCATATGCTCGTATTTGATTGTTTTGAGCTACGATTGTTTTATTGCTTTGAGTTTTGCTCTTTACTAAGTGTTTTACTAAAGAGTTTTTCGCTTTACTAGAGCCAGTAAAGTAGCAATAGTTTCATCAGCAAGTCTACTCCTATAATCTTGAGAAAGTTCCTCAATAAAAATGATGAATCGCATATTTCAACGAAAATACTGTTGAAACAACCATTACGAGATGTTTGAAACATTAAAGTTTCTGGAATGGAATTCTAAAGTTTCAAAACATTATTTTTACTAATGTCTGCGGTAATTCAGTCATTAACCGATCTCTTTCAACATGTTCTAGTTCAGCTCTTAAATCGATACATTTGTTTGCCTTAAAATTGAACCGCTGTGTAAATGAATTGCATCTCAATATAATCCAAATGAATCTACTGCAACATTTTCAAATTTAGATTGTTTAATGTTGCACTGTCTAGCACTCTTATGACGTTTGCAGTTTCTTCAAATAACCTGAATTTAGGAAATCTTCAGGAAAATTTATCAACAGTTGAATCGACGATGCTCAAAAATTGCATTTATGGGCTCTGAATATCTATATTTTCATGAATTTCAAGATCTGTCACTTTTTTTTTAGGCTTGAGAAACATTTAAAAATGTCATTGTTGATATAACGTTTAAAAGTTTTCCGATTGGTTTCAAAGGCTTTTACGTCATCAACCATAACAAGGTTTTGCCAGAGGCTTGTAATTTGATGTTGAAGTCATTTAAATGTGAGAAATCTGTGAAAAAGTATCATTCAACAAATCCACACAACATCACATAACTCCTGAGAAGAACATTTTCATTCGTCATAAAATGGGCAATTTTCACTCACTCAACAAATCATTTAAGGACGGAAACACTACTAAAGTAACAAGCATTATTGTACACAAGTAGTCCTGTGTACGCCGAATTCACCTCGCTCAGTTAATTCTGGATTTTTTTTCCTTTCTATTTATCAAAGAATGCGCATAAATATAATTAATTATCTTTGTTACAGTTTATCACTTCAAGTTCCTCAAGGCCAGCTTTGGCACACAAGGGGCCCCGTGTGTAAATTACAATGAAAGCCTACCAGTGGATGCCCAACATATTTATCAAACACATTTACAAAGCCTACTTCTGTACCGATCATGCTGGGTGCTGCACCGTCAGTTGTCACAGCAACTATTTTTTTTGTAAGGTCAATCCTGTCAACTGGGGAATTCGTTTACTGCTTTCTTCCCTTTCAGCTCCTGTGGTGTGTTTAGGTAACGTGACCAAGTTGGCAACCCCCGTTACTGGGGGTCCACAGGTGAGAACGTTGTTTCTGGGGTCCACAGGTGAGAACGTTGTTTCTGGGGTCCATAGGTGAGTACGTTGTTTCTGGGGTCCACAGGTAAGACCATGGTTAAAAAGGGGGAACGAGAAACAATCTTAGAAACCACTGGCATAAGCAATACCGGTGAGAGAAATAACTCCATTAGCGAAACACGATCTAAAATCCAACTTATCAATGCTAATTTGCTTATAAATGTATAAATCACCTGAGCAACTCTAACGTAATTCAGTGACTAGAAATTGTAGTTCCCCAACGCCGCGTTGACTCCTACTTGGCTGCGCTGGTGAGAATATTAACTGCCAATTCATTCCGTAAAAAAAAATAATGGATTAGCACTACGGGTAGGTGCTGTGATTATGTTAAATAATGTGAATTAATACCCACCAAATATTAAAGCGATAATTATGAGAGGAGAGGCACGGCCGGGCCTCAGAACCTGGTTATGAGCTCGGTGGGGATTTTAAACTCCGGGGTCATCTGCGCCGCCTCTCTGGCGAAGGAGAGGAAGACCTGCTCCAGGGAGGTGTCCGAGGCGGCATAATCCTCCACCAGGGACGTGGACGCTGAAGCAGCAGCAGCAGGAGTCAGGCTTCCCGAGACGCTAGGGTCGCGCCCCGTCTTCAGCGCCTCCATCACCTTGAAGATCTGGCCCCATGAAATGTTGCTTGGAACTCTGAAGGCCAACATTGTCTGAAAGTTGTTAAGTAGTCGTAGGTTTATATACGTCCATATATATTTATATATATCTGAGGGAGCCGGGTTCGATACCCGGACATAAAAATGGTTCGGCAAGTTTCCTTTCACCGAACCGTAAATAGTTAAAGGAGTTAAGCAACTGTTGTAGGTTGTATCCGTGGTCAGTGATGGACTTTGATACAAAATTAAAGTATATATATATACACAGAATTTCTGTCCACACAACAGAGAATGTTATTAATATTTTTGGTCCGGCTCTCGTATTTCTCCCGTAGTTTACCCCATAATATACACTAAAATTAAAGAAAATGTGACTGAACGAAGGTAAAGAAAATGATATTTATCATCGACTAATATAAAATGGTAGAAATTAACGCCCTTAATATATATAGAGAGACAAGTTTCAACATCATGAAATAGGTCCTTGGCCACAATGATAACAAAACCAGTGCTATGCTTAATTTTTTAGTAGCGAAAGTTGACGTCAATCCGAAGCCTTAATCCCCTTAGGAAATGATCAAATTTCTTTCAGCTTTGACTCCCAAAGCTTGGTCAGCCCAATCCCTCTCTCAATGTGAATGATGATGATAGGCAATATTTGAGGTCAATACTATAGCAGGAATCCTAAGCCTCGAAATCCGTGAATAAATATTCGAAATAAGGCGAAGCGGATATAGGAATTCATATCTTGAAGTGTTAGTAACAAGTTATCTAAGAAAATGATGTATAGGCCTACGATCAGTCCTAGCAGTGAGTATATATAGGGTTTAAGACAGCTTCTCACCTTGTGATGATCAGTAAGATTGGCTCCAGGTAGATGGTACCTGATGATGTCCTTCAGTTCTGCCACCTTGCTTTCATATACAGCCTCGCCATCAACCTGCCTCAGTTCGCTTTGGGAATACGTCCTCAGCTTCACCTGCAGACTGTATCCCTGGCCGAACTTGGCCTTCAGGTGTCCGCTCGTTCCCACACAACGCAGAGTCCCTCGAGACATGATGACTATGCGGCTGCAGAGAGCCTCGCACTCTTCCATGGAGTGGCTGGTGAGGACCACGCTCTGGCCATTGTTGACGGCTTGCCTGACGGCCGTCCACACCTTCCGGCGCGAGGCTGGGTCCACTCCCGAGGTGGGTTCGTCCAAGAACACCAGCGGAGGCGACCCTACGAGCGCCATGGCTGTCGACAGCTTCCTACGGTTACCGCCGGAATATGTGGAGGAGGGCCGCTTGGCGCACTCCGTCAGGCCCACAAGAGATACCAGAGATTGAACGGTGTGTTTCATGCGACCTTCGCTGACTCCTCGTAGTCTACCAACGAGCGTCAGCATTTCTATTCCGGTGAGCTCCCCCAAGACAGCATCAAACTGAGGGCAGTATCCTATCTGCTGCACAAACTGTAACGGAAGAACCTTATGATAGTCGCAAAATTAGTCGTAATTTACAAGAAAACATTTAGTTAAAAATTTAAAAAATTCTCTCCAGTTTTTTCACACGTCACGTGGGAAGAAACTCCTGGGATCTAGACAGAATTCTTCCGGAATCTTTTAAATACGAAGAAATTACTTCAAATCGAAATTCAGCTAGAAAAAATTCTCAGAAGCCGCCGGCTTTTTGTGCCCGTCTTCCACTAGGCAGAGTGTGGCACTCAGTACGTTCAGATAAATGGAACATAGAGACATGTGATTGGCAGTAAACCGAGTGGGAAAATAAAATAGATGCAAGACGGAGCGAGTGAGGGGTTTCCAGCAGAAAATAACCTAAAGACTAGATATTGACAAAGTTTTAGGAAGTGTGAAAGTGCAGCCAAAAAAAAATTCTTTCAGTATGAAAAAATGATTATTCCCATAGATAAAAACTAGTAAACAAACCCCCATTTCACACACACACACACACACACACACACACACACACACACACACACACACACATACGCAGCTCACCGTTTGCGTGTTACCCTGAAGCGAAATGTTACCAATCATGGCGTCTCCTCCGGACGGCTTCTCGTCCCCGGTCAGCATCCTGAAGGTGGTGGTCTTGCCTGCCCCGTTGACCCCCAGCAGGCCCAGACACTCCCCCCTCGCCACCCTGAAGGTGATGCCGCCAACGGCTGGACGGCTGGAGGCCAGGAACCGCTTCGACAGGCCACTCACCAACAGTGTGGCGTTGTCGACCAAATCTGCAAACACAACATCTTCAAACATGAATTTATTTAATTTTACACAAGAGGACATTGAAGCTCATGTATACTAACTCTTGGTGGTTGATTTTAGATCTCTTTCCTGAGGAGGGTACACAAGTTGTCTCACTCATTCTCATACTCACTCATACTCATACTCATACACCGCTTCCATACACACGCTTCGCTTCCATATATTCGCACATGTCTTCCTCACATACGCTCACCCATCCGATATTCTCGCGAGGGACAATTACCAACCACTCAGGACCACTAGCAGGCGCTCAGGATCACTAGCAATCCCCCTAGCGATACTCTAAGGCACTATTTACCAATCAGAACTATAGCAATTAATCAGCGGCAGTGACAGCCAGTCTGAGCCACCACGACCTGTGCTCACTCTGATCGGCTGCTGCCTTGCGCCGCTTCATAATAGCCTCGACCAGCACAGCTTCGGCAGCAACGTCGCTGTCCTGATCCTGATCGTCGCTGTCCTGATCCTGCAGCACCCACCTGGAGACGGACGGAACCACCTTCAGCATCCACCTGGAGACGGATGATACACACAGTGGGCTGAGGTACTCACTCTCCACTTGATGACGGGAGGAAATGAATGGACTAGTGGTACTGTATCATCCACCTAGTACACAATGGACCGGGGCGCTGTATCTTGTTCCTAGGGGTACTTCAAGCGTGGCAAAGTGATTAAATACTACACATACACTTTTCAGAATAGGGAAGTAGGTAGATAGGAAGCATGAGCTACTGTAACTAGCAGCTGATACAGCTGACTGCTGACGCAGCTATGAAATATCTGAGAGTGATACACAGCGCCAGTGAGGCACGTCAACACAATATACATAAAGAAATGATAAAAAACGGCATATATATATATTGACGATCACGAAACACTGATCATTTGTATGCGGAAAATCCACAGAGAAATGGAAAAGAAAGATGAACGTTTCGGCCGATCAGGGCCGTTGTCAACACCAGTCTGATCGGCACCAGACGGATGGCATCAACACCAGCAGTCTGGTGTTGACAACGGCCCTGATCATCAGACGGGGAAGGGAGGAGGGAGCCACTCACGAAAACATCCTGCCGGAGTCCATCTCGATGACGACCAGGAGTACCAGGAAGATGAACCCATTGACCAGGAGAGTCAGCAGGTCGGGCGCCATGCCGTGCTGGTCCAGCACGAAGTACGACCTCTTCTCGAAGCACGTCCTGTAGCCGACCTCCTCACAGTGTGCTGGTGGAAGGCCATACACTTCGCTATTATATCCCTCCTTCCAAGTAGCATACATTAGTCTAATACGATGGCGAACAAAATACACAGATTTCGGACTCTAGATCAACACAGTGGCCAGCAAGATGCAGTTTAGGACTCTAGCAGGACAACACACAAGGTCAATACACTGAGCTACAGAACAAACACACGATAATTCATTATCTAAGCCTCCAGACCAAACAATGTTCAAATGTACTGACCTACAGATGGTCTCACACACACACACACACACACACACACACACACACACACACACACACACACACACACACACACACACACACACAGGTCAAAGCATTGACTTAACAGGTCACATATACAGGTCACAGGTCACAGGTCACACAGTAAGTAATCATCAAAATATACCGCCAAGCCAAGCCAAGCCAAGCCAATATGTTTAGTACAGGTATTGGCCTCGGGGTCAATACCATCGCTCTCCCTGTGTGTCTGTATCTGCTTGCTTCTTCCACATAACCACAAAGCCTTGAGAGAGACAGAGACAAGACTCCCTGAAGCAAGAGTCAGGGAGCCTTCACACAAGGCTCCCTGAAGCAAGAGAGAGACACACAAGGCTCCCTGAAGCAAGGGAGAGGCACACAAGGCTCCCTGAAGCAAGAGACAGAGACACAAGTCTCCCTGAAGTAAGAGAGAGAGACACACAAGTCTCCCTGAAGCAAGAGAGAGAGACACACAAGTCTCCCTGAAGCAAGAGAGAGAGACAAGGCTCCCTGAAGCATGACTCACGGCAGCACTTCACGAAGGCGTTCGTGGGGAGGTACTGAACCAGACTGGAACACAGTTCATCCTTCACTGTGGCGTTGAAGAGATCACACTGAGAGTTGTAGGCACTTGTGTTCACCAGGTGCATAAACCCCTGCAGGTGTGTAGAAATGTCATGCAGGTGTGTAGAAATGTCATACAGGTGTGTTGAAATGTAATACAGGTGTGTATGTATACAGGTATAGATGTAATGTAGTAGAAGTAAAGATTATGTCAATAGTAGTGTCAAGATAGCAATAGTCTCGTAGTAATATTCACTTATTAGTCAATAAATCAAACTATTTCAATGAAAACACACTGAATAAAGTATTCAAAGATTATATATATATATATATATATATATATATATATATATATATATATATATATATATATATATATATATATATATATATATATATATATATATATGTGTCTCGACAAGCTTGTAGAAGAGCATCACTGACCATGGATGCTGGGAAGGTTGGGATGAGAGAAACGGCCCAGTTAAGAGCATCACTGAGGATGAGAAGCGAGGGCTGCGCCGACAGGTTGAGCGCCCACACAGCTGTCGTGATGATCATGCCTGCAACCCACAACAGCTCTCTTGATCACGCCGGTTAATAGTGGGACTTCATGAAGGTTGTATATGTTTCAACCTAGTTAGTGAAAACAGTCCCTAGACAATATCTAGTAAGGTGTCCCACCTACCACCAACACCCACTAAGGTGTTCCACCTATCTTTATCTTGAGATTATCTAGAGATGATTTCGGGGCTTTTTAGTGTCCCCGCGGCCCGGTCCTCGACCAGGCCTCCACCCCCAGGAAGCAGCCCGTGACAGCTGACTAACACCCAGGTACCTATTTTACTGCTAGGTAACAGGGACATAGGGTGAAAGAAACAACTCCCACCTACCAGCAACAATGTTGACGAGAGCGAGGACAGCGAAGCCTGAGGCAGCAGTCTGGAAGGGGAAGCTGAAGACATAAGCCATAGGGATGCTGGCCCAGCCGTACATCACCAGCATCACAATCAACGCACCTGACAAGGAAGTAACTATCAAAGAAGGCACCAAGCCGGGAAGGCTATGTAGCACACCTGGTGAGGAAACACAGTGTCACAATGTGTCGCCGCTCTCAGCCTGTCTTGGTGTTGTGAAGGAGCTTCCAACCCCACATCTTGGTCCTCTTCACTTAGCTTGCTCATCTGCAGACTTTCTAATTTACGAAGTTATAAACTTATATATAAACTAATCAGAGAAAATCTACTTGTTTGAACGCCCATAGTATAATAAAGAAAATATATTAGTGATCCAATAGCAACACACGACACACAGATAAAACAAAATATTACTGTATTTATATAAATGTCTGGATAGATAAATAACTTCTCTAAATGATGAATAATACACCAAAAAGAGGTCATTCTTTTTTAAATTAGCAAATCAATTTACTTGTAGAGAAATACCAAGATAAAAGTAGACTTTATTGAAGAAGATGCTGTGCCAGAAACTGCTTTGTTTCAGGGATGCTGAGGGTTACACAATAGGAGATGGAGAGAGAAGAATCTTTCGTATAAAGGTACACTAAAGTAATGTCTCATTGGCTAACAACTTTTCATTGCCAAAACGGGTCTGGCTTCCACGTACACTCCCAAGCCTAAGATTGGTGTACGGCCAGCTACCACTGGTGCTAGCGACGCCCCCCCCCCACCCCCAGACACTTGCTGGTATTTGAAAGGCAAACTTGGACCAAATTACTATGTTACTGATGAATATCTTAAGCCACACGTTGCAACATGGTCAGAAGACGAGACCTTCCATGTTGCAAACATCTTAAGATGACAAGATGCTTCATGCCACAGCACATTAAGGAAACAAAACACTTCACGTAGCAGCATGATGACTATAAGCCTACCGCTCCACGTCACGACAACAGAAATACAATAATTTCATGCTGTAAAAAGGAAGAAAAACAATGAATCACCTTCATGCTGCAACAAGACAGGAAGACAATCGCCAATGACTTGCAAGAAGGCTTCGTTGCGTTAGTGAACATTACCTGGAGCACTGTCGGTGGTGAAGTAATGCTTCGTGTCAAAGGTCATGAAGACGATGAAGACGACGGCTGCTGAGATGAAGTAGGTCAGATAGTCCCAGAGGAAGGTGGTGACCCAGAGGACGCCCACTGACGCCCCTGTCATCACCTGCACCTGGTGGAGGAACCTGTGTTAGTTACCACCTGGGGAGGAACCATAAGTAAAGCTTAACATGAGCTAACATCCGTAATGTAATACCATCCGGCCTAATGATTTCCGGGTAGGTGTAAGAGTTGTGTACCCTACGGGCTCACCATAGCCCGTGCTACTTGGAACTTTGTTCCAGGTAGCGAATCTTTAACAACAACAACAGCATGTTATGTACCTGCCGGATGGCCCGCTATTAGCCTCAAACGTGCACACAATTACTTCAACACTGCTCGAGATGGGAGAGAATTAGCTAACATCTTTCAGACACCTCGATCACCTAAAGTGTCCGATTAACTTACTTTATTTTCTCCCATAATTACGTAGTTTCAATTCCTCTAACATTACCCAAGTTATAACCTCTTTTAAAGCTTCATGGGATAAATCTTACTCATTTCTACTTCCCTCTAAACAAAAAATAAAACCACAAAGGTACAGTACTTGTGGAAGGTGAGGCACCAGAGACGTGGCTAGAGGAGATTACCTGCTTGGCTTTGGTCTCCCGCTCCTGGAGGGGGAAGACCAAGAAGGAGGCGGAGAGGAAGGCCAGGGCGAGAGGCATCACCATAGCATACACCAGGGCGCTCCCGGGCGCGTTGCTGCTCTTCATCTTCCACTATCAAACATAAATAATTATAACAAAAATAATTACTAAATAATATCAATTCAATCCAACCAAGTTGTCTTAGATACCAGCACAAACACGTACAGAAAACCGTAGTGCTCTCACCGTTCTGTTTGGAGGTAAGGGACGATTGGAGGTGGTGATGGAGTGTCGGGTGGAGTTGGTTGCGAACCTGAGGAGCGCGTTGGTGACGAGGGAGGCGCTGACACCTGGTGTGTGGTAGGGCACTGACTGGTACAGCACCCGCAGCGCTGTTGATGTTCCCACGTCCAGGAACTCTGCCTGTCGGTGGTGATGGTTAGGTTAGGCCTAGGTTGTTGAGCAGGGAAGGTTATCTTGAGGTTATCTTGAGATGATTTCGGGGGCTTTAGTGTCCCCGCGGCCCGGTCCTCGACCGGGCCGCGACCTCGTTATCTATCCAGCTGTGTACAAACGACCTCGTTATCTATCTAGCTGTGTACAAACGACCTCGTTATCTATCTAGCTGTGTACAAACGACCTCGTTATCTATCTAGCTGTGTACAAGCGACCTCGTTATCTATCTAGCTGTGTACAAGCGACCTCGTTATCAATCTAGCTGTGTACAAGCGACCTCGTTATCAATCTAGCTGTGTACAAACGACCTCGTTATCAATCTAGCTGTGTACAAGCGACCTCGTTATCTATCTAGCTGTGTATGTTAGTCCCCCCCCCTCCCAACACTTGTTTTCAGCAATGAAGAACGTTCTACTTACAGAACACACGTTGTTCTCCCGATATCGGAAGAGATTCTCTTCAGCTTCGTGGAGAAGAGACTGAGTCATGTTGTCTGTGGTATACACCTGGAAAACAGTGGAAATGTATACCCATTAGGCCTGGAGTCTAGCAGTAAACTTAATAAGGGAGTAAACCCTATATAACATGAGACGGTAAACTTGTTCTTGTGGTAAACATCAACGGGCCACAGCATAAGAGCGTGGTATTTTTTTTCAACAGTTCAATCGACAATAACATTTATCGGTGTATGCCTGTTGTTGGCACCAATGACTGTGACAGGCACCAAAGCCTGTGGCTGGCACCAATGACTACAGCAGCCATCAATGACTACAGCTGTCACCAATGACTACAGCAGCCATCAATGACTACAGCAGCCATCAATGACTACAGCTGTCACCAATGACTACAGCAGCCATCAATGACTACAACTAGTATCAGTAACTACCGCTGGTATCCATGACATTAGTAGCAGCAATGAACTAAAATTGACTTCTCTTAGCATATATACAAATACAACAATAACAAGAGACAGAGTTAAGAATGACGGTGTATACTGTGGTAGCTGTGATCAGATGTCTCAATGATGACCATGTATAGACATATACGAACAAGAATGAATGAATGAATGAATACATGAATGGCTTATGAATGAAAGCCATTTATATAACCAATGGTAATTAACAATAGTAATCACCAGAATTGCGTTGTCCGAGTATAATTATTATTATTTGTAAATGCTATGAATGGAGAGGTGATTTTGTGGTAGTTACTGGGTGAACCTTTTGATGCGTGGGAAAAATATGAGGCTAGATGATAGGGGGCGCTGACGTGAACTTCCCCCTTGAAGGTACCACCATTCTCCCCTGTGTCAGTACCTCGTAAGGGTTGTGGAAGAGCGACTGATAAGCGTCAGAGAGGCCCTGGTGCCTGGAGGAGGCGAGGACGTAGGAGATCGAGTACGGGTACATGGTGGGGCTCAGGACGAGAGGAGGTTCTCTGAGGGTGTCTTCGGTGAAGGAGGCGTCCACGAGTAGACACAAGACGGTCACTACCACGGGCAGGAGACCCTTCGTCAGCAACAAAAGATACGAGGGAGAAATTTGATTATTTTTTTTTCTGGAATACATTTTTTATTTTATCGGTATGATTTTTGTATACCTTTAATCTCAATACCTATACCTTTAATGTTAATACCTTTGATAAACCAGGCTGTGACTTATACGTTAGGCTGCGAGCAGCCGCGTCCAACAGCCTGGTTGACCAGTCCAGCAACGAGGAGGCCCTGGTCGACGACCGGGCCGCGGGGTCGCTGAGCCCCGGAATCACCTCAAGGTAACCTCAAGGTTAATGTCGTGTAATTCTAATTCTGTAGCCACTTTGTCCCGATTCCTCTAGACTTTCAAACTGACTGCTTACGAAACAGTTTGTGAACTTGCATATTACGTTGCACTGTTGATACAAAGTGATTTCATTGTTGATATAAAGTGATTCATATTAAAGTTGTCACCTTGGCGACGGTCACTTACCTGGGTCACGAAGAGCACCCACTTCCTCCTGCTGTAGATGGCTCGCTTAGCGAAGAACGCTTTGAACCTCTGCCTCTGTAACCTGGCTCCTGAGAGCAGTGCCTCTATGTCTGTCGGAGGCAGGAAAGATAATAAGATCTTGATAAACAGCGTTATTTACAGAGAGTAATGTTTATAGTGTTCTACACCTTTAATTCCAGAGAGAAAACTAGGTTTATAGTGTTCCATAACCTTTATTACAGGTCGAGCGAAATGTTCGTAGTGTTTCGAATCTTTCATTGTGAAGTATTATATATATATGACATCTTCTCTGTGTTTTCTCGCATCCTAATATAAATAAATGCAATCTGCTTAAACATGTGGCTCTTGTATAATTTTAGTAACTCTGTAATTACAACTCAAGAGATTACAAATGCAAAATTTGGCTGAACTAATCCCAGATTGCTCGTTAACAAGCTGTTATCATCCGGTGTTAAACCCGTTTTCCTGTCATGGCTCCTTCCAGTGTCTACTAACTACGCTTGTTAATACAACTGACGTTTTAGTTGTCTTGTTTGTCTGCGTCTGACTCCGTCTGACTCCGTCTGACTCCGTCTGACTCCGTCTGACTCCGTCTGACTCCGTCTGACTCCGTCTGACTCTGACTGACTCTGACTGACTCTGACTCCGTCTGTCTCCTCCTCCACATCATGCCAGTAAACACACAGGAAACATTACAAAGACGTCCTACTCTTCTGACTGTCGAAGAGGAAGCGTTGACTGCTGTACGCATCGCCTCCGTCCCTCGAGGTCCCGCCAGTCAGGTCGCTCGGGTCGCCCAGCAGACTGGCGGCACTCAGGTTAAAACCGATATTGTCGTTGCCATTCAGATGCCCATTGGTGGAGTAGCTCGCCTCTCCATCGAGCGCCTCGTATCTTTCCATCAAATCACCAACTCTGAGTAGCCGGAGAACAAATAGCGTAAGGAACAATATTAATAAATTGGGATTTATGTTCTAATATTCCGGATGAGGATGTTTCCCTGGCACTTAATTCATTGATTATATAGTTATGGAGAGTATTAATAATAGGCATGTACTACTGGCTAAAAGTATTACTGTTCACGTGTATGTCACATGTACTTATGTGACATACACTCACATGTACTCATGTCCATGTACTATACACCACATGTACTGCAGGCCCCATTGCCTCAAAATAATTTGCATATATATTTTGTTTACTGAGTTTGATTGGGTATAAATATGAGCTGCTTCGCTTGCGTGAAGCAAGACCTTTTGCCATTTTGTTATCCCTCTGCTCCTGCTTAAGTGTTGGGTCTAACTACGTCTAAAATCAAATATAAATTTCTAGATGTACAGCAATACAATGTGTTTTAAAACCTTATTGAGAAGGTGTCATGAATGATCAAACCCAATACTTGAAGCTCCGAAGACGGAACGGAGGAGGTCTCCCATCTCAGTAAAACTTATTTAATACCTGAGGAAGACCTGCTCCATGCTGGTGAGGGTGAGGCCCAGATGCTGTACCCCGAGGTCCTCCTTGCGGCTGGCCAGGGCATCGAGCAGCGGGGCGAAGAGTGAAGTAGTGGGCGGGAGCTTGAAGGTGACTTCGCCGCGCTGGGCTGAACGAAGGGCAGCTTCGGGGAGGTGCTGGGAGACCTCTCTCCTTATTTCCCCCAATTTGCTTCCCTCGGACAGCATCACCGTCAGGGTGTAGCCGTCGCCTGCAGGTAGGGAACGGCACTTGTGGGTAAAACAACGTGAAAGTGGTGAAAAAATGTATACAATTCCTGTATGAAGTAGTGAACATTACAATGTACAATAAGTAATACAAGGGATTCATCTGGGGGGGCTCAATTGTTACTTCCTGATTGGCGGTCTGCTTGCTTTATCAGTTGTAGCCACGATGATAATTCTTAGAAAATCATTCCTAACATTCTGTAGTGAAAACCAAATGTAAATAAACTATGTTTTGAGTGTAGGGAAAATTGAAATAGTTGGAATTAACAATATACGTAGCCAAGGGTATCTTTCAGGACGAAAATTTCACATAAACGTGAACAAAACATCTGTCTCGTGACAGATTTCTCTTCTCTTACCAAACTTATTCTTGAGGAAGAGTGTGGAGCCAGCACAGACGACCCTGCCGGAGGCCATGATGGCGACGCGGTCTCCCAGGACGTCGGCCTCCTCCATGTGGTGGGTGGTGACGAGGATGGTGCGCCGGCCCCGCTCCCCCTGCACCACGTCCCACACCCACCGGCGTGACTCGGGGTCCAGCCCGCTGCTCGGCTCGTCCAGGATCACCACCTGCACCAACCGTGGTGGTGAGACAGAGACAGACAGACTGACAGACAGACAGACAGATCAAGCTCAGATTACAGCCCACAACAGCTGTCAAACTCCCAGGCACTTATTTACTGCTGAGTGAAAAGAGGCACGAGGTAAAAAAATCAAAACAAACCAGAAACTCTGCCAAATTGATTCTACTTCGACTGGGACTCGAACTCCCGTCTCTCCCTCCCGTTGTTCCTCCCTGCCCCGCCTTCCTCCTGGGACTGACCTTGGAGTCTCCCATAAGAGCGATGGCCAGGCACAGCTTCCTCTTCATGCCTCCAGAGAGCTGGTTACCGTACATGTTCTTCTTCTCTACCAGCTCCAGCCGCTCCATCAGCGCCGCCGCCTCCTCCCGCGCTCTCTTCACCGTCATTCCCTTCAGCTGGTGCGGGAAGAAGGCTGACATGAACAAAACAATTTGAGCCAAGAACGGCTCTAATTATTAGCCTATTAACTTCCCGAATGATTAACATTTCACATAGAGACAAATTTCGACTTGTAATGATTGAAAAAGATTAAAACTTTAAAATGAATAATATATCTGTTTTGCTGGCGACAAAACATATATGTTTATAATCATGTATAGATTTGATCAACATTGATCTTCGAGAATTCGCAGCTACCAGCAGTCGGGTGCGCTTCGTTCAAGAAACAATTAAAACAAGTGTATCTTTGGTCTCCTATACGAGGTAGTCTACGTGACGGATTCATAATAGTGCTTATAACTCTATCTTTCTAATGGCATTTAAGATAACGATTTAGTACCGTATAACTGCACAATGTGTTAGCCAGTGTGCAGGGTTCGATCCTTCATGATCTATATGTCAGTGAAAACGTTAATAAAACTACATATATCTTTGCTAGCAGAAGCTTAGGCAGGCATTTACATTTGTAAGTATCTAGAATTTGCAGTATTAAATATTATATTTTTTTTAAATATTGGTAATGCTAAGCTTTACATATTTAATATTGGTAAAGCTAAGATTTACATATTTACCAGTGCCAATTATTAAATAAATCCAGGCTACCGAATATATATCAAATTGTCAAAGAATAAATAATATTGTCAGATACAGGATCTTTAAAACATTGTCAGTGCTCAAGGTGTCAAATTTATTGATATTTATAAACAGAATTGTGTGTATGTGTGTATTCACCTAGTTGTATTCACCTAGTTGTGCTTGCGGGGGTTGAGCTCTGTTATTTCGGCCCGCCTCTCAACTGTCACTCAATCAACTGTTACTTACTACAAGTTTTTTTTCACACACACACGCACACACACCAGGAAGCAGCCCGTGACAGCTGACTAACTCCAAGGTACCTATTTACTGTTAGATAACAGGGGCATTCAGGATGAAAGAAACTTTGCCCATTTGTTTCTGCCTGGTGCGGGAATCGAACCCGCACCACAGAATTACGAGTCGTGCGGCTATCCACCAGGCTACCAGGCCCCACACACACTGACACTGTGTGCCAGTGTGTGTGTGTGTGCAAGGAAGGAAAGTGTCAGAGGGGGCCGCATACCTCCTTCACAAAACAATGATCACTATGCCCCTTGTTCACAAAGTCGGTGGAAGTGAAATGTTATGCCCGTAGTCCGTAGACTTTAACTCGCGTTCAAAATGTCATAAAGGAATTTTCTGATCTTCGCGTATAAAATATATGTTCAGATGACAAATTTGCATCCTAGGTACCACCTTTCAGGCTACGGTGATGGAGGCAGTGGGTAGAAAAAATGGTTGCATTTCCCCCTTACACACTTTAATCACGACGTGAGCGTCATAAACCAGAGAAGAAGAACAAGATCACACACAGAGATCACAATAACGTGATGAATCAAATGAACAAATCCACAAGGGCCGTGGATTTCGAATCGAATCCTCGTCACGGCCCTTGTGGATTTGTTCATAAGAAGAACAAGTTTCCTATATGTATCCCCTGACTGTTGCATGAACCCGGACCCACACTAATCACCTGCACAGTTTGAGAATTGGAGGCGTTGTAGAACGGTGTTGTTTGCTGTTTAAGATTCGCTACTTGGAACAAAAAGTTCAAAGTAGCACGGGCTACGGTGTTACTCACCCTACCAAAGAAGAGAAGAGGCTATAGGAAGGTCTTACTCACCCTACCAAAGAGAAGAGGCTATAGGAAGGTCTTACTCACCCTACCAAAGAGAAGAGGCTATAGGAAGGTGTTACTCACCCTACCGAAGAAGAGAAGGTGCTGCATGACGGTGAGGTCGACGAAGAGCATGTTGTGCTGGGGACACAGACCCACCTCCTCCCTCGCCTCCTTCAGGTTGGTAGCGATGTCCCAGCCACCGACCAGGGCGCTCCCACCACTGGGGGCGTGCACACCTGCAGGTATAGTCCCCCCCGGTTATACCCCCCGCCAGGAACTGGTTTCGCTCGCTTGATTCTGCTTATTTAACCACTGGTATAACTTTGTTGTATTTTGTAGCCTTATAACTAAGCAAATGAATAATCAGTAGAACTTAGCACATTTGTAGAGAGAGAGAGAGAGAGAGAGAGAGAGAGAGAGAGAGAGAGAGAGAGAGAGAGAGAGAGAGAGAGAGAGAGAGAGAGAGAGAGAGAGAGAGAGAGAGAAAGGGAGGGGGTGTCACCTGTGAGGATAGACATGGTGGTGGTCTTGCCGGCACCGTTGTGGCCCAAGAGGACGGTACACTGGCCCTCGTAACACGTCATCGACACGTCCTCGACCGCCACCTTCACCTTCCTTCCCAGCGACTTGAACTCCTTCCTGCAACGATGCAGTCATTTGAACTCATTACAACATCGACATTAACACAAATGTCAAATTTATTTTAAAAATTTTAAAAAATGTTCTATATTCCTGGCACAGTCTGGTATATTTGTTCTTGCTAGTCAGCACAACATATTACATTTAATTAAATATTTTTTTAAATATGAATATGTGTATCTTACATGTATTGTTGCAGATCATCTATATCTATACATAATTATATACATTATTAATTCAGGAGCGCGTGATTAGGATGGAGAAAATGTTGAGGTTATCGGAGTATGGGTCGCCAGTTTCAACAGGACTCGAGCTGAAGAAATTGGTGTACCGAGTCCGTACACTTTAATGTAGCAAGCAAGAGTCTGCATTTCTTCCAGGGTACTGTAAATGTACCGGGGTCCTGGAAATATTCAGCGGATTCAAGGGAGTTAATCAAAGGTAGGATGCAGCACAATACTGGATGGGATCTAAGATGAGGTCTGATAAACACCTTTTGTGCCCTCTGTAATGCTTTTGCGCCACCGCTCACAGGATGAGTATGGGGTGCACAATAAACTAGCGGCCTCCGGCGGCAACAATCAAAATCAACTGGATGGGAGAGGCGCTACCTGAGGTTCTTGATGACGATTCCAGGTCGAAGTCCCAAAGGCTCCTTCTCGAAGTACTCCTGGTCTTCTCTAGCGGCCTCATCCTCTGCCGCCTGCTGGTGTACTGGAGGCGAGCTGCACCAGTACGTCTTCTATGGGTGATAAAGTTATTTTTGCTTTCAGGTGATTTTCAGCCGAGGGAGGCTGGGAAAAGATACTGCCAGAGATCAACACGGAGTAGTGCTCCTGATCCATCTCTTAGGACCGCTAAACCATGGAGTTTATGAACGTGACAAATTAAGAACTAATGCAGCAGATATTAACAGTCTAAGAAGAATTGTCTGGCGTTTAAAGAATAGATCAAGTGAGGGAAAACATTTGAGATGCGGATTGCTAAAACCACCTATGAAGATATTTTCATGTAAATGTAATAAAAAAAATACGTGAATGATTACCAAGTGACCCAAAATGATACCAATATGGAGAAGTTATCAGCAAAATATTTCCTGAAAAATATGACCTGAGATGACCAGTACCCCTACTGACCTGGAGCGGGAAGTAGAAGGGTCGTGGTACCCCGTAGAGCCCCGGGCTGACCTGGTCGACGTACCAGGTCACCAGCAGGAAGAGGCAGGTGTCGAGGAGCAGCATCAGCAGGATCATGGCCGGACTCAGCTGGTCTCTAGGGTTGCCGGTCTCCCACACGTTGCTCCACTGAACGCCAATAGCTGCCACCACCCCCGCACGGGCAGAGTACACACACACACACACACACAAGTCTGTTACTGAGGCTAGTCAAGTCCCTCTCACTCGTGCACTCACACTCACGCATGCACATACTCAGGCATGCACTCACACTCACTCTTCTCTCCCTCAACTCTCTTCCTTCCAGTGCTATTTTTTTCCCCGTCACTCCCACCTTTAATCCATGCATTTTCCCTACGTTTTTTCCCTTTCCCCCTTTAATCTCTCTCAATTTCTCCCTACCTACATTTATATATATATATATATATATATATATATATATATATATATATATATATATATATATATATATATACATACATATATTTCTATATATATTCCCTTATTTCTATGGATCTATATATATTATTCTCTACATATTTTCCTATATCTACATTTGTCTATCATTTATTTCTCTGAATCTGTTTCTATACCTATCTATATCCATCTCTCTCTCTCTCTCTCTCTCTCTCTCTCTCTCTCTCTCTCTCTCTCTCTCTCTCTCTCTCTCTCTCTCTCTCTCTCTCTCTCTCTCTCTCTTACCTCTTCCCTCGAACATAGCAATGACCCTGAAGGCCCAGGTAATGGCTATATTAGGCAGTAGGCAGGAGAAAATCTTGGGAGCGAGTCCGAGGGTGTTGTAGTCGTACTCCATGATGCTCCGAGGGATGAAGAAGGAGGTCAGCCACAGCAGGATGCCCAGAGTGGTGGCCAGAGTCGCTGACGAAGGTCAAGGGGCAGGTCAATACAACCCAACCACTACGTGTCCTCGAGAATATTGTGACCGACCCCAATATGCACGCATTTTTATATCTTTAACCATTGTGATAACTTCCTAAAATATATATATTATAGAGTGGGAACAGTCAACACATGGAATGAATCAGGGCCCTTGTTGTGAAAGTCGGTTGATGAACAAGGAGGCTTCTAACACCCATCAATACAGTTATCGAAATTCGAGCTAAAGCCCAAAGAGTTTGGTGCCTCTGGATGATTCCAGAGGCACCAAAGCCTGGTGCCTTTGCTAGCCTTGTGGCTAGCTACGTGCTAGCCTTATGGCTAGCACGTAGCTCAGTAGAGCGCTCTCGTGTCAACACACGAGTCACTACTCACGTTTGCTGAAGAAGGTAGCAACGACGAAGCAGAAGGCAATGGAGGAGACGCCGTAGAGCACCAGCAGGACCCAGATGAAGAAGGGGTCGCTGTAGGCCAGAATGGGCGGCAGGAACCCACTGCCGTCGTCCAGGGGCTTCAGCTTCAGCTTGAGGAGCAGGGTCATGATGGAGGCGACGACCAGGATCATAAGGAAGGAGTGAAGGAACCATCCAAGCCACACCAGCCATCCGTCTAGACCCATCAGACGCACCAGCTCCTACCAAGGCCCACCATCAGATTAGTTCAGAGTACCATCTAGATTCTAGATCTTAGAGCTTTCAAAGGGCGAAAAGAGTGCATAATAGGAGGAATAGTGGCGCGAGGAGTCTCTGTGTGGTTGCTATGGGAAAGAAGAGGTGAAGAAGGTATGTGGGGGCAGCTGATTGGAGGAGGCAGGTGTAGTAAATAACAGAAGAGGAGGAGGAGGCAGGTGTATGGAAAAACAGAGCAAGGAGGAGGATGATGAAAGCAGAGAACAAAGCAAAATAAAACATGTAAAATGGCTCACAAACAATAATATGAGTAACCAGGAACCAATGATAGCAGTGCAAGACGCCAACACAAACAACATGAAATACCCGAGTGTCAACTGTGCAAGGATTTAAGGGCTTCTGCAGTAGACAACAAACAGTATTGGACTGAACGGTACAGGGACGAACCTTGCTTCTTGCAAGGTCGACGTTCGATTCTCGTTTAGAAATTCGCATTCAAAATTTTAGAGTTACTTGTAATCAAAACCGAATTTACGCAAATGTAAATAAATTATATTTTATAACCGACTGAGGTTAACGAAGTTGATGACGGACACGTGCAAGAAGGCCATAACTCACCCTGACGCCCGTTTCCTTTTCGTAGACGACGCTCTTGATAAGGGAGGGTGAGAGCAGCACCAACGACAACACGACGAAGGTGGGCAGCGCCGAGCCGTAGAACTGGCTCATGCCGTAGTCTTGTAGGAACGGTGGGTATGGGTACATCTGCACCTCCAGCTGCGGAAGGGAGACTAGCTTATATTATATATCTATGTAATTACCTATGTGTAGTTACAGGATGAGAGCTACGCTCGTGGTGTCCCGTCTTCCCAGCACTCTTTGTCATATAACGCTTTGAAACTACTGACGGTCTTGGCCTCCACCACCTGTATGTGTGTGTGTGTGTGCGTCACCACATACCTCTAAACTAGGATACATTCCACACCTACACAAGGAAACACACACACTCACACTCACACTCACACACACACACACACACACACACACACACACACACACACACACACACACACACACACACACACACACACACACACACGCTCTCCCTCTTTTCCCATTTAATTTTCTTCAACTCTGATACCTGAAATTAACGTTACCCGACAATTTTCCCCTGAAACAGGTCTACGGGCTCACCATAGCCCGTGCTACTTGGAACTTTTTGTTCCAGGTAGCGAATCTTTAACAACAACAACAACAACAACCCTGAAACAAGACCCGTCCATCAATTTACAACTTGGTCTCCAGTTACTGTTGGGTAAAGAGAGGCGAACAGTTAAGAAATGGCGTCCAGTCAGCCAGACTTCAAACTCCTACGAATGTTCTCCCCCCCCCCCCCTCTGTATTTTTCTAATCAACCATCCAATCATCACCATGAACTACCCACCTTGTAACTACCAGTCATGTAGGAGGAGTCGTTAGTCAGGCTGGCGATGTAGTAACGGTCCACGAGGCTCTGGATCAAGGTAAACCCGTCCATGTTGTAGTTTCCGAAGTCGAATACTGGGAGAAAGGTGCACCGGTTTACTGAGTACCTCTAGTTAATTCCCGTTTGTGACGAGTTTACCGACAGCCTAAAGTTAATCCCTTCTTGTGACACTTCAGGGACCATTACCTATCCATGCTGTTGCTATATTGTTAACAACTTGTCCACATGGCGGAGTTTGTTACTTGCTAACATTTTTAGAATATAAAGTTTGATGAAATTATTACAGCGTAAAGGAGCATAGCGCTCCACTGTAGCTACAATTACATAAATGACTGCAGTCGTTCTAATTACACCAACACATTAACGAACACACGGAAGTGAGACCAATATGTTATTGTTCTCACTAATTAGGTTACAATTTTGTATTTTTTGAGCTATAAAGATCTAGGTCCCGTGTTTTGTAAGAAAGAGGGGGGGGGGGGGAGGGTTTAATGTCAATACCTCCCAAAACTGATGATGCTTATATATCAGTTTATGGCCTGTGAAAAGCGTATAAATTGATGTCTCATCAATCGTACTATTGTTAATAATATTATTAATAATATTATAATTATTATTATTCAGATTTTTCAAATTTGTTATTTATTACCTTTATATTTATCATCAATATTATATTTAATTAACTGTATCAAGTATATTATAGTGTACGCATAAGATCGTGCGCAGCTGTGCATGCTAATGAAGCACTCAGCCTTCAGGCTAGGAAAAAAAAGCGGGTTCACCATAGTGCGTGCTACTTGGAACTTTTTGTTCCAGGTAGCGAATCTACAACAACAACAACATTCCGGCTAGGATACAGTTGGCTGTAAAAGCCGGATAACTGCGGTACAGAAACCTGCCGGACTCACTGCTGTAGTTCCTAGGGCCAGGGACCTGCAGGTACGGGTAGAGCTGAGAGGTGAGCCAGTACTTGGCCAGTCTCAGGTCGTACCTGAGGCTCTCAGGGGGACCCGGGTCGTCCAGGTCGTAGAAGAAGAGCCCTACATAGAAGGTGGCGTAGGAGTTGTTGGTCTCGAAGTAAGCCTTGTCGACCAGGTCGTCCATCTGGTCGTTGGAGGAGACGGGGCTGAGCACTGAAGGAGTTAGGGGTACTTTAATTAATATTGTTCCCATTTTCTTTGATGGAGACGAAAATGTAAATCATGGGAAAAAGTGTTAATTATATTAGATTTGGGTATAATTTGCTTAAGCGAATCTTTAGAAATTCTGCCATCTTATATACACACAAATGCCTATTGTTGAAATAAAACTTTCAATGAGAGAATGTGAGTGTTACAATTTATTTTACACATCGATTTTTGAAAGCAGGCCAACGTGAGTAGTCTTCGCCTACAGCACATTAATAGGTGGCCATAATAAAATGAGAAAGTAATAAAAACGACAAAGTAAAAATATTATCTGTAAAACAAAGCTTCAAAACAATAATGATATATGCAATAAAACATTATACCCCCAAAAAATTACAGAACGTTCCAAGGAAGAAAATAAAATAACTGAACATTTCACAGACGAAAATTCAACAGTTGAATATTAAACAGTGGTGCATTATACAATAAAACATTGCCAGTTGCATGTTAATCAGAGCTGGGTATCCATTTCATTACCTGAATGAAGTCCCCTTAACAGGACCGAATAAGTTTAGAGCAGTTAGACCTCTAACTCTAGTAGACGCGCCAGAGCACCTGACGGGAGACTTAACAAGAAGTTGGGAATTTCACTCACCACTGTCGGGTAGACGGAGTTGAAAGGCGATGTGCTTGGCGGCGGCCTCGGTGAAGTTGCCAGGCGGTCCGTAGAAGATCCTGGTCTGTCCGGGGAAGATGGTGTTACCTGCTTGGCAGGTCATAAAGAAGGGACTCCAATAGCCGTATTTCCAACACAATATTCTCCTCAGATCCTCTTCAGAGGCTACGGCAAATGTTGACGTCTGCAAGAGGATTAATTAATTAAATCAGCAACTCTCAAGGATTTATTTGTCATGCCGGTGCTAGATAGTCTTCCTGGCTTGGTTCCTTCTATTGATGATTAATTTTCATATTTACATACCAGTATTTAATGCAATATAGTAACATATGTGAGCAGAAACATTGACTTTTATAGTGGAAATTCTAACTTTCGTCAGCAGGAATCTTGACCAGCCATTATAGGTGAATATATTTGATCAAGAATGCTACTTGGGGTGCAAGTCTTAGGTCCGAGTGTCTTTATGAAGCAAGTTTCCTTCATACTGACCTCGTTGATGTACTTGGGGAGGAAGGCGCTGTTGGGGAGTATCCTGATGGTGACCAGGAGGGTGAAGAGCAGGGTGGGCAGCAGGACCTCGAACGCCGTCAGCAGCCAGTGTCTCCTCCTTAGTAACAAGTTTTTCCACATCAACAAGCTCAGCTTCCCTAACACGCTCCTGCGTCCAGCCTTCGTCGCTGTGCTGGCTCCTCCCGACGCTGCATCCGCTGAGGCAAGGTGGAGGGAGGTGAGGCAAGGTGAAGGGAGGTGAGGCAAGGTAGAGGGAGGTGAGGCAAAGTGGAGGGAGATGAGGCAAGGTGGAGGGAGGTGAGGCAAGGTGAAGGAAGGTGAGCGGTAAGTTGTCCCAAGCATTACAGTGGTAACAGCGGGTGATACAATGTTACAATGAATCTAAAGATTTTCTTTGGAAGGTATACTTTGGAGATCGTACCATAGAAGGTGTACTCTGGGAATGTACCATAGGTAGTATACTCTGAAGATTCAACCCGGAAGGTTGACGACAAAACACTTAACAAAATCTTGAATAACATGCAGGAATACAATCAATAAGGGGACGTAAATTTCTGTATAAACACTTTAAGACACGTAAACTCCCTTCCTGATGCACGCGCGCGCACACACACTTTCTCTACTCACCTGTTTCAGTGAGGTCATCCATTGATGCGAGGCTTTGCAGCAGCCGCTAAACGTCACTTCAGCAATGCATTCACTGTCAAGACATTCTCAGTGCTTATGCCCAGATCCTACGTTCACGGTTTGTACTTCACGATTGGAAGAGAAATTTAGAAACCAACGCTTTTGGGAACAGTATTAAATGCTTTAATAGCGACGCTCGCTGATGACTCGGTGTGGTAATCAGTTGAGGATTAAAAGGCTCTTCGCGAGATTCATAGTTCTCAAGTTCCTATTTTGTGTTTACTGCTGTGCTTATTGGTTTAGTGACATGAGGCTTCCCTGCGTTCACGCCTCTGAGCTCTTTGCGTTCACTGTACCCATTACCAGTGCTGTCAAGGCTTTTTTTGTTGATTATCTGAAATAAACAATGAGATTAAATGGTGTTGAGTAAGAGATTTGATACATCTTATCATTATTTTCATGATAATGTTTTGTAAGAATTAGCACAAGTAATCAAGCGTTTGTACACGCACACACGCGTGCGTGCGTGCATACACACACACACGCACACACACACACACACAAAACCCACGGTTATAAGAGTTCAAGACCACCTTGTAGCCCTTTGAAGTTCACAAACTGTAATATTTGTAATATCTTACATGGATATTACGAGCTAATCCATTAGCTAGATTTATTGTTTTAGTGCTTCTGATGCTTCGAAAAAAAAATTATAGTTTAATTAACATCTGTAAGAATGTGTATTATTTATCCAAAGAAGATAATAAAGAACATTTTAAATACCAAGTTCAAATATATTTTTAGTAAACAAACAAATGGCAGAAAAACAATTATAATCAAAACAAAGACAAAGTAATAAAGTCAACTAATCAAAGAACAGAATGCATAAGTTAATGAAAGGAGAGAAATATCTGGCAATTACAAGTAAATTTGTTTTTTGTTATGTAATTGTGAGAGTCTAGCCCAGTTGCCAGAGCTTCGACAACAACAACATTGTAGCAGCTAATGTACCGTTAGCTCCACATTACCACCGCCCCCCACCCTCAACACACACATATACACACACACACACACACGCCTAAATACATTATACACATGACACAAAACAAGCTAACCGGTTCCAGTATACAAATCTCAATATAAATCAAACTGACACCTTTAGAGCCCCCCCACCTGCCAAAGGCACGACGATAACGCTATATGGTTATCAAGGAACTTTATCAGTAGCGAAGCTTAATACAATTTCCGGAACTGACAACATAGATAAAATTGGTGAATTTTCAGACACAGCAACGGACTCTTGGCAATGTCTTACTCAATAGCTTCTGCCTTATCTCGTCTGACCTTACCGTAGCGAATTACCATTCGATGGTCAACTAAATGCTAATGTTAAATACAGTTTTTGTCCTTAATGATTTGTTCTAATATCATAAGGAGGTCAATTTCCCTCCTTTTCCATTAGCCAGGCCAAAGACTGGCTTCTTCCCCGGCGAAATCCACAACAGTTCTCTAACTCCAGGGGCATCTGTTTACTGCTAGAGGCATGCAGTTATTCAATCATTCCAAAACATTTGATCCTGACCAGGAGTCGAACCCGGGACCATGCGGTTGCGAGCCTTCTGCTCTGTGAGGACGAACGCCATTCCACAGAGGACGACTTGAAATAATTAGCGAACATAAACAATTGTCATACAGGATATAACACATCATTTACGGCTTCTAGAGTTTGCGCATTTAGTTTAAATTCACAAATTTTGACAAATATCTGTGAAAAATATAATCTGGATTTTATTAACCAGTAAATAAGCATTATTTCTCCACACTGGCGTTACCAGACTGTTACGATATTCCTGACAGCGTTACCAGACTGTTACCGTGTAAGTGCACACGTTACGAGTCCTGTCACGAGCGTCGACGAGAGAGACGAGGCGTCGACACACAGCTAGAGACCAACCAAAGGATTAATTACCTTCCATTTAACAACCAAACGACACCCCCCTCCCCATAGTCTGGCACTCATGGTTCACACGCCCCAAATTTGTTTACTGAGAATTATATAAAATATATATAAATGTAATAATGTCCCCTGTATTTTAATGTAAATTTATTCTCCAATTTTTGTAAATCGTTTATAGGTAAATATGTATAACATTCAGGGTTTTTTTTTAAAGATCTTGTTCTGTACTACTGAAACACTTGTTCACTAAGAATTGTAATGTATCATTGCCTTGTAAAACTTATGTATATGTAATTTATATTGTATTTTCTTAAATAAAGATAAAAAAAAAAACTAGTCCTAGGGAATCCGAGAAGCGTACTTTAGGCTACTGTACCAACGGCTACTGTACCAACGGCTACTGTACCAACGGCTACTGTATTAACGGCTACTGTATTAACTACAATACATAACGTAACCTTCACTGGTATTGTAAGACGCGCCCCGGGATGTAGCGTTAAACTTCGTGTTTTCACATTCGTGTAACTTTACGATATGTGACTTTTTTTATAGATTAGTAGAGCCGCGAGGTAATTATATTGAGAGTCAGAGCCTCACCTGTGTGGCTAGAGGTGTGGCCGCGTCGTCCAGTTGATGGTGATGACAAACAATCCCAGGACGTGATTGTCGTAGCCTCAAGCGTCCACACTCGTGGAAATTCACTGTTACGGGCAGCTCATGTGCCGTTACAATGGGCATAGTAGGAGAGCAGGTCCTGTTATCTCTCCCACCGTGTTATCAACCTCCCCCACCCCTCCTCTCCCCCAAGAAGCTCCCCCCCCATCAGTCTTACAACACTCTTCCCCCGCCATCTCATGGCACCCCAAAATCCAACGGATTCATCCATTTAACCATCGAATTGGGTCAAATTCTCCGAAATCCTATTCATGAATGTCCAGTCATTAGGTCGTGTAGAGCTGTCAGTAGGAGGCACCTGGAGGTAACTTTATCCACCCCCGTGATGGTGACTGGCCTCGTAATCCATCCCAAATACCCAGTTATTAGATAACATGCCCCCCCCCCCGCCGCCGCCCCCCTGTAAGACTAACCATGGTGCAAGATGGAAGGGTTGATGTATCATACACCGAGCTCTTTGACGCAATGTAAACCTTTCATATAGTCTATGGCAGCTGCATAAATGCGAATGCGCCGATATTAATGATAACAAAATTAATACTAAAAGGGCGGTGTCATACAACCCTTCGTCCTTCTCACAGACCCCCTACCTTCTCCCCCCCCCCTAATCACTACCCTTACCCCCCTTTCCCAGCCCCCTAACCCCCCCCCCAGTTCATGACAGAGATAATCCCCAGGATAACGTAACGTTACAGGGTGTCTCAGAAGCTTTCACTTGCTGCCAGTATACAGAGTGTAACAAAAGTCCGCTTTCATAGGAAAAATTATTTAAATTGAGTGATACATTAATTTAATAAATTTCTCATTAGTTTTGAAGATATGTTACCTCTTTGACATGAGGGGTCCAGGGCAGCCAGCCAAAGACAGCTGGTATGGGCTGTATCCTGGGGATGTGTGTAATTACTTAAGCATAGTTAAAGGATAACAGCTACCCTCGTGTGTGTGTGTGTGTGTGTGTGTGTGTGTGTGTGTGTGTGTGTGTGTGTGTGTGTGTGTGTGTGTGTGTGTGTGTGTGTGTGTGTGTGTGTGTATTTGTGTGTGTGTGTGTGTACTCACCTATTTATACTCACCTACTTGTGCTTGCGGGGGTTAAGTTTTGGCTCTTTGGTCCCGCCTCTCAACTGTCAATCAACTGGTGTACAGATTCCTGAGCCTACTGGGCTCTATCATATCTACATTTGAAACTGTGTATGGAGTCTGCCTCCCCACCACATCACTTCCTAATGCATTTAATTTACTAACTACTCTGACACTGAAAAAGTTCGTTCTAATGTCTCTAATGTGTGTGTGTGTGTGTGTGTGTGTGTGTTGGTGGTGGGGGGGGTGGTGGTATTAGGGGGATTCACGGGTAACTGCGTTATAAACGCTTCGTGAAGACGATACAAGGTCTGGTACCCTTCAAGAATACTAAGAAATAACATGTCTTGACTACATTGACAATCCCCCCACCTCCCCCTCCCTCGCCAACCACTCAGGTGAGATCTCGTTGACTTGAATCATAAATAATAATCTAATTTGTCTTGTCAGTTTTTCGTAATCATCAAAATGCCACTTACATAAACCAATACTTATGACTTATGATTTTCGAACAAACCATCGTATGGTGTTTGTTTCATCAAACGACCGTCGGTTAATCAATCAAGGTAAATTATATGTTGACCAGATCAGACCCTAGAAAGTGAAGAGGCGACGACATTTCGGTCCGTCCTGGACCATTCTCAAGTCGTATTTTAGTCCAGGACGGACCAAAACGTCGTCGTCTCTTCACTTTCTAGTGTGTGGTTTGGTCAACATTTTTCAGTCACGTTATTGTGACTCCTAGTCTGCACAAGGTAATTATATACGTCTTAATTATACCGTGGTGGTAGGAGTGAGCCCTCGTGAGGCGACGAGAGGATTACAGCCATTACACATCAGTAGTCAGAGCGGACACTAGATGGCGCCTGCTGCACTAGTAAGCAGGCCACCTCCTGACACCCTCCACACCCATACGTCATCAACCTTCGAAACAAAATCAACGTTACAGTCTAGTTTTAAAGATATATTGAAGCAGTTTCTATTTCAAATGCGACATGTAGGAAAAGGGGTAAAACCGAATTTGTTTTTAAATGCTTCCCGGTATTACGGGATTAGACTGAAGGATCGGTGGAGACTGGCGAATCTGGCATCATTAAGGAGTACCAGAGTGACGCTGGATGTCACAGTGACCGGAGGAACAGTCGATCTATCCAGCCCCCAGCTGTCCTCACGCCACCGTCCTCTCTCTACACTAGCCTTCCCTATCTCCCTCGCTGCTCAAGGTAGGCAGGCCTACAGGTAATTAACGAGCCTAAGAACGCTCTAAGTCCAGTAACAGGCAGCGAGATAAGAGCATTCTGATGGGTCGGTGAGGAGAGCGGGAGATCTGGATCAAGACCCCGTGATGTGAGACTTCCAGTCACGAGGTCTGTTGGGGAAGGGACGTCTGGGAAGGGACGCCAGGGAAGGGACGCCAGGGAAGGGACGCCAGGGAAGGGACGCCAGGGAAGGGACGCCGGGGAAGGGACGCCGGGGAAGGGACGCCGAAGAAGTGCATGTTTGGCAGACACAATGGTGGCCAAGTTCCTACAGCAGGGTCGTTAAATTTGGTCCGTGCTTTGGTAGGTGTGGTCGTCCTTGAAGGCTAGGAACGACCATACCTACCAAAGCTGGTCGTCCCTAAGGTTAGGGACGACCACAGCACGGACCTCTCCATCACCCGAGTGCAAGTCGCGTGCCCAGAGCCCCCTGACTGGTGAAGCAGGGACCCGGGACTTATAAAATGACTGTGAAGTGACAAGATTCTTCCAAAAATGCTCTATCATCAATTTCCAGCCCTGAGACGCCACTAGTTGAGAACGATCTGTGAAGTAGCCCAGGTTGAAAGGTCAATCCTTGACGATGTAATGGCCACGAGAGACATCCCTGTGATGTTAATAACCCCAAGGTCCATCCCTGGAGTGACGGAGGGCTGCCCAACAAGGTCAAACACCCGCCATCATACCTGGACGGCCGATTGGATCCCTAATTTATGAATTTCCTGTATCTTATTTACAGTAACGGAAGAGTGAATTCCGTTTGTGTTCTAAAGCGACTAGCTAGTCTCTTAAGACTTGATCCTGCATGATACGTGGTGTTGATGGGACCCAGGGACCACGTGACCCAGGGACAACGTGACCCAGGGACCACGTGACCCAGGGACCACGTGACCCAGGGACCACGTGACCAAGAGAGCATGTGACTGAGACCTCAACATGCAGCAGCTGTCCTCGTCACAGCAGGAGAAGAATAACAACGCCGCGCCACCGTCCGCCTCCCTCTCCACCCCCACACACTCCCTGGACCTCGGCAAGCACTGAATTAGACAGACCGACACGGACAGACGGGTTGAGGGAGGGGGACAGTTCCCTACATCACACTAATAGCACACTTGCCACCGCGCCTTGTACGTAGATTTATCAAGAGATAGTATTACCTAGAGGGTGAGAGTGACCTTGGGTACAGGAGAAGGATAGATGGAGGAGAGGGTGATGAGTTAGTGAGATAATGATGAGCTTCACCCAGCTGCCTGTAGCTTGGTCACGGTGCTGGGTGATAGCTCTCTGTCTGCTAACAAGAGACAGAAGCCTTCTACTCCTGTACCTGTGTAAACAAGGAGAGAGAATGATAATATAATTATTTGTTATTTAAATCTATGTCTTTTCTTACTTTATATTTGAAGCATCTTTGATTAATTTGTTTATAGGTAAAACTGAACACACACGCACACGCAAGGACATGCACACAGGCATGCATATACACACACACACACACACCTTTTTTTAGTGTCAGAGTGGTTGACAAATCGAATGCATTAGGAAGTAATGTGGTGGAGGCTGACTCCATACACAGTTTCAAGTGTAGATATGATAGAGCCCAATAGGCTCAGGAACCTGTACACCTGTTGATTGACGGTTGAGAGACGGGACCAAAGAGCCAGAGCTCAACCCCCGCAAACACAACTAGGTGAATACAACTTCAGCTTTGATGTCCAAAGGGTTTGGAAAGGATGAGGAAGGTAGAGGGATAGGGAGGAGAAATTAGATGAATACAATTTGTTCATTTGATACATCACGCTATTATGATATCAGTGTGTAATTGTGTAGGTGAATACACACCCTGTGTTAACCTCACCCCCTGGCCACCCACGACAGGTACCACCATGGAAGTGGTTGTGGTGGTGGAGAACTTCCTGGCGGGGACTATGGTCCCGTGTCGGCGCCTGGTGGACTCTTACGAACCCGGGACGGGCGTGGTGTGGGCCAAAGTCCCGGAGTCCGGCAAGCTGGAGGTGGACGCCGCCGTGGCAGCGGCCAAGAGAGCGCTTCCCAAGTAAGTTATTGTTTGGTATTTCCCCCCCCCCCCCTGTTACTGCAGGGAGCACTTTACACGTGACGGATCAAGCTATCTTGAGGCTGCTTTCCTCCAGCCCACCCAAATGACTTATTTTTTCTGTTTACTGTGTAAAATAATAAAAGACATGTAAAAAATGTAAAACAGGCAGCACATATGAAGCACAACAGACAGCCGACACTGCTGGGAATATACACAAACACTGCAAACTCCAGAGTAAGCAACTACAGTCAAGTAAAACAAGATAATTAATGAAACGTAATATACCAAACAAACCTGGACAACACTTAAGCATATTCAAAGCAAACGAGGCGCAGTGCACTCACAACCGAACAGAGACACGCGAGGCCCCGGGAGAACACACACGAACACTCTACACAACTCGGGGCATTTACCGCGTTGTGGTTCGAACAAAATTCGTCAGCGAAGCACGTGTTCCGGAAGGATTCGGACGTCATCAGTTGTGAGTCGTGTGTAAACCGCTTTTCATTCATAAACATGGGGTTTGGCGGCTGGATTAATGAGCTTGGATCTTTGTATGTGAGAACGGGCTGCACAACTGATGACTTTTGAGCATTTCTCGAAAAGTGCTTCGCTGAAGATCTCTGTTAGAATCGCAGCCCGTCCTTCAAACAAAGGCCCAAAAGTGATTCCATGCATCCGCCAAACCCTCTGTTTGCGAATGAAAAACGGTTTACACACGACTCACAACGGTTTAAAGTTCGAACACTTCCGGAACAAGTGCTTCACTGACGAATTTTGTTCGAACCACAACGCTGTAAATGCTTCACCCACGTACTACAAATACAAATAATCGCCAACAGAACCTAAACACCTAACCTAACCTAACCTATGCCTATATATGCCCAATATGCTAACATATTATAATATTAATTTATATTTGAGAAAATTCCCGTTTTGAATGAACAGCATGTAAAAATTTATGAATGCGTCTGTGGGGTCGACCGCTGGATGGAATGGATTTGAGTCGAGGACGGGTTGTAGAATCGCGATTCTGTAAATGTTTTACCCACATACTACAGTTTCAAATAATCATACCAACAGAGCCTAAATAGCACTCGTAATCTTCGTCCAAATATACACAATATGCTAATATATAACAATATTAATCTATATCTGATAAAATTCTTATTTTGAATGAGCAGCTTTTAAAAATAGATGAATGTACCTTTGGGGTCGGCCGCTGGATGGAATGAACAGAACCTGAGGACGGGTTAAAACACAAATAAGTGCCTACATAATCAAAACACTTAATTTGAACGTATGCTAGGGCCTATGTATAAATTACAATTTGTTGTCAACAGTGCGGTAAAATTGATGAATGCTTATTTGGGGTCGTCGAAAACAGCTTTGACGACCGTTGCTGAGGATGAGATGAATAACCTGACACACGACCCCTGATAATCCCACTCACTAATATTCTAGGAGATGGCCAGCGGCAGCCTCATCCCACAAAGTCTGAAAATTTCTTTCTAATAACTTGGACTCTTATCTAAAAAGATAATATTCACTAATAATGTGAAAGATTGCCCCTGATAGACCTATCATAAATATTCTACAAGAAGGGAGCTTGGAGGCCTAAAAAATTATTATTATTATTACCCTTCTGAGCTTCCCTGCTTCTCCAGATGGTCGAGAACAACGGCTCAGGAACGCGCCAAGTACCTCCTGAAGGTGGCTGACCTGCTGGAGGCGGAAATGGAGGCGTTCGCCGTGGCCGAGTCCCGCGACCAGGGTAAGCCACTGTGGCTGGCCAGAACGGTCGACGTGCCCAGGGCGATCTTCGACCTCAGGCACGCCGCCCACGCTCTTCAACATCTCCTCGCCACGTAAGCTCCCGTTTAACACGTACATTTTTGCCACTTAGATCCTGGACTTGGCTTGGAACTACGAAATTATAGGCTAGGCTTGGCCTTTTCGTGTCCTTTTCTTCTCAAACCCCCGTGCTTCACATTGTAGCTTGTGGAGCTTGGAGCTGTTTCCCCTTATGTGAGTTAATATGAACCTTATGAAGAAGTGGTATATGGGTTAATATCTTCAAATCTCTTCAGTATTTCAAATATGTATCTATGAGATGAGCCTTGTAGCGTCTGGTCTGCAGGATTGTCAGCCATTATCTGGTGATTAGCCTTGTGTGTGTGTGTGGGGCAGGTCGAGTGTGCAGTCGGAGGCGGACGTGGTGAGCTACGTGCTGCGGGAGCCTGTGGGTGTGGTGGGCATCATCTGCCCCTGGAACAAGCCGCTCTGTGGGCTGACGGGCAAGCTGGCGCCCGCCCTCATGTGTGGCAACACTGTCGTGGCTAAACCCTCACAGCACACATCTGTCACCTCATATATGCTCTGCAAGCTTATCCAAGATGCAGGTAAGGTCACTGACTCATCAAGATGAAAATATATGGTACCCAACACCAATATGCAGGCTGGGTCTCTATTCCCAATATGTCCACGATACAGACAATCAAATATATAATTCCTGTTTTGTCAGACATGATCCGATTTCACTAATTTTACTCCTATTTTTCTCAGCTTTGCTCCCATTTGGTTGATGCTCCCTCATCATGACACACTTATTTCCACTATTTTCTCTTGCATTTTTATGTATATGTTTAATTAAACTTTAAGAAGATTTAGTGGTGGTGGTGAAGATAACTGGTGTTCGGACAGGCAAGTTCAAGTACGTTTATTGAGACAAGAAAAAATACATCTCAAAGGGATAAAGTATCTTAGGCTATTTCTACCCCCCTGCGGATAGGCTTGCCGGCGGGTACGGTCAACATGGTGTTCGGCTCCGGTCCGGTGGCCGGGGAGGCGCTGGCCGCTCACAACGAAGTGTCCCTTCTGGCCTTCACTGGCTCCACCAAGTTGGGCAAACACATCGCTTGTATCGCCGCTTCTCTCCTCAAAAGGTTTTCTCTTGAGGTGAGCTGATAATGTGCGCCGTACTCACCTAGTTGTGTTGTCACGCAATAGCGTCGATAGCCTATTGGCCCATAGCGTCTTTCCATCTCCTGTAGGAGTTATGTTTTCAATCCTGGTGTTTCTTATTAAGGCCGCTTACTGCCTTTGCCTCAACGATCTCCTCTCGCAGCAGCTCCTCAAGTACTGTGACCTGAGCCTGTGCATGTGACAATGATGAAGCCCGCTTAAAAAATATTCTAGCCACAAAATTTGTTTTACTAAAAATTAATGTTTGATGTTGCTATCTTCATCATTGTTTAACAGTCGCAAAATATAAAATTTATTACGATTAGTCTCAAGGATTGATGTTTTAGGTCAAATGAAAGTGGATATGTTAAAAAAAAGTTGTTAATTAAATAATTACTTAATATTTATTTAGTAATATTTAAATAATTGGACAAATCATCTCTTGCAATTTAGTTTTTCCTTCGACCCGAAACAACAACACAATCTATCACCCAAAGACATGACAGTAGTTAAGAAATATTTCAAGCAGCTAATGCCAACATATGTGTGTGTGTGTGTTTGACCATGTGCGTGCGTGCGTGAGGCAGACGGGCGGGAACAACGCCGCCGTGGTCTTCAAGGACTGTGACCTCAACCTGTGCATCGACACCCTCAAACGTAGCTCCTTCCTCAACCAGGGCGAGGTGAGCACTTTGGTCTGTACATTATATTTATTCTTTGTGTCATTGGCTGTGTTTGTTTATGGAGCATTTTTGCTAAACCATTATTTATTTATATATTTTATATGTCTGTCTATTTGCCTGATTGGGTGTCCAAGTCATAGTTGTATCAGGGTCAGTTCCACTGCCTCACTTTTAAGAAAATTCACCTCTCATGGCGACCCCCATTAAGTCATTTGAGATGAAACGATTTTTTTTTTTTGCAATTCTTTTATCAGTGGTTTAATATATTACAGATATTGATGTGCAAAATGGATGTTCTGATGGCATATTTGCATTCTGGGGGGGTTCCTAGCACTTAAGGGAGGAGGAACATTTTGGGGTGTTGACCCCCTTAAAGGTCGACCTTGGCACCGCCAATTATTATTAAGGATAATGATACCCCAAAACGCATGTTCTGGTGGCAGATTTGCATTCTGGAGCCTCCCAAAATTTTTTTGGAGTGGACCCGAGCACTGTATGGCTTGCCATATGGACCCAAGGCCTAAATGGCAATCTTTCCTCTCCCCCCTCCTCTCTCTGCACCCATCTCCCCTTCATCACCTTTCTCCCCCAATATCCCCCCCCCCTCTCTTCCTTATTCCTTCCCTCTTTCCCCTTTTTCTCCCCGCTTTCTTCTCTCATTCCCTTTTCACCAACATCCCCCCTCTGACTTCCTCTCTCCATCTCCTCCCCTCCCTTCTATCCCTCCATCTCCCTATCTCCGGGTTTCTCTCCCCATCTCCTTCTTCTACCCCTCCCCCTCTCCAGCCTCGAATAAACACACAGACATTGTTTTATAGATATAATCGTGAAGTTGATATTTCAGACGCGTCTGTGTACCACCCGGATATATGTGGAGGAGACGCTCTATGAGGAGTTCTTGGACTCCTTTGTCGAGGCTGTCAGGTGAGTTTGGGAGTGGTTGGGCATGCTTACCCACCCGTGTTTTGTGTGTGTGTGAGTGTGGGTGTGTGTGAGTGTGTGTGTGTGTGTGTGTGTGTGTGTGTGTGTGTGTGTGTGTGTGTGTGTGTGTGTGGGTGTGTGTGTGTGTGTGTGTGTGTGTGTGTGGGTGTGTGTGTGGGTGTGTGTGGGTGTGTGTAGTGTGTGGGTTTAAATTGTATATTTCTCTGACTATATACGTGGAAACATTCTTAATCCCGCCATGTAATGCTTACTGGGGTCTTTAGGGAGCTCCGAGTGGGACCGCCATCTGACGAGAATGTGTTCATGGGGGCGATGGTCTCCAAGGACAACCTGGAGACGGTCCGAGGCTTCGTCAACTTAGCGCTGGAGGAGGGCGGGGCGGTGCTGTGTGGCGACGACATTGAGAGTTGCTCTCTTCCAACCGAAAATAAAAATGTAGGTCAAGATGTCACAAAGTGTTCCATATTTTCAGTTTAGTTTTTAATAAAAATGATAGAGGTGGAGGATGAAGCGATGACAGTGATCTTAGAACATAAGAATTAGATTAATGATTATAACGCTAATTTTCTCTATTTTTTTGTCCTGCTCCACTTGGGCCTTAGGTTTCAAAATTAACACTCCAAAGTTAATTTTGCATTTTGACCTGACGTTAAAATGTCCGTCACTCTGAAGATATTTGAATACAAAGAAGTGGAATCAATTAGGTGTTGTTTTAGATTCAGCTACTCAGAACAAAAAGTTGCAAGTAGCACGGGCTATGGTGAGCCCGTTGGGGACTTACCTGGCACCGGAGCGGGGCTGTAACTCGTAATCATTTAGCTTCAACTACAGTATTTATGACCAAGAGGGAAGACAGGGAAGTTAGGTGTTATCCAGCCCATGTTGGCTTGGGCATGAGGTGAGGTATGAGCTGGATAGTCTCTCTTAAGACTATCCAGCTCACGTATATAACTGAACGTGAGCTGGATAGTCACGTATCTCACGAACGACATATCCTATCTAACTTTAAGCGATTGTTGGTAGCTGGCATAAGTGTTTTATATATAGTACTTAGCTAGTTGTAATCTTCAATTACCGTTGTATCTGTCAAGTATTTCAGTGTTGTTGAGAATATTTCTGGCGATGGTATGGTGGGTAGAAATTGTGTGATCTTCATTAGGCTGTGTCTGCGTTATCAGGCGCACTGAAAGAGATGTTGTCAGTTAGGCTGCAAATTGGGTTGTTGGGGTTGATATGTGACAAGTGGGTCTGTGAAGGCATTGATGGACCTCGTCTCTTTCACGGGCATGTTGTCTGTCTTTTTGCTCTTGTGGTATAAAGAGAGCTTTGTTTTCTGCTTAGTGTTGGTGGGGTTCATGTTTCTCTCGATTATTATATATTTTAGGAGTCTTTTCTTCTTCTGGACCACTGAAATTTTCATCTTGAAGAATGTCAGATGGAACAATGACCTCTTCATCAGAAAGAGGATACAGGCCAATGGGTCAGGCAGCGGCCCATGGACCAGAATCTAAATAACGATGACACATATTAATGTCCCCTTTCACCCAGTTTCTCCGTTGTTGCATCTTTTAAAACAAATCTTTCATGCCGATATCAACTGTGTTTGTCCCGCTGCCGCTGCTGGTGGTGACAGGGCTTCTTCATGCGGCCGACGGTCATCAGTGGACTGCAGGACGAGAGCCGCTGCATGCAGGCGGAGATCCGGGGTCCCGTAGTGTGCGTCCTGCCCTTCCACAGCGAGCAGGAAGTCGTCCGCCGGATCAACAGCTCAGACTCCGGCGTCGGCGCCTGCGTCTGGACCTCCAGTCTGGGCGTGGCCCACAGGGTCGCCCGCAAGCTCAAGGTACGACTCGATAACATGTTCTCAAGGTCTGACCGGCCTCAAGTGGTTCTGGTCTGACCACAGGCGTACGAACCCTGTCAGTGTTATAGGTTTTTATTTATAAATTAACGATGAGGTAATGTGGTTGCTGACACCATCTAGCAATGTTGCATGCACCATCTAGTAATGCAATGTGTGTGTTTACCCCCTACGCGAGATGGAGGATAATATGTTGTGTCCTGTGGCAGGCGGAGACGGTGTGCACCAACTGCTGGTCGTCGTCAGAGCAGAACGCGCCCTCAGGGGAGGCCAGGGACGGCGGCAGGGGCGCCCTTGGCACCCAGAAGCATCTCCAGCTCTTCACACAAACCAAGACCATCACTACCCTCGTCCCGCAGAAGGATGATGAGGAAGATACAGAGTAACGAGAGAAAAGAAAAATATCATGATTATCGTGCCTCAACCATGCTTGACCGTTCACCAATTACAAATGAATTCCGCCTACTTTTTATATATATATTTTTTATTTTCAAGCGCGTAGATAACTTCTCACTATAGCATTCATTCCCTTTCAATGGCTCGTGTATAAACATCACACTACTCGTTTCCCCCTAGAACACGATATGACCATCGGTTTACAACCATGCATACACAATTTGTGCTGGGGTGAGCAAGGGGTTGAACAGCTAACAAGCGGTATACCCAGTCGTTTCCTTCCTGCCCAGGGGATTCGAACCCGGGCCCGACAATATATTACTCCCAAGAGCCGAGTTTGGCTCCGATACTTAACTATATTCGTCTCTCTCTCCTAAATCTTCAGCTCCGAGAACGGCTCATCTTGGCTTCCTCTGACTTCCATAAGCCTTGAGGCCTGTTAACTTGTAGATTGTATGTGTGTGTGTGTGTGTTTGTGTGTGTGTGTGTGTAAAGAAACACTAGGGAATTCAAACATATTTGCTGCAAATACCAGCGGGAGAAATTAATTTGTAGATATACAAATATACAATATATCTAATTAACGACATGAATTCACACAAAAACAACAGGATTATATTAGTGGTGAATCAAGATGATATATAAATATGTCTGTAAGTAGAGGTGATATGCGATATACACAACAAGGTACTGAAGACATGATGTAAATGAGAGAGTACTGAAGACATGATGTAAATGACAGAGTAAACATGATATTATAGATATTTTACTGTTGGTAAAGTACAGGCAAAAAATATATCTAATCACTTGGAAGATGAAACACCCAACTAATGTAACATTTAAAATGCCATAAAACAATATATTTTGTCGTAATAATCATTAACAATAATAACAACAGCTTAGAGCTTCAGTAATTAACACAACTATATAATGTGCTGATAAATACAGTTATATTAAGCTTAGGACATAACTAATAATAGCATTTTATTTAAAAAAAAAAAAACCATTATTGCATGATACAAGGAGCCAGAATGTACAAATTCATTTGTACATGAATTTGTACAGTTGTATTTGATGTATGTGCATTTGTTATTTGAAGGCATGACACATGTAGAATTATTATCACTCATGTAAATAAACAGAAAGTCAAGAAGCCGGCTGTCTGGGATGTACTGGTTTCTAAACATCTGTGTTGGATCTCTTACTTGTGTTTAGAGAAAGTTCCACTTTTACTGAATTGGAACTTAATCAAGTATCTTGTTTCATCTTTTGTTTTTTAAGAGAATTCTGTTTTAAATATGTATCCTACAGATGTTAGTCCTTTATGTTCAAATTGGTGGCTTTTTGTATTTATCTGTTTCACTTTTTTGCAGAATTTTGTGATAGCCTCTTACAGTATTTAATAATGGATAATAATTTAATAATGGATAGCCTCTTACAGAATTTGATAGAATCCTCAGACCATTCCTTAGATTGCTTCTCCATATCACTTGTTAACGTCCCAAAAGATATGAAATATATTTATTTCCCCTTCTCTGGATATTTGAGTTATGAGATTATAAAGCAGTTATCCAGCCTACTTCCAAATAATTATCCCCAGATTAACTTTGTTTTTGTAAATTCCAGTACTATTGGGAACCGGTTTGTATACAAAGCTCCCATTTATACTTCTTTATGTGGTAACACAGTGCTCCAGTACACAGTACACATGTTCTGAGTGTACTGTCTGATGTAGTACTGGAATCATATTTTGTCCTTTTTGTATTAGAATCTGTGAACAAAGGTGTGTGGTGAAATAATCCTTCCCAGTGTTAAACCACCTCATTCCCTTGTTAAGGCTCGTGTATTATCATTTGTGTCAAATGATAATACACGAGCCTTAAATTTTAACACAATAAATTTACTTTGAGCCTTAAATTATGACACAAATTTATCATAAATTTGTGTCAAAATATTAAAAAATTCTAGCTAAATGTTCTAATAAACTTGATCTAAGGATTCTAAAGAGTTTATATATTTATAATATTACATAAACCTCAGCTGAATTCCTTGGAACTTCCAATTTCTTAAGGTATGATAACGTAGACGTCAGTTTCCTTGGGTATCCCTTCATAAATTGGTTTTCTTTGAATCGGTTTTAGTTATAATGGTTTTGGTGTTGTTCTGACCTTTCACTCCAGTTCCCAATATCAAGAAGATGTGAAGATGTCCCACCCAGATCTACTAAGGAGGGGCAATGACACCTTGGAAAATAGGAACCCAAGTGAGTCAAATAATTCTGAAGAGGGCAATATTGGAGGGGTCACTATAGGATAATTATTAGTGAAACACCTTCACCTAGAAATATTTCCACAGCCCTAGAGAGCTAGGGGTCAGGGGCCAGATTCACGAAGCAGTTGCACAAGCTCCTACGAACCTGTCCATCTTTTCTCAATATTTGACGGCTTTGTTTACAATTATTAAACAGTTAATGAGCTCGGAAGCACCAGGAGGCTGTTGTAGAGGTGACCCACGTGTTACAACAATAGTACAGTAATATTTCACCTTGAACTGTCGTCGTAGGGAGAGGTAGGGCTGGTAGGGCAGGTGGAGCAAGTCTAGGCTCCTCAGGAAGGGTAGGACAGAGGGAGTCAATGCCTCTTTAGGGGTCCTATGGGCACATATCCTAAGTGCCAGTGGTGCCGGGTAGGCGTCGTCCGCGAGGGGTCACATGTAGTTCAAATCTGGCCCACTCGGCCTGCACGGGGCTGCTGTGCGGGTAGGCTGTGCGCCGTCGCCGTCCACCAATCAGGGCACAGCCCTGCCTATACTGTAAAATGTCTCCTTTGGCGGGCACTTTGAATGTGGTTCCCTCTACACTGTTTATAACAATAACAAGTTGATTAAGAAGTTTTCATGCGTGTAAACTGTTTAATAAATATAACCAAAGCTGTCATAGATTGAGGGAAAGATGTACACGTTCGTAAATACTTGCATAACTGTTTCGTGAATCTGGTCCCAGGTGCGTAGTCCACAGCTCTAGAGAGCTATAAGTAATCATTGTCTATACTACTTGTATGTATGTATGTATGCATGTATACGAGATGGTGCCAACTATCTATAAGAGTGTGTTGCGTAAGGGCAAGTCACGAGATAACTGGCCAATGGCCGGTAAATTGGTCTATTATAAGTGGTGATCCATCAGCCTGCGACGACACAATACACCATCGGTGTATTGTGACCATGACGTCACAATACACATTACGTCACCAGAATCTCCCCCAATGTCCTTCAGAAAGATTCTCAACATTAAAAGTCAACTTCCTGTTGGCTACCGTTTCACCCAATTGTCATCATTACTGTCAACGGTAATATATAGCAACTTTATATCAAAAGTGAATGGAAATATAAACTATTTATTTTATTTATTTTTGTATTTATTTATTGTAGTATGTATTATAGAGAAGTGTGTGTGTGTACTGGGTCTCGTTCTTGTCTCTTAGTTCAGTTGTTTATAAGCAACTAGAGGGGTATCCGGGAGTGCCTGGGTCTCTCCCCCCCCCTCTCTCTCATTCCCCCCCTCCCCTCTCACTCATCTCCCCTCACTCTTCATCTCACCTCTCTAAATGTCTCCTCCAAGACCCTCTTACTCCCTTCCTATCCTCCCATCTACCCCCCCCTCTCAATCTCTCCCGTCTCCTCACCTCTTTCCCCCTTCTGCACCTGTCTCCCCCCCCCTCACCATCCCTCTCCCCCAACATCTCCCCTGTCTCCTTCCCTCTGTCCCTTCTCTCCCTTCTATCCCTCTCTGTCTCATAAAATGTAATACTGTGCTGATTTCACCTTCATCGTTTCTAGTGAAGAAATCCAGGCGCTCTGTCCAGCCCCCCTTTCCCAGATCTTGTGGTGGGGGGAGTGATTAGGTGGGCCCGACCCACTCTTAACAAGACCCACCCCGACCCACCTATGTCCGTTCCGTACCTCAGGCCATTCACCCTGCAATGTTGAGTGAGAGTAGAGAGGCTAGAGCAAGAGAAAGTGCGGTATATAGAGAGAGATGGAGACCAACATTAGCAATGCCGTGTAACCCCTTGTCTATATATATTTATAGAGGGAAAGGGAGAGAAAGTAGGGGGGGGGGGAGAGAAGACTAGGAAGGATGGGGGGTTTTAGAGAGGGAAGGGAGGGGGGGTTTAAGAGAGGGAAGGGAGGGGGGGTTAAGAGAAGGAAGGGAGGGGGGTTTAAGAGAGGGAAGGGAGGGGGGGTTTTAAGAGAGGGAAGGAGGGGGGGGTAAAGACCCCGGATGTCGGCGGGTAACTTTTCCTAGTCTTGTATATATAAATATGCCGTACCTAATAGCCAGAGATGACTAACAAGCCGAATTGTATTAAATATGAATATTGTTCTCAAATTATTCATATGGATTGATGAAGTTGTTCAAAATAATACAAATAACCGAATTTTTCTTAATTTGAGTCGAATGTAACAAAAATTTGACCTAGCCTAATCTACTACAACCTAACCTAACCTAATCTAGCATAAGCTAAACTAACCTAAATTAGTTATTCATATCGTCAATATGATAATACTGCTTGAGGTGAACAAATTTTTAAAGAAAGATTTGAAAATAAGCAAAACAGCTCTGCCTATTAGGCAATCTAGACCCCCGGCTAACTAGGCCAAGTAGATACAGTTCTGGCCACTGTAGGCACGACATACGCATCTTAATTTGGCTCAATTTATCTCCGTGTGATGATGATAATATCTCTGACGATATAATTATTTGTGTAACTCCTGACTGTGAAGGTTGAGTGGGGAGTGGTGGGGGCCATGCATGGACCCCTCTACTGATACCTGCTATCAGTTGGTTATCGTCCTTGCCTCGCTATCATTATTCCTTTTTTCCCTCAATCAAATGACAGTAAGTGAATAGAATCAGTGTAAGAACAAAAGGGGAATTGTGGAAGATCTTTGTGATCTTCCATAATTATCTGTAGTTGATGTTTTCCCTCAGTGTCTGGGGGGACAGGTAGCCTGTTAGTGTATAGAGTCCCCCTCTGCTCTGCATCCCCCCTTAGCCACCAGCTGACCTTCCTCAGGATGCACCCCACAACAGTTGCCTAACTCCGGCTACATAGTCGCAACTATGTAGCCCGAGGCATCATAATAATTCAACCTGGCCCAAACATTAACTTCTCCTTGGGACTCGAACCCGGGTCCTATTTGTTTGTGAACCGACTGTAGTCACCACTGCGCTTCAGGACCTAACAAAAATAAAGTAAGTCACCAGTACCAACCGTGTGGACGCTACAGATGTACTTACAACGGTATTTTATTAATAATGTTCCAATACAACCCAGTTAAAAATTATAACAACTAACCAGGGTGGGACTTAATAAGATATCCTGGTGAAGGGATATCTCAACAATGTTATCATACCGCTGCAGGTCAGGTGACAAGGTGCCATGATAAGTTCTCCTCCTCCTCCTCCTCCTCCCCCCACTCCCCCTCCTTCCCCCCCTCCCCCTCCTCCCCCCCCCAAGTTGAGATAAGATTAACCCCCAGGCAGCCAAGCATGTATGTATGTATACACATATATACACTTGCAAGTTGGGCACAGATTCGTCCAGTTCGCAGGTACGGGCGAGGAGTGTATAGTGGTGGTGAGAGCCAGGTATTGTACCACCAAGATGGTTACTCGGTGTTTTGGAGTTAGTCAAGTGCTTGAGGGAAGTGGGAAGGGGGGTAGATGTGCTTTATATCCAGGCAGGGGGACTCTAAAGGGAAAAAAGGAAATTTGTTGTCCTGAGTTTGTCAAGTGAGTGTGAATCACCTACACCAGCACCATCAGCACCAACATTGGCCAACTGTGCTGAGGCGATGATGGTTAATGTTGTGGCCAAGACGCAGCCACTAAAGTTGGGATTTGATCAGAGGTCCTCAGCCAAGCTTTGCTCGAGAAATGTTCGACTCGCATTAGTTGTGTAAACCGTTTATTCATAAACCAGGAGTTTGGCGGCTGGATTCAAGTGCATTTAGCCTTTGTTCGTGAGAACAATTTGCCTCACGCTTCACGAGCAGTTTCGTCCGGGTTCGAAGCCTGGCCAGGGAGCAGCCTGTCCTCACCAACAAAACGTAGATGCTCGTTAATCCAGCCGCCAAACCCCCGTGTTAATGAATGAAAAAACGGTTTACACACAACTCACAACTGCTGACGTTCGAACACTTCCGGAACAAGTGCTTCGCTGATGACTTTTGTTTGAACCACAACGCTGTAAATGCTTCACCCACGTACTACAAATACAAATAATCGCCAGCAGAACCTAAATACTTAACCCTAAGTATAACTACACACAGAACTTTAAAATATAATAATATTAACTTATCAACCTGTCCTTAGAGCAGCCTCGTTAAAGCAGCAGCAGTAATTAAGTACACCCATGACGCATTCATCACTTTTAACAAACCGTGTATTATAAATAGGTTTGTTTTCATATATAAGTTAATATCATACATTATAATATTACCTTGTATTTTAGAACAAACCCATTTTTAATACACGGAATGTTAAAAATGGATGAATGCGTATTGGGGAACGGCCGCCGCTTTAACGAGCCTGGATTGAGGACAGGTTGCAGGGTTGACTTGCCAAAAATTTTTTAACTGTTCGCCCCAGTGCACTCGGCAATAATTGAGGACCTGGTTGCAAGCAAGAGTCATGTACCACCAATTTATGCACCATTAACTTCACCGGTCATAGTGACCATCATCAATATGAAAGTGATCAATGTGAGACTTTCCTCTCCCGTCCCTTGACCGGAGTTGATAATAACTTCCTCAAAGATATTGTGATTATCTTCATTTTCTGCTCATATGAATGTACAGGGTTAATTTAAGTATGCCTTTTGTCTTGAAAAAAAAATGGTGTTAAATTCTACGTTGTTGACTGACAACCGAGGGGGTCTTGGACAGGTTCGATTCCAACTGTAGGACACTGTTTCCTTTCACCTGATATATCCTGTTCACGTAGCATTATAATAATAAACTTTATTCAGGTAAGAGTACTTACATACAATATGAATTACAAACAGAAAGTGGGATTTAAAGATAGAGTTAGTATATAATATTCTGAATGCCACTAGTACGCACAGCGTTTCGGGCAAAAAAGCACTCAGGAATTAGGCAGCTGTTGTGGATTGCATCGTGTGTGTAAGCCCAGTACTTGGCTAAGGAGAAAGTGGGAAGCATAGAAGAACAAAGACAGGCAGCGTGTGGGATGCTCTCGGACGCAGGTTCGAATCCTCGTCACGGCCCTTGTGGATTTGTTCATGGGAAGCACAGGCTTCTTGTCCCCGACAAGGGTAAAGTAGCACATCAGCAACACAGTTGGTGTTGTTGGGCAAGCAATTAAGGCTTCACCCACAGGTTAGAATGCTGCCCTACTCACGTTTGAGACATGTGCAGATATTGCACGCTCTAATGTGATAACAACAACATGAACATTGCACGTGATTAGGTTGCAGGGACAGCAATACGGCCAATGCTCAGCCCCACATCTCTCCATTTGCAACCCGAGCCCACATATACCGCCTCCGGTAGATGATAATAATATTCACATTCACCATAATTTAAATCCATTATACAATGCGTATTTACCAAGAATAGAGCGCGGCCATGCCTTGTAGCCTCATGATCTATAATCAACACCGCGACAGCCTTGAACCACGGAGTTCGATCCCCGCGGCAGTCCCAGTGTTGGACACTCTTCCTGCTCTCCCAGATGGAAGATATTAGTACTAGCTTAGTGCTTCCTCCTGACGATTACCTCTCCTTAACGCCTCGTAAACTCCAGCCTATTTGAATACATTTAGTAACGGTGGTAGAGAGCTGTTTAAAGCGTCATATTAGGTCAGAAGCGGTAGAGATAGACAAGGTGGGAGACATTATCTGTCCTTATCTTACCTCGTGTGTGTGATAAGGTCGCAAGCTTGTTGATTACACGTGGCTGGTTGTCATTGATGTTTTCCAACAGGACATTGCAACAAATTTGGATTAAAAGTGGATCATTTAATCCAATATTTCTATCTTTGTTGGATGGAAATTTTTTTCATTTTTCATTTGGAAATTTCTCATTTCCATCAACAAATGGATCATTTTGACCTTGATCTGGTAACACAATATATCAAGCTTAATATATAAAGTTATTAACAGGTGAAGCTTACCACCTGCTTTAATTACTTCAATACTCAACTTACAACTTGGTTTTTACACTCACGTGAAAATAAAAATAAACATACAAGTTAAAGTTACTGTAAATGAACGAACACATCATTTACAGACACGAATATATATATATATATATATATATATATATATATATATATATATATATATATATATATATATATATATATATATATATATATATATATATATATATATATATATATATATATATATATATATATATATATATATATCCAACCAGGGATTCCACTGAATCCTTTAAGGATCCTGAGGCTTCCACTGAAGCCTACTCAGGATTTCACACATTGCTCCCTCAACCCCCCTAGCCATGTATAGCTGCAAATTGAACTTTTGGAGAGTTACTAACTTGTCAGCATCTTTCATTTGAAATAATAGCAGTGGAATATCGAGAAGATTCATGGCAGTGATCTCTACACTGGAGTTGATGAACCATATACATTATCCCCAGGTCAGTTGAGGCTCGAACCACGGACACAGCCCAGCTGAGCAGTCCACGAACCTCAGAATGACGAACCCTTCTGAGAAGTCTGGTGAGATATCCTCGTTTTCATTTTGTTTCATTTGTTATTTTGTTTTATATATTTTTCACTCCTAGCAAGAAGATAAATATTTCACAAACGTTATAGATTGCGAAACACCTGGGTAAATACGGGTTTGGTAGTAGGCTTGGTGATTTATGGAACAAGTGACCTCGAAATATAATAGACAAAGGAATTGTTAGAATTTTACGACTAATGTACTTACTCTTATACCCTAATATACATACTCGTGTACTCTAATATACATACTCGTTTACTCTAATGTATTTGCTCATGTAATCTCATGTAATTCCACGTACATACTCATGTCCTCCTGTGTACTTTGTTCGTGTACACTAACGTTCATTTCTAGTGATGTACATTATGGTGTGTGACTGTGTGATCAGGGTCGAGGCGGGGACGGAGCACGTGGTGGCAGTTGGTGTTGTTGATGTGGAAGAACCTGGTGCTGAGGAGACGCCACTGGCTCCTCACCTTCTTCGAGATCCTGCTCCCCACCGCCCTCTTCAGCATCGTCCTCTTCATCAGACTCATCCCCGGCTCTAACTTCATCCCTGAGCACATCAACGCGGTCAGTCAGCTGGTGTGGTGGTCATGTTGGAGGTGGTGTGTGTGTGTGTGACATGAGTGACAGTGATTGTGGAGGTGGTTGGGCACTATTTTGATCCCTGTCCTCATGTTCCAATTCCTATAGTCCTCATATCCGCACCATGTGCTATGTACTATTTTTTTAGTTTTTGGTTATACTACTTTCTCCTCACACTCCCCTTATCTTGCCTTAATCACAGAATACCACGCTCATTGTGAGTGCGCATAATTTTTCAGTCATATTTTGTCATAGTCTTTCTATTGCTATAATGTCCATGGTTTCAGTACTCAAATTATCCTTTAATATAGTAATTGTAATAGTAGTAATATCTGTAGTAGTAGAGGAAGTAGAGGTAGAAGAATCTAGTATAGTAACTACAGCCTAATAATTTAATTATTATTGCTTACTACACCACCCTAAAGATTAAAGAAATGTTCCTTTACACCTGTGATGCTGTAAAGAAGTACGCTTTAGGATAGTTGAAGGAACGGTTGTCTTGCACGCGAATGATGTTAATATAGTGTGTGTAGCCTGAGGTACACACAGGTGAGGCTCCCAGGAACGCTAGTGAGAGCAGGGAATGTTGACGTAACTCTGGCTCCCACCGCTAGGCTTCGTCAACCTCCAGTAATTGTTTATTGAATATAAACAACAACAAATTCTATAAAGTACACAAGAGCAATAGCAAATTACACAATATAGCAAATTCTATAAAGTACACAATAGAAATTGAAGGAAATAATTATATTCTATTCGTAGATTTTGAAGTAAAATGTAGAGGAAACCTGTAAATGAGGACTCAAACCTCTATTGCTGTTAATCCTATCATGAAAAATTAATACAGGTGAAACAGTTGTTGTTCTTTGCTAATGATTTCGAGATGACTACTTATATTAACACACACCAGTAGCATACATAAGCCCTGAAACACCTTAACCCTTACAGACCACCATCTTCGAGACGGACAGCGAGATGCGGCTGAAGGAATACGCCTGCAGCAACTACGGCAAGTGGATAAACAAGACCAACTACTGCTTCACCATGCCCAACATGCGCGACCTTCAGATCTACTACGGTCCTTACGGGGGCTTCACTAACAGCGTGGCCACGCATGTTGCTAACGAACTCAATATTCCTAAAGATGGTGAGTTCTTGAGGAGAGAGAGAGAGAGAGAGAGAGAGAGGGTCATATTCTTGGGGTACCGAATCCCACTCAGAATTGCTATAACCGGTGGCAGGCGTACGTACCCACTGGCCGTTGTGGAAAGCTGTCCCTACACGGCGCAACTTCGTTCAAACGAAGGTGGTTTAGCGGAATTATAGCCATTTAATTAGGGCTAACCAAACTGGACTCCCAGACTGGTTATCTGGTGCCGCTCCTCAGGTCTCCCTGTTTACATTCTTTGACAAATTATCTGAATAGTTGTTATCTACACTGTAATTGATTAGGGTCAATATTATCTTAATATGATCATTATTATTTGAAACTTGTATATGTAAGTAAACTAACTACACACACACGCGCGCACGCACACACACACACACACACACACACACACACACACACACACACACACACACACACACACACACACACACACACACACACACACACACACACACACACACACACACACACACACACACACACACACACACACACACACACACACGCACACGCACACACGCACGCACGCACAAGCTGCCGATGATGATGTATGTATTCGTGACTCAGCTCTGACGCCCGTGTTCACTAACGAGGAGATGGACTCCCTGGTGCTACAGTCGTACTACACAGCCAACATCACGCCCTACTACATTGGGCTCTTCTTCAACGACTTGGACGACGTGGACAGCGCCCCTCACGACCTCAAGTACGACCTAAGACTCACGGGGACTTGGATGACTGCTTCTAAATACCCATTCTTGGAGGCGGCCGGTCCAGCCAACTCTACCTTCAGTAAGTGTTAGTCAACAGGTATGGCGCGGGCTCTTTTCTACCTGTGCTCGCTTAAGCACAGGTAGAGAGAGGGAGAGAAATGGCTGCAGGGAGAGAGTTGTAGCTCCTGGGCCCCCGCTTATTGTTATTTGTGCTTTGTGAACTTATTCCTCCCGAAGGTCAAATATTCGATAGTGTTTTGTCCCAGAAGCTGTGAGGGGTGGTGGTTTCCATCACTTATTGTATGTGTTTATCACTGAGAATATATCCTGTTTATTTGTGTGTTGACTAAATGACAATGACTCATCCTTTTTAGGGTACCTGAACCAAGGGTTCGCTCTCATTCAGAGCCTTGTGGACCGGTTCTTCATCTCCCAGATCACCGGCAACGACACTTACTCCGACTATAAGGTAAACAACGACACTTACTCCGACTATAAGGTAAACAACGACACTTACTCCGACTATAAGGTAAACAACGACACTTACTCCGACTATAAGGTAAACAACGACACTTACTCCAACTATAAGGTAAACAACGACACTTACTCCGACTATAAGGTAAACAACGACACTTACTCCAACTATAAGGTAAACAACGACACTTACTCCGACTATAAGGTAAACAACGACACTTACTCCGACTATAAGGTAAACAACGACACTTACTCCAACTATAAGGTAAACAACGACACTTACTCCGACTATAAGGTAAACAACGACACTTACTCCAACTATAAGGTAAACAACGACACTTACTCCGACTATAAGGTAGACAACGACACTTACTCCGACTATAAGGTAAACAACGACACTTACTCCAACTATAAGGTAAACAACGACACTTACTCCGACTATAAGGTAAACAACGACACTTACTCCAACTATAAGGTAAACAACGACACTTACTCCGACTATAAGGTAAACAACGACACTTACTCCAACTATAAGGTAAACAACGACACTTACTCCGACTATGAGGTAAACAACGACACTTACTCCGACTATAAGGTAAACAACGACACTTACACCAACTAGAGGTGTGAAGACCAAGAGAGATAACGAAAGGTCACTTTCATTTGTCCATGATGATTAATTTAAGTTCACTTCCCAATTCAAATGCTTTGTCCATCTCTTCCCTGTCAGTGTCTGAGTATTTAGTATGTCGTGATTATGTGTCCTCTTTATACTCTTTTCAGAGTATAAAGCACTCAATTCCCTTCAGGTTACACAGGGATTATACCGCGTTGCATGATACCTTAACCCTGTCTACAGACGTAATGATGTCTTCTGTCTGTCACCCCCGGCGCAACAGGTGGAGGTGCAGAAGTACCCTTACCCGAGCTACTACAACGACTTCGGTATCAGCCAACTGTATGGGTCCTTCCTGCCCTCTGATGTCGTGTTGTCATTCGTGCTACTGTCGCCCTCGCTCATCAAGAGCATCGTGTACGAAAAGGAGACGGGTGTAAGGGTAAGTTCTCCCCCCCTTCACTCTCTTGCTTCACCATCATACGCTTCTTTATAAAATATATATGTGTGTGTGCGTCAGGAGTTGATGGGATTACTCATCCCTACAGGAGTTGATGCGGCTGATGGGGATGAGTCGATGGTTGGTGTGGGTGGGCTGGTTCCTGCACGCCCTAGTGGTGGTAGTGGTGGTGGTCACTATCATCACTATCATGATCACTGTCGGTCTACACAGTAAGGGCGCCTACATCCCGCCTATCCTCAACTACAGTAACCCCTTCATTGTCTGGATCTTCCTGGCTCTCTACGGCATCTCCTCTATCACCTTCTGCCTCACCATCTCCACCTTCTTCAGTAGACGTGAGTCTAGGTGACGCCACCAGGTTATCTACTTGACAGTATCTACTGCAGACGCGGGTACTATCTTTACATTAGCAGTAAAATAAAAATATTTTAAAAGATAAAATACAAGAACAATATATAAAATAAAAAACATATATAAAAGATAGATTAAATAAAAAAATATTTATATAAAATATAAAAGATATAAAGATAATAAAATTAAAAAAAAGATTGCATCAAGAAATAAAGTAATATTTATAAAATGTAAAAGTAAGTAGATTAATGATTCTAGGAGCCTAAATTTTACACCGCCGTCGACAAAGAACGGGGAGTCATTTTACACTTGGCAAGCCTCAAATTGATTTGGATAACAGTTTACCCAAAGTAATCAGAACGAATTAGACCCTAGTTAAAAACTGTTCAGAATTACCGTATAATATCAAAGTAAACAAATCTTTAAACTATTGTGAGTTTCTTATCTTCTTTTTGGATGCTTTGTATTCTCTCTTATTTTTGGAGAGTTTCCTGCCTTCTCATTCTTGGAGAATTTCCTATCTTTTGACAAATTCGTGGAGAGCGTCCTAACATTTGACTCGTTCACTTTCTGACTTAGTTTTAGAGAGCTTCTTAACTTTCTCACTCATTCTTAGTGAGCTTCCTTCCTTATGATTCGTTCTTGGAGAGCTTCCTACCCTTTCACTCATTCGTAGAGAGCTTTCTACCTTCTCAGTCATTCTTGAAGAGTTTCCTACCTTATCACTCATTCTTAAAGAGTTTCCTACCTTTTCTCTCACTCTGAAGAATGTCCTACCTTCTCACTCATTCTTGAAGAGTTATGTAAACAAGCGATTTGTTATGCAAACGAGCAACATATTATACAACAAAAGCTATCTGTGATGTAAGCACACAGTATCAACACTTCAACAAATGACATCTGTTTGATCACTATTGTTTTCCTTATATTCTCCAGTCAACAAAGTTATTCGATGTTGTGTTCCGTGACAGCCACGCTGGCCACTACGCTCGGGGTGCTGATCTGGCTCTTCTCCTACTACATTCCCAACTCCATCATCTACCTGCGCTACGAGAGGATGAGTCTGGCCCCCAAGGTCCTCTACTGCCTCATCCCCAACATGGCCATGACCATTGGCTTCAGAGTCATCGAGATGTTCGAGGGGAGAGGTATGTATGAAGCTGTGCCGGTCTTATGGCGGCTATTTTCGTTGGGGGACTCGTTGTGGGGATGATTAGGTAGTCAATGTACCCTGTTAACGTGTGTGTGGGGGGGGAGGATATCAATGTTAGTAAAGGTACACGGTACTTCTACGGTACCACAATTAACCACACTACTAAAATCATCTACACTACCACAATCAGTAACACCACACACCATCACCCACAGTGTGGGAGGTTTCTACTTCTCAACTCTCTTTCCCGATCGAATCCTTTATGCAGAATAAGAATTACAAATATTCTAGAAAATTTCTGACTGGATTAGTAATTAATTTTACAACTTTGAGGAATCAGATCATTTAAATATACACAGCTCCTACTACGAATACTCTAGGACGTCTACCACTACTTAATTAGAAAATAAAGAATGGAACCATGTGCACATAGCTGGGAATAGTATGGTAGCCTCCATGACGTAGTCTAATGCTGGGATCTGGAGGCTATAGAGGCCTAGAGGCTATAAAGGTCTAGAGGCTATATATATTCTACCGGTGCTCTTACACCAACCTGCCTAGAAGCCTCACATTAACATTTATAAAGTTACATTAAGATGATAGGCAGCGAGGCACTGGTTCGTTGCCTTACATTCAATAACAAACAATCAAAACAGTAATATGAGTAGCCTAGCCTAAAGAATTTAAAATAATTCCGTGAGAATCGGGTTATTTTGTATATAATAACCAATATACAGTTTCATTTATATCAGAATATTGTGGTACATGAACAATGCGTCACTTAATTTTCCCACTTAGTTTGGGGGGATCAATAGGAAGTCATTGTTAGTGGAGGAGGCGGGCTGGTTAGTTAATTTATTATGCACCTCATACCCTTCTTGCATGGGTATGGAAGGGACCCCCATACCCATCTTGTGGGCGGTAGTGGAAAGGGTTACAGAGGCACGTAATGGGCTCAGGGACTGAACCCCACAATTCATTTAGCTAAGCAAGTTACAGTCTTGATGAGCTAGTTACAAAATTCCGGTTAAAACAAGGTTTTAGGGAATATAATGTACATGATAATGGGTAATGTTTGGGGGTTACAGTACTGCGCTGCCCAACGTATGACGATGCTACTCTTCTAGCTAACTTAGAGATGCTATGAATATATGTGATTAAGAACGTATAAAGCGAGAAGGTTACAGTAATATTAAGGTGAATGGTGGCTTATGTAGAATGTTTTAAGTAAAGAGTTGGAGTATGAGAGTTGAGCCAAGCCGACGCCAGGGAGGTGGTGGTGGCAGTGTCGCCAGATTGGGCTACAAATAGCGAATTGGGCTACTTTTGAGAGCCCCGCGCTCCCAAATTTTAAATTTCGCTACTTGCTACTTTTTGGGCTAATTTAAAAGCAAGATGTGCTAATTTGGGCTATTAATGTTAAGAATGTACGATTGCGAGTTACATGAAAGTAACTAAGCTATAAATAATTGTAATTAATAATAATTGTAAATATTAATTAATACTAAATAATATTATTTAATAAATTAGTCCCAATTCAATGCAGAGTTTTCTTCCAAGCACAGAAACTTGTAAATATAAATACAAGATAATAGATAGATCGATAAATAAATAGACAACTTTCGAATATTGCACCGAATGGCGCATAAGTAATGGCGAGAGGAAAAAACTAGACAGTATACATTACATTTGAAATTAATAATGGATGAATGGTAATATATTGGTGTATGTTTGTATGTATACCAGACGAAGTCCATTTAATGACAGAATTTAGACATTTTGTGTAAAAACTTTTATATCTCATATTATTAATTATAACAGTAATCGAAAAATGTCATAGTTTGTATATACAAGAGATGAAACAGAGCCATGAGCTAGAGCGATGTGCTGAGTCCATAAGGAGGCCGAGCTTCCGGAAATACCTTCCTGTGATTGGCTGTTGCAGGGAATACCAACACTTTTATGAATAAAATGCAAAATAAGAAATACGTCATTTTGCTCAATAACCTTGTTGTTGTACAAAAGAACAACAATTTCTGTTTTATACAAGACAGAAATTTCCATCTAACTGAATAATGTAGACCCATAAGAGGACGGAGGCATTGTATCGCCGATATTATTTGTGCGAGGCAACACCCTCTGATGACGTCACAAGTTAGGTAGCCAGCCCATGTTTCTGTAACACTCGTTACATCCTGCAGTATTTAATTATCACTATATTAATACTTTTAAATACTTAACATTTCACTTTTTAGGTAGATTAAAGTTGAAGCAGAATGTCATAAGCAAGGATGGTGTGCTGAATAAAGATGATTTATTAAGTGGATGGAACCTTTAGCTGATCCCTTCCTGTGATTGCCTGTTGCAGGGAATGCCAACACTCTTTTACGAATCAAATTTAAACTAAGAAATAGGTCCTTGTGCAAAACAACAAAGTTGTTGTGAAAAAGAACAACAATTTCTGTTTTGCACCTGACAAATCTCCATTTAACTGAATAATTTACTCGAATAAGAGGGCAGAGCAGCGTATCATTATTTGTGACAAGGCAACCCCCAATAATAACGTCTCACGTTAGGTAGCCAGCCCATTTTTATGTAGCATTTGTTATATCCTGCAATATTTAATTATCACTTTATTAGCACTTTAAATAACTAACACTTCACTTTTTTGGGTAAATTAAAGTTAAAGCAGAATTCCATAAGCAAGGATGGTGTGCTGAATAAAGATGATTTATTAAGTGGATGGAGCCTTTAGCTGATCCCTTCCTGTGATTGGCTGTGGTGTGAATGTCAACAAAGAAGATCTACCAATGATATGCCATTTATTATGCACCTGATACCTCTTGTGGGCGGAGCTTGGAACCTCCTACCCGAGCACAACAACCCGCCTTATGGGTTGCTGTTTGGCTATTTATAGTGCGTTGGAAAAAAACTAGATGGCGTTAGTTGTTTTTCCAGGGTAATTTGTTATAAGTGTAATTTGATGTCAACAGATGGCGTAAGCTGTACCTTATGGCCACTGTTGACCAGCCAGTTGATAGTGTTCTCTTCTGCCGACAGATGGCATCAGCTGTCATTATTACTTCCGAATTCCCTTTAAACACTGATCTACAAATCCCTTGGCTTATGATAAGGTTTTATACCATTTATGATAAGTATTAGATAACTGGAGTTACGCAATTACTTATATTTATCAACTGTTCAGGATATCATCATATAGCGTTTGGTTAGGACGTACTGCTCTTGATTGATGAAGATTAAGCCACCCAAGAGGTGGCACGGGCATGAATAGCCCGTAAATACTGCTCTCGTAATATTATTCAGGGGGGTGGGGGAACTATCAAGTGAAAGCGCCAAGCCATTACGACTATATATAGCACTCGGAAGGGGTCAAGATACGGATATGGGATGGAACAGGAGAAAGGAATTTTGTCCCACCTCTTGGGCGGTCAGGGATTGAACGCGGACCTGTAGGAAACGAGACCGTCGCTCTACCGTCCAGCCCAAGTGTTGAAGCGTAATATTATTAAAACAACAATTTATGCATATAATAACAGCATTTCACACTAAAAATACTTGGATATATTGAAATTTTGTAGTGAATTCCAATCTAGGAATCTCCTATGACTAAACTGTACTTTTTAATTGTTTATATGTACTTACTACTTATTATTAAATTATTAAGTACTTACTATAATAATTAAATAAATTATTTTATTTAATATTTAAATTAAATAATAAAATAATAGGTAATAATCATTGTGTAGGGGGACAGGCAGCCAGTGTGTATATATACATGTTAGACTTACACCAAGATCCCACAAAGGTGCCACAAAGGTGCCAAATTAAAGACTGGGAGCTGCCGGGGCGGGCCCAAGGGCTGCTGGCGGCCCTGGCCAGGCTGAACTACCGTGCCCTTATAATCACCATTGTTTAATAATCTTCACAGGGAGAAATAACTGTAAATATAGGAATAGTTTATTACAACATACACGGTAAAGAAAACAGCTCGGAAACTAAGGAAATAAAGCTGCCGAAAAAAACATTAAAAGTCCATTTCAGGTTCAAGTATGTTTATTGTCGGTTCGTTCATGCTAGGCTTGCAGTTACACAACTGGTCGGGGTTCTGGGTGCATAATAAACCACCACTCACTGGCTGAATAGGGGATGAACTATCCACCTCTGGCGGCAAAAAATCAATGTGTCTGTGTGTGTATGTGCAGAAATAATATTAATAAAACAATTAACATCGTGTAGTGTACTCTAGTAGTAGTAGTAGGCATCCATCAGTCTCAGGAGACTATGAGACTGATGGATGTAAATACTATTCATTTTCCCACACTCTACTATATATCAAAATATATTACTTTGAAACCCATATCATTCACTAAAAAAAATTGGGCTACTCTTATTACAAATTCGCTATTTTTAGACCGTCAGCTCGCTACTTTCAGCAATTTAGACCTGGCAACCCTGAGGTGGTGGTGAAGTCAGTGTTGTGACTGTAGCTGACGGGGAAGGTTGTGGCAGTTCTCGCGAATATGTATATTTGTGGCTAAGTATCCCGGTCTCTTTGCATTCACTAAAGCCACCATTCTTGTATATTATTATGCAACACGGTCTGCGGAACCTGTACATCTCCACTCCAGCCTATGTGGGTGGGTGGGGAAAGGGATTTAATTCACGGGAAGTTATTAATGAATACAGTAATGTTAAGTAGCAGGGAACCTTTTCTTACGTCATTCTGGTCTTGACTGAGAGTCGAACACGTTACTTGGTGAACAAATCCACAAGGACCGTGACGAGGATTCGAACCTGCGTCAGGGAGAATCTTTGTTTGAATTTGTTCATTCGAGTCCTCGTCACGGCCCTTGTAGACTTGTTCATTTGATGCATCACGCTATTGTGTAACTATTTTATTGACTCAGGTGTTCTGGATGACATCCTAACAATTTACCCAAAATTTGCTTGTCCATTTTAAAGAATGAAGAACAATTTTTATTTATATTACTTCTAAGCTGCATCACCTATGAACCCATACCTGCCCTTGTCTAGTAGTTCACAGTAGAAAGTTGTTTTCACATATCCATACATTAAAACATTGATTGTAACCATGATATATATGTGCTTCAGCCTACAGTTTAGACCTATTGTCTTATGTATGACCCTCTGTCCTGCGTGACAGTGAGCATTATCCTCACTTTAATAAGACTATCAAAATCCTCAGATTAGGCAAAATTGCAATTAATTTTGTCAATAAAGATGTTAATAATAATAATAATAATAATAATAATGTGATTTGTGTGTAACGTCACTGTGTTCAGCGGTGGGCGTGCAGTGGAGCAACATGTGGGAGACGGGCAACCCTCGGGACCAGGTGACGCCGGGGCTCCTGATGATAATGATGGTGGTGGATAGTGTCATATACTGCATCCTGATCTGGTACGTCGACCAGGTCAGCCCTGGCACCTACGGGGTCGCCTTGCCCTGGTATTTTCCCTTTCAGGTGAGTTTTGCGACCAGTGCCTTCATGTTGACACCTCTTTATTGTAGGGGCCAGCTTTGGAAATTTCAATTCAATTTCTTCAATTTCTTTCTGTATTATGTACCTCCTATACCCATCCCGTAGGCGGTGGTGTACAGGATTACAGAGGCACATAATCGGCTCAGCAACTGAACCCTCTAGTTCGTTTAGCTAAGCAAATAACAATTTTTGACGCTATTTTCATGTACAGGGATTTCTTGGACTACTTTATTTTGAAAAATTTCGAGCATCTAATATATCTTAGATGATTTCATGTAAGACGTTGTTGTTAAGAATGTTTTTCTGTAAATTAATCTTATATTTGCCAGCTTTCTTTGTCTTACAAGATACTCTCTAATTGCTTTTGTATAATTCCTAACAGATTAATTTCGGCAAGTCAGATTTAATAAAATTAATTGCAGTCAAGTTAAGTTTAAAATACTACAGTTTAGACCGTGGTCAATAAGATCTGTATTTACAGTTAATTTCTTATGGTTGGCTTGTAATATATACCTCATTTTGGCCAGTACAGAAGAAAAGGGAAAATATAAAAACTTTTTTTTTTTTTTTTTTTTTTTTTTTTTTGCAAAGCGAGAGTGAAAAGTTCAAGATGTCTTGACACACATACACACTTCTCTTTCTTATCTCTCTCTTCTCTCTTTTATCATCTCTGGCTTCTCTTATCTTTCTTCTTTCTTATCTTTTTTATCTTCTCTCTTTTCTCTCCTTTCTTCTCCTTTCTTCTTTCTCCTTTCTTCTCTCATTTCTCTCATTTCTTCTCTCTTTTCTCCTCACTCTTTTCTCTCTTTCTCTCTCTTTCTCTTTCTCTCTTTCTCTCTCTTTCTCTCTTTCTCTCTTTCTCTCTCTTTCTCTCTCTCTCTCTCTCTTTCTCTCTCTTTCTCTCTTTCTCTCTCTTTCTCTCTCTTTCTCTCTCTTTCTCTCTCTTTCTCTCTCTTTCTCTCTCTTTCTCTCTCTTTCTCTCTCTCTCTCTCTCTCTCTCAACCCCAACATATCATAAGACATGATATCATAAACAAATGTGTCCTGCTGATATAAACACCACACCCGCTATCCTACAGAAAAGTTACTGGTGTGGGTCTGGCCCGGCCAAGGAGGCGCCCAGAGCGATGAACGATGCCCTCGACCCTGACACTCGACAGAATTTTGAGGACGAACCAGTAGGACTGACACCAGGCATCATCATCAGAAATCTGAGGTAAATCTCGAATCGTCATTTTCCCATAAGAACGTCAGAACATAGAAAATTACAAAAGGTCTACCGGGCATTCCGAGAAAACTTCTCTTTATATCCACCCAAACTCATTTGTGTTGTTAACCTACGCTTGAAACAAGTCCATATATCAACAACCCTATTTACAAACCAGTATTTACCCCAGGTCTTTTCTGAAACTAGATTTATCTAGTTTATATCCATTGTTTAGATTTCTGTTTGGGTTGTGTTTAAAGCATATCTGTGTCCTCCCTTATATCACATCTGCCTGTAGTTCCTGTTTGGTATACCTGTCAATCATACTTGTCTATCATCCTTGCCAATCTCACTTTTCTCTAACGTTTGACACTCTAAATTGCCTAATGTGCCTTCCCTGTAGACCTGCCTGTCAAACCTGTATGTCAATCATGTCTGTCACACTTCCTTCACGTCTGTCATGTCTGTCCGTCACGTCTGACCATCATACTTATCCATTCCTGTTCGGTTTTCCAGCTGAGAAGGCAATGTGATTGGCCAAAGGATGAGAGTTACAATGTTACCTTCATTCTGTTTGGCCAGAGAAAAAGTACTAGTGCCCTCTGTAGACATGCAGGCGAACTAATACAAACTTTTAAGAAAAAAAGTCGTAGGATTGTTTTCTTGAATCATGCGTAAGAGACTAGATATTAAAGGTTCTTTGCTGACCTTTCATCTTAAGTGGTTTATTACACAAACCACTTAAAAGCCAAGGAGGTTAGTGAATCCAATTCACTAGTTGATTACATTGTTGTAGGGAGGAGCTCAAGTGATTGCGTTGGTGTAGGGAGGAGTTCTAATGTCTGCTTCGTTGCAGGAAGGAGTTCTAATGTCTGCATCGTTGCAGGAAGGAGTTCAAGTCGCTGGGAAGGAAGGTGAAGGTGGCGGTCGAGGACGTGTCGATGACGTGTTACGAGGGCCAGTGTACCGTCCTCTTGGGCCACAACGGTGCCGGCAAGACCACCACCATGTCTATCCTCACAGGTGACACCCCCTCCCTTTCTAAGTGCCAAAGCACGAAATGTGGGAATGTGGAGATGGTTCTAAACTATTTTACGAGCAGTAATTGACGACCCATAACATTAGGCAAACACATATTCTTAGTTATCTTGAAATACTGACCCTTAGTATGCCATACACTTGAAGGAGTGTTTGCTCCGAGTGGCGGGTATGCCGAGGTCGGCGGCTGGGACATCGCTACCAACCTGAAGGAGGCGCGGGAGGAGGTGGGTCTGTGTCCCCAGCACAACATGCTCTTCGTCGACCTCACCGTCATGCAGCACCTTCTCTTCTTCGGTAGGGTGAGTAACACCTTCTTATAGCCCCTTTCTCATCTTCGGTAGGGTGAGTAACACCTTCCTATAGCCTCTTCTCTTCGGTAGGGTAACACCATCCTACAGAAAATCCATCTCTAAATTCTCGTTCACAAGAATTTAATGCATTTCAGACACATTTTAACTTCATGAAATTTCCAGTGTTCATGAAATATAGTAATAATGTTTCAAAAGAAATTTTCAGCAGAGTTCATGTTTGGGAATGGTGCTGTGACCTTCTCTGTTGCCATTTTTGTACTGAAAAGGCTCAGGGTTCCTTCTTAAAGCATGAAATTGTTTCACCAATATCAATCATGGTTTGGTTGTGACCTTGCATATCTTTTAGTTTAGTTTATTTTGTGTTTAGTTTATTCATATAATGGAAGCAGTCAGTCAAACAGGACAGTATCCCAAGCCAAGAGGGATCCAAGAGGCAATCACCTCAAAAATCCTTTTCATAAACAAAAATACCGATTTCAATTCTCATTTGTCTGAACCTCTTGCAAGGATTTTATCTTCAGAAATGCCACCTCCGATTATTAGCCAAATATCCCGATTTTGCATTTTTGTTATAAAGTGCCAGAGGTTATAATGAACACACACTCAAATGTATCTTATACTGATGTCAACATTTTAGTATAGAATTTTTTTATTAGAAATCGAGTGATTCTTTTTATCCCACAGCTTAAGGGAATGACAACAGCTGCGTCAAGAGCAGAGGGCATGGTGATTCTCAAGAAGCTGGACTTGGACCAGAAAATTGATGTGTTTGGTGACCAACTTTCAGGAGGGATGAAACGCAAGCTCTGTTTGGCTATCTCCCTTATAGGAGATTCCAAGGTACGTATTTCTCTGTGCTAAATAGACAACAATGAATGTGGTCTAAATACTCGTGGTTTATATTTATCTGTTTGGCCACATGCAGTCATCACTGAAAAGCACCACCAATTTCAACATTGGTGGCCAAATTTAGGTTAGGAAAAAACTAATGCTTTCTTTATCCTCAAACTGCACACCCGTTTTTTAAGTCTCTTACGTAAAACATTTACTTCTGATGGATAAATTACTGTAAGACAAAGTAATTCAAGAATTACTGTTGGTCAATACTGTATTTCAATTTAGTCTATTAAATTTTAAATATAATGACTAATGTAGCATGTTTAGTCTGAAAAAGACATGTGTTAAAATCTGTAATCTAGACCTCTTGACTTGTGTGATCCTCTGATGTGGATGGTATTAATATTAGCAACATCCTCCTCAGTGTCTTGTGTACATATTGATCAGTACTAACCTATCTGTAACAAATGAAGAAGTGAGATCTAGCTCTTTGAGCACCACCTCTGCCTTGTTGCATCTGTTGTTATAATTTAACTATTTTAGCATTCGATTTTTTTAAAATCTGGTTATAAAGTTGTGAACTGAGGAGCCTTTCACAACTTCTTGCAGTACATGACACTTGCTGACCATTATACATAATATGAGTATTTCCTTATATCCTCTGTTTCTTCTGTCCTCTTAAGGTTGTGAGTTGTAGTTGCTTTAACTACCCTCTTAGCTCTGCTACTAATCTTGTTGCAAACTTCTGTTTATACAGACTTTATGTCGTTGCTGCATATTTCAGTGTCGGTCTAACAAAGGTTGGGCAGATTATCTTTAGAGTCTTGATTTAGGTTCCTAAACGACGCTCTCATGTTTGGCAGCGTCCCACATATTGCGGAAGTTTCTGTGTTTTATGTGTAGTTGTTTTCTTCCTTATTGTGTAGATGCCTCCTGGAATCCTTTCGCACTTTCCTATCTTCATTACCTTACACTTCTTGGGACTGAATTCTAGCAACCCTTCATTTGGCCTCTGTTGTTGATTAAGGTTTTCCTGTAAATTTTTGTAATCCTCGATTTTTTCATTCATCGTTAGCTTTGCATCATATCCTGGCTAATATGTACTTCATAGTACTTTCCTCCATTCCTTACATATCCTTTTTTTTTTTACTAGTAAAGTTTTAACTTGATTCCTGTTCATAAAGATAACTTTCACTAGCCAATTTCTTTCATTGCGAAGCTAACCAGGCCTACACTAATTTTCCAATTCCACTGTTACTTCTCTAGTCTGAATTTTGTGTAGAATTTATCATTTTCGTCTTTCTCTTTCTTTCTTTTTTGCCGTGTGTTTTCCTCTGGCTCTGTTAGATTACAGACAACATCTTTTTCACTCCAACTCCTGCCTCGTACATTTCATGGCTTGATGAATTCTTATAGCCTATATTTAACACTGTTGACATGATTGTCTCTTTTTCCCTCTGTCTTTGCTACTTCTGCAAAGGTTTTCCTGATCTTCTTCTCTATTTTTCAGTCACATTCTCTACCTGTTTGATTCTCTATGTTGCCGAGCTTTAAAAAAACTAACTGAATTACTTAAAGTTGGCAAAATTATGAATCAATTTTGTCAAAAGATATTTAAATTTAAATCTAAATTTTGCCCCGAGGGACGAGTTTATTGGGCAGCGCCACTCATCTTGTGAGTAAACACACCGCCATAGCATGTACAACACTCCCCAATAGGAAGAAAACCCGGTGGGTTGTTCATCCTGTCACTTGTACTCAGACTCAGCTGGGACTTGCTTATTAACTATCTCAAGTGAACAGCTCCTCAAACAAGAAGATTAACATGTTTTAATGGATAGAATGTTGTGTACGGGTTGGTGCAGGTGGTGATCCTGGACGAGCCGAGCAGCGGGCTGGACCCCGAGTCACGCCGGTGGGTGTGGGACGTGGTGCAGGGGGAGCGGGGCCGGCGCACCATCCTCGTCACCACCCACCACATGGAGGAGGCCGACGTCCTGGGAGACCGCGTGGCCATCATGGCCTCCGGCAGGGTCGTCTGTGCCGGCTCCACACTCTTCCTCAAGAATAAGTTTGGTAAGGGACAAAGAATTCATTTAGGTATGGAATAAAATACTAATCCTTGGAGGCTCTGGGTTAACACTATTGAGACAGGATCAAAGAGCCGAAGCTCAACTTTCACAGGCGCAACATATGCTTAATTATTATGCTTAATTAACATATGCTTAATTATTATAATATTCAGAAACAAATATATTTATAAATTTCTTCATAAAACAGTTAACATATAAGGAAGCACTGAAACAAAATCTGAAAAATCTATACTTCATTGAACATTCAGAATTTCAACAATGATTAAATTCCAATATTGATATCAGTGTTTGAAATTTGTTCCTGGAAAACAGCATAAATATTTGCGAAAGACAAAAATTCATAATTTTTTTTATTTCTTAAAAGCCTTGATGTGTTGTAAGTGTATGTCAGTATATCATTTATATATTCCAGAGTGTGTGTGTGTGTGCATATATTGCTTATGTCCTTAGTATGCACCACTACTCTTCTAATGAGGCTATGGTATTTGGCAGGGACACACAGCAAGGGAATATAAAACACAATCAGTAACATATATTGAATGTTTTGAATGTAAAATGAGTTCATTTACCTTTGCGGTGGTAAATCTGTAGTAATACAGTATCACTTCAAGCTTCTAAATCATTTCGACGTTACACCTTTATTTACATGTCTTGGCTTCTTGGCCTCAGGTGATGGCTACACCCTGGAGATGATGGTGACTGAGGACTTCAGCCTGGAGGCCATCACGGCTGAGGTGACGAGCCATATTCCCTCAGCCGGCCTCCACAACAACCAAGGAGGGGAGGTGACTTTCAAGCTCCCTCCCATCACCGCCATGTTTGCTCCTCTCTTGGAGTCTCTCACACGGAGGAAGGAGGAGCTTGGGGTGCGCCATCTGGGACTCTCACTCACCACCATGGAGAGGGTCTTCATCGGGTAGGTGCTATAGTTTATTGGACATATTTTGTACTTGTGGTTTGTGTGATGATTCTGGTTGCGAATGCTTGCTGGTGGTTAATGAGATAGTCTTATGGTGTCGTCTTTTTCAAATACATTTTTGCTGAAACAAATGTTAGTGTTTTTTGTTTATACCATCAGGGGAATTAGTTGTGATCTTGTCGTCATATAACGACAGCAATGTGGGTTCTAGTATGGTCCAGGACGGACCGAAACGTCGTCGTCCCTTCACCTTCTAGTGTGTGGTCTGGTCAACTGGGTTCTAGTACTGATTCCTGTGCTACTGTTTGCTACTCGCTCCATGTTCATGTCTCTAATTCCACCACTACTATTTGTTTTCCTTGTGATGGGTGATCTCATTCAAAATGCTTCACTTACTCCAGTTTGTTTCTTAAGTTTGAGCATTATTCTGTGCTTGAAACTGTGTCGAAAGCATTCTGGCAATCCTGGAAGATGCAGTCAGCCCCTTCTCTTTATTATGTGATTATTTACGTGTTGTCAAAGAACTTCAGCAGGTGTGTCAGGTACTATTTTTTTCCCTCTTGTGAAAAAACGTGTTGATGCTCTGCAGTATAAGTTGTAGGTTCTAGGTATTCTATTAGTCTTATTTTGATCGTGGGATTTACAGTACTCGCGAGCATTAATTTTTGTTTTCCAATAATACTTTTTTTGCCCCCACCAGTGTGAGTGAGGTGATGGAGAAGAGTGAACAAAATGCCAAGGCTTGTGAAACGAAAGTTGAAAATGGCGGAGCTGACAATAACATGAAGGGCTTCCTGGGTACCACTTCAGAAAACGGCTTAACCAACAGTTTAGAAAACGGCCTAACCAACAGTTTAGAAAACGGCCTAACCAACAGTTTAGAAAACGGCCTAACCAACAGTTTAGAAAACGGCCTAACCAACAGTTTAGAAAACGGCCTGACAAACAGTTTACAAAACGGCCTAACCTACAACAGTCAACAACAGCTATACACAAGTCAGACATGTAAGTCTCTAAATTGTTGCATTAATTTTTGGGCACATAACATTAGCGTGTAGCAGAGCAGTAACTACAGGAGGGGATGCAGGGAATACAGACACACTGTAGCGTGTCGCAGGTGCAGGAAGACTGGAATTCGAGCAAACCTCCCTAGTAAGCCAGACAGCATTGTTTTCGTAACACAGTGTCCTTGTCTTGCCTTTTAGCCAATGAACTTTATTATAGAAACCCTAATTCGTGAAATGTTCACGATTAGTGTCTCCCATCGTCAGATTAGCTGTTGTTGTTTTAGCTACTCAGAACGAAATGTCCATGTAGCACAGGCTATGGTGAGCCCGTAAGTCAGATTAGCGTGTTGATGTTCTTATATAGTCATCCTGCGATACCCCCTTCCAACTTCTCACCCCCATTGATAATAGCTGAATATAGCATTTGTGTGGAAAAAATCCACAGAACAATAATGACTGATTTACTAAATTTTTGATGTACAGTATTACCATAGCTGAGGTAATATTATGTTCAAAGATTTCATCAATCAAATTATTTAGGCTAGGCTACTGGTATTTATTACAGTTGATTGTCATCACATGTAAGGCCACGAATCAGTGACGCTGCCTGCAAATTAAACTTATTATTTATCATAATCTAAAGTTACATTTATTATTCATTGATGTAGGGCCTCATAGACAGATGTGTAAGAGCAGCGATTATACATATTTACATACAACGTTTACAGCAATTCCCTTAGGATGGTTTAATTAAAATTCCTCGGTTAACTAATCTTCAAAGTATTTTGATTTATATTCTATGTGGGGGGGATTTGGTCGAGAAAGAGTGTTGAGATGCAAAGAAATCCTTACAATTTTGCGTTAGAATTTTTTTTTTGCTATACTCTTCAGTCTTCATACTAACATTTATTGATTGCCTTTGACAGTAATGAAAGAGCGACTGAGAGGTTACCGGCTGCTGTTGCAGAGAATCAAGGCCTTTTTCATCAAACGCATCATCTACTCCAAGAGAAAATGGCCCCTCCTTATTACTCAGGTATTCTGGCTTATTTCTTCCTCTTGAGATGAATAGTAATAAGGGAGAGTTGAAGAACGTAATGAAATGCTTTATCGTACATCTTGATCGCTTTATTTTATTGGTTATTGTATCCGATGATGAATGATGCTGTTTTTTTTTACCATTGACTTGGACTGGTCGGTACAATGACGGCCTCGTTTTTTTGTACGATCGGCGTTCGATTCCTAGTTGTCAAAGTAACTGGGAATCGTTTTTTCACCTCATCCTGATATCTCTGCTTCTTGTTCGAATATCTCAGTCACTTGTCCTCATACCCCAGTTTCTTGTTCTCATATTCCATCTCCTTGTCCTTTTATCCTAGCTACTTGTAGTCGTATTCTACTTCATTACCCTCATATCCAATCTGTGTACTCATAAATAAGTTCATTGACCTAATATCCCAGTTCCTTGTCCTCATATCTCAGCTTCCTGTCTTATATCCCAGCTACTTATCCACATACCCCAGTTCCTTGTCCTTATATCTCAGCTTCGTCTTGTATCCCAGCTACTTATCGTCATATTCCAGTTCCTTGTCCTAATATCTCGGCTTCCTGTCTTATATCCCAGCTACTTATCCACATATCCCAGTTCCTTGTCCTCATATCTCAGCTTCGTCTTGTATCCCAGCTACTTATCGTCGTGTTCCAGTTCTTTGTCTCATATTCCAGCTTATTGTAATATCAGAGCTCCTTGACATAATTTCCTATCTCCCCCTTGTCTCCCAGTTCGTCCTCATGTCCAAACTCCCTGTCCTCGTAACCCAACTCCGTGTCCTCGTAACTCAACTCCCTGTCCTCGTAACCCAACTCCCTGTTCTCGTATCCCTTCCAAGTCATATGGTCATACTGGCACATTACTTCAGCCTGATAATTGTCTGACCTTCGTCTCCATCTTGAGAACACTTCATGAAGGAACGGTTCTGTCTTCAACCGGCAGGGTTTGATACCTGTGGCAGTGACGTTATCTTGCCTGCTGGTGGACCAGACGCTGGACGTCTTCACTTCCCAGGAGCCGCCGCTCGTCCTCGACCTCTCCATCTTCCCCTACACCGCCTCCTTCGTCAGGGCCGACCCGCCTCTCCAATATTTGGCTGAACAGTACACGTCACTCTTCACGGATCCTCATGAGGTATATTGTGCTCTGGTAGAAAATATATGAAACAAAATAATGTCGTATGCTTTATTATTATTTAGTTATTTAAGAGTTTATAAAGATGGTAGATTAGAGGCATTTTAAACTTCAGCTTATTTTTATGCTGAAGACTCCTCTCTCCATTGTGTGAATCACTTTGTCGAGAATATCAAGACGTATATAGCATGTCAAAAATAAATTGTGATCTAGACTTAGGGCCGGAAGTGGGAACCTCTCAAGTCATCCAGCACCTGGTGTACCCTAAAACACTATCGTATTTAGGGTAATTCAGGTGAACCTTGCCATTATCAGTGAACGTCGTCATTCAGGTGAACCTTGTCATTACAGGTGAGCATCGTGACCAACATGACTGATAGTCTTCTGACAGCAGCCGAAGACGACCTTCCGACGTACAGAGAGAACGACATTTGCTCAGTAAGTACACCAGAGTTGACAAGTTAATTGACCTGGGTGGTGGGTTGATTGGTCTGGGTTTTGGGTTATTTTGGCTTGTGATTGTTTGTGGATATTTTTGTGGTTTTTGTTTATAGCTTTGGATAAATGATTGTTTCAAACAGCAGTTTATCTTAGTAATTTTATACGTTGTTATATGCTAGCTGTTGTTCAGGGTTTATCTTGTGCCATGACAGAATGCGAAACAATGGGTATAAATTGGATAAGTTTAGATTTAGGAAAGACTTGGGTAAATACTCGCTCGGTAACAGGGTTGTTGATTTGTGGAACCAATTACCACGAAACGTGGTGGAGGTGGGGTCCCTCGATTGTTTCAAGCGTGGGTTGGACATATATATGAGTGGGATTGGGTGGTTATAAATAGGAGCTGCCTCGTATGGGCCAATAGGCCTTCTGCAGTTACCTTTTGTTCTTATGTTCTTATGTGGGTTGGACATGTATATGAGTGGGATTGGGTGGTTATAAATAGGAGCTGCCTCGTATGGGCCAATAGGCCTTCTGTAGTTATCTTTTGTTCTTATGTTCATGCATGAACTAATCCCAGCGTTATGATCAGGCCGAGTTCACCGGAGACAAGGAGGACGTCACCATGAGGATCCTGATGCAGACTATCCCCTACCACACCCTGGGGATAGGAACGTCCCTCGTCACCAACGCCCTCCTCAAAGCGGCCACCAACTCCACCCACACCATCACTACTACCAACTGGCCGCTGCCTCCAGATAATACGGTGAGTGTGGTGTCTCGTGTTTCTCCTTTCCCCTTCTCCCAGCTTGTTCTGGGAAGGTTCTTGGTGACATTGATGACTTATGCATATGTCTGTATAGGTATTTTTTTCCCTCTGATTTCTTGATATTGCATTCACGCATGTGTGCACACACGCACGCACACGCACAAAACTTGTCTAAGATCTTTGCTTTCTCTGTGGCTCAAACTCCTCTACGAATTATGAGAGAAATGCCACAATCTGAGCACGTCATACAAATGTCATGGCCACGTTATCATTAGCACCAGATGTTATCTATCATATTATCTACCATGGAGAGAAAGAGTGAGAGAAGCAAATTCTGAAAGCTATAACCAGCTTAAGTAACCATAGATTTAAGAGCTAGGTAACCTATCTGACGAACCAACTTGTGGTTGCAGTGGAAGTTTCATTCGGAGTTCTCCACAAGCAGCTTCGTGTATTCCAACGTGATGCCTCTCGCCCTGGCCTTCCTCTCCGCCTCTTTCCTGGTCTTCCCCCTGCAGGAGCGGGAGACCAAGACCAAGCAGGTATGTCTTGCAAGCATTTGGCTATATCCTCTCTACACTGTTATCATTTCATGGTCATTATAGACTAGTATCATGTGGGTATATTCATCACAACTTATCATGTGGGTATATTCATGACACACCAAAATCATGGGGGTATATTCATCACAGACCAAAATCATGTGGGTATAGTCTTCACAAGCTATAATCATGTGGGCATAATCGTCAAAGACTATATTATCATGTATGTATATTCTCTTCAGACTATTCAAAGGCCAAACCACTAATTTTTGCCTCCTTAGGGCCCAAGGTAAATAAGTATGTCCACCATCTATAAAGCCAAGTAAAATGTGTTTTCAAACTTCCAGTTTTAGGGGATTATTTTGTTTTTATTTATATCCTTTTCATTCCCTTGTGCCAAGAGAATTTGCTTTTATTTTTTATTACTAATTTGTCCTGTGATCTGTCAATTCCTTCTCTCTCTTGAGAAACTGACTTCATAACGTGTAACTGTTGTAACTTAAAAATGAATATAAAGTGCTTTCTAGACAATTGTTATACATTGAAAAGTCGACGACGTTTCGGTCTGCCCTGGACCACAATCGACTTGATAATGGTCCAGGACGGACCGAAACGTCGTCGTCTCTTCAATTTCTAGTGTGTGGTCTGGTCAACATTTTTCAGCCACGTTACTGTGACTCACCATCTGCCATGCCTATACACGTACAGGTGCAAGTGATGACAGGAGCCCCAGTATGGGCACTCTGGTCAACTACCTTCATCTGGGACTTCGCCACCTACATGATATCCGTAGTGCTCATCTTCATATGCTTCCTGGCTCTGGACCCCCATGGTTACTTCACCAAGGGCGAGGCTTCAGGTAATGTTGTCCTCCTTCAGTAACTGTGCCCTCCTTACTGTCACTAATGACTTGATGCTCTCTCCTGATAGTTGCCTTCCTGACTGTCCCTATATAACAATATACCTGCAGCTTCAAGCACATGTGTACAGTGACACATGTGCCTGTGTCTGTGCCTGTGCCTGTGCCTGTGTTGGATTCGCGTGTCCAACCACACATTTGAATGGACTTAATACAACAAGAATACAACAGTAGGTCACATATGCTTCCTATAAAATGTTTGCACATTCAAAAAGTTAGCTATGTAGCGTCTAAGACAGGTAAAGAAATGTATAATATAATATAAAAGATACAATATTGGTCGTGCAGTGTATTAGGAATATTGTAATATCTTTATCTAGCAAAATATCAAACCAATATTGTATCATTATGTAATATATAATTCTTTATCTGTATATTATATAATCATTTTTATGTGATCTGGTGTTTTAGTCTCGCCAAACTTTGCAGGGTGAGACATCTTTGATCTTTGTCTAGGGATGGCATAGGACAAAGCCTCATGCCGTCTCCTTTCCAATTTCGCTAAATACAAAGACTCCATCCTCACAAAGATTCATCTAGCATATTATTTTCTACGAGATTAAATGTTAGTTTCTCTTGAGAAGTTTATTTATTGATGAAGTGTGTTTAGGGAACTGCTTATTATGATGCTGTCTGATATCACCAAACGCCATACGAGTTTATTTTTGTTTATTATATTCATATATTGGGTGAAGGCTGGTAAATCAGAAACTCTGCAGATGAGTAAGCTAAGTGAAGAGGACCAAGATGTGGGTTGGAAGCTCCTTCACAACAATAACAACATAGGCTGAGAGCGGCGATACATTGTGACACTGTGTTTCCTCACCAGGTGTGCTACATAGCCTTCCCGGCTTGGTGCCTTCTTTGATAATTACTTCCTTGTCAGGTGCGTTGATTGTGATGCTGGTGATGTACGGCTGGGCCAGCATCCCTATGGCTTATGTCTTCAGCTTCCCCTTCCAGACTGCTGCCTCAGGCTTCGCTGTCCTCGCTCTCGTCAACATTGTTGCTGGTACGTGGGACACCTTAGTGGGTGTTGGTGGTAGGTGGGTGACCTTAGTGGGTGTTGGTGGTAGGTGGGAGACCTTAATGGGTGTTGGTGGTAGGTGGGAGACCTTAATGGGTGTTAGTGGTAGGTGGGAGACCTTAATGGGTGTTGGTGGTAGGTGGGACATCCCTATACTGAAGATCTGGATTCAGTAAGTACATACAGGTACGAACTTTAATGGGAGGCAGAATGCCGCAGGAGTATGTGGCATTCTGTGGCACATACTCCTGTGGCATTGTGCTTCTGTGGCACATACATATTTCTTACTCCTGTGACATTCGATGAATGCCTCAGGAGTGAGAAATAACTACATAATTGTTACTTACACCTGTTAAACTACGTAACAATCCGGCTGTAATGAAAAGTATCACAAGAACACAAAGCCAAGTAACAGTTCAGGGAATCCAAGAATTTAAGACTAACCTAAAGTGGAATGCAACAACACCGTGAAAATAAATTCTTCCCAAGAGACAGCCTTCAACACAGCATGATATATGCACAGTCTTGAAAACCTGTTCTGTTCAGTCTCCTGAATTTCCAGTCTCGGTCTCCTCCTCCACAAGTCGATTGTGGGCACAGTCGACATGAGAATGGTCCAGGACGGACCGAAACGTCGTCGTCCCTTCACTTTCTAGTGTGTGGTCTGGTCAATATGTACTGTACCTCACTATTTATATAATACTATCATGTAATTTTATTATTGGTATTATTAGTGTGCATTAATATTTATTATAATAATAAGAAAAATGTGAATGTTCACCAGACCACACATTAGAAGGTGAAGGGACCACGACGTTTCGGTCCGTCCTGGACCATTCTCAAGTCGATCATGAACCATTCACAATCGACTTGAGAATGGTCCAGGGCGGACCGAAACGTCGTCGTCCCTTCACCTTCTAATGTGTGGTCTGGTCAACATACTTTAGCCACGTTATTGTGACTCATCGCCTGAAAAATGTGAATAATATTGTCAAAGAATTGTGTGTGTTGCAACAGGTCAACTGATGACTGTGATTGTATGGGGTCTACGAGCCGCTGACGTGGCTGGCCTCACTACCGCCAGTGATATCATATACTGGGTGACGTCTGTCATCCCCTCCTTCCCTGTCTCAATGGTACGTGGTAAGGGGCCCACAGTGCCCATTTTCCGTGATTTTTGCTACTGTATGAAAGCCTATTTCTTCAGCTGCATTTTAAGTTTTATTTGAACAAAATTGGACTGGTTTAAGTCGCCAAGAGGTGCAGAAAAGCAGTGAGATTAATTAGTGTGGTCTCTCCCAGGCGTTCAGTCACGTGGTGCGAGTCAGTGTCCACAACGACAAGTGTAACCAGTTCAACGAGACTGTGACCAAAGATCTGTGCAAAACGCTTTCGCTCTTCGCGCCGACGAATGACTTCATGGAGTGTTGTCGTGAGTATGCAGCAGCTAGGAGCTCTCGGCTCGAAGCTCTCAGCTCGTAGCTCTCGGCTCGGAGGTCTCAGCTCATAGCTCTCAGTTTGTAGCTCTCAGCTCGTAGCTCTCAGCACGGAGCTCCTGTTGTCTTCTTGATGCGTTTATTGAGGCTTCAAAATTTATAATCAGATTCAGCCCATCCTCCTGTTTAGATAGTACTTATAGTAACGATGGGGATCATCATACTTATATTGACGTAGCTCACTCTTTAGCTCACTCTTTAGCTCACTCTTTAGCTCACTCTTTAGCTCACTTCCTAGTTCACTCCTTATTTCCATATTATTTATTAGTGTCTCCCTGTTTGGTATCACTAAATCTAAAATGTTATTTTCCCATGTTGACTCAAAATATGTTTCAAAATATGTTGCTTAAAGAAGCAATCATCGGCTAATTCTAAAAATTCTTCTCTTTCAGCATCTTTTGTTAATTCAGTTTATTCCACTAAAATTAAAGTCACCAAAAGATCAAACATCACTAAACCTAGCAGCCCTAGATATTTTTCCCATATATATAATATCCTATTCTATCAAAGTTTTGTGGCCAACACACAACTCTTATATTATTTATGTGACAGTTTTATTTCCCTCTTTTTAAAACCTTTTAAATATTATTTGATATATATTGTTGCTCCTCCTTCTCGATTAACCTGTTTATCAGCGTGAAATAATTTGTATTACTTTATTTAATATTCAGAACAAAAAGTTTCATGTTTTCTACATTCATCCATGTTTCTGTGAGTGCAATAATATATATTGTTTCTTGTACTGACAAGTGTGCACTTTATTTATTATATTTACTTCACAACTTTCATTACCAATTTTCTATACATTGTTCTTATTAAAATTTAGTTGATTGTCTTTATCAGAAAGAGATTGTATACACCTGCTTTAATATTTGTAGTCTTAAATGGCTCTCTTCTTCATGTATAAAGGTTTAAATTACCTTCCCCATTTTTACGGGCTCACCATAGCCCGTGCTACATGGACACTTCGTTCTGAGTAGCTAAATCTAAAACAACAACAACCACCTCCCCCTACACCTGCCTTAATGTTTTCAGTCTACGATGACCCACCGGTGTGCAGCCTATACGGGAATAAGACGTGTTTTAGCACGTGGTCCTACTTCCGCTTCGAGAATCCCGGCCTGGCTCCCGACCTCCTCACCCTCTTCGTCAATGGCATCATCTTTCTGGCCATCATTGTCTTTTTGGAAGCTGGAGGAGGTATAATCCTCCGGTGAGTGTGTGTGAGATGGGTTTTGTTGCCAAAAAGTGGAATGCAAGCCCAGAGGAACTCGCTCTTCCCTACTTGCTAATAGTTTAATTAAGGTTTAGACTTTCTATTTGTTTTAGAAACAGTAAATATATAAAACCATTTCTGTCCCACCCGGGATTCGAACCCAGAATTCCTGGCTGAGTCGAGAAGGAACTCGACTGCACTACCGAGAACCAATATCTGATTTCACCGACACACACGAGAACAGCAGCACCTTCATTCTGGGAGTTACACACCAGATCTGCCTGGTTATACATATGCTGTAACATGACTCTTCCCATCACAGATAACCGTAACATTGATCATTCCCGGTGGGAAGTGGCCACACCCTCTGAAGGGAGTGGCCACATCTTAAGGCCAGTGGCCACACCCTCTGATCAACTCAGCTCCTCTGTGGGATGTGGCACGTCCCTGGGGGATGTTACTAGTTGATCTTCACTTTAATAACCTTGTTCTGACTTAAATAACATTTGTAATATTAACAATTTGATATTTTATTGATATGTATTTATTCCACATATTATTGATATCCTATAACATGCACATTTGCCGAAACTTTTAAGATTAAACTGGTAAGAGCACAACAACCTCCTCCTTCAGGCGAGTGTGGCGCAGGATAACGTGCAGGACCTTGAAGATTCAGCCGCATGTGGGTCAAGAAGGGCTGCAGGAGGTGGATGAAGACGTCGCGGCAGAAAGTGATGCCGTCGCCTCCCTCATGACCTCAGCTGCCGACAACTCGGGCATAACGTCAGGTAAATAAATCAACATTATCGATGGACTGGTAACTTGGGAATGTCAGGAGTCCTCCCTGGAATGGTGACTTGGTGTGGAATATTTAACTGATTGCAATTGCAGGCAATGTCACCATTTTTCTTATGGCGGATGACTCGGTAAAGGCGTTCAAGATCCAGTAACTACGAGAGCAGTGCACACAAGATTGTAGTTCACTAGTGAAGTATTGGCTCCTCTGGGCGTATTCCTCCTCAGACAGGTGTTCGCAGAGTCTTGATCCATTAGATTGTGAGAATCTCTTCAAAGCAGTTGAAGCGCTCTAAAGGGCTATTTAGAAAGCTTAGAGCACAGATGTCTCCACTGGAGACATCCATCCAGTTCTCTCTACTACTATCCAGCTACCCTTCTTCACCTCCTCTGTAACACTGTTTGACTGCTCTTCCTTCCAATGTTCATTGCCCTCCTTCAGTATGTCAGTCTCAGCCCTGAGTGGCCGGCAAAGTTCGAACAGAACTTGAGAGAAGTTATGGAGAGGGCCGCCAATAAGACAGTCTGTTAATCTTATACATTTGTATTGTTCAGAGGGCTCGATGGACACCACACTCATAGCCTCCAAGTTGTCTAAGGTGTATGAGGGCTCCTTGATACCGGCGGTGAACAGCATCAGCTTCAGGGTAGCCAGGGGGGAGTGCCTGGGCCTGTTGGGGGTCAACGGGGCAGGCAAGACTACCACCTTCAAGATGCTGACGGGAGACGAAGTGCCTACATCAGGAGATGCCGTGATTGATGGCCTCTCTCTCAACCGGGAGAGAAATAAGGTCAGCTTAAGGAGAACTCTGATTCATAACAATGTAATATAAATCAAGTGATAATATTGTGTGTGGGGGTGTATGTGCATGTACATATCACTGTGTGTTTATACCCATATTTGTACATGTCAGTTGGAGTTCCTCTCTCTGTATATGCAGGAAAATTACATCATAATTTTTTGTTTAGAAACATATTCTTATTAAGATAATTTTGGTCCTGATTTTTGTATATATAAATTTAACAAATGAATTTTTCCTAAGTCACAAAATGTAATTTACTCATTACAGTTCGTGCAGAACATTGGATACTGCCCACAGTTTGACGCCTTCCTAGGAGACCTGACTGGAGTAGAGATGCTGCAGCTCATGGGTCGGCTGCGAGGCATGACTGAGGTTCGACTTGAAGAAATCATCAGCTCCCTCATACCTCTTGTGGGTCTGACAGAGTGCGCCAAGCGGCCCTCTTCCACTTACTCAGGAGGTAACCGTAGGAAGCTGTCGACAGCCATGGCGCTCGTGGGGTCGCCTCCGCTGGTGTTCCTGGACGAACCCACCTCCGGAGTAGACCCGGTCTCCCGCCGGAGGGTGTGGACTGCCGTCAGACAAGCTGTAATTAATGGCCAGAGTGTGGTCCTGACCAGTCATTCTATGGAAGAGTGCGAGGCGCTCTGTTCCCGCATTATAATCATGTCTCGGGGGACTCTTCGCTGTGTGGGAACGACGGGGCACCTCAAAGCCAAATTTGGACAAGGCTACAGCCTGCAGGTCAAACTGAGGACTCACGGCTTCACTCCGGGAGAACAGACAGAAGATGAACATGTATATGATACCAAAGTGTCAGAACTGAAGAACATCATCAGCCGCCACCTACCTGGATCCACTCTAACTGATCAGCACAAGGTTAGCGGCTGTTTTTTGTTTCCATGGTTAGAATTTGGTCTAAAGTATTCCAGATAATACAGAGTTACTGCGCCAGTTAATACACGGTAAGGTAATTATAAGAAAGCATTAAGCCAGTAAAATTATATGACACCTGGATATGTGGACAAGGATATTGAATAGGATGCAGGGAAGAAAGGGTGTCTAACCTCTTGGGCCGTCAGGACTCGAACACCTGCCTATGAAAAGCAAGACCGCTGTTCCACCTTCAAGTCCACAAGGATATTTTAAGTATACTCTAATATTTGGTCACATCTGTTGCATCTTGTATAGTGTCTCCTGTGTATTATATCTGGTGTATTGAAACCTTGAATATTCTGCTTTGTATATTGAATCTAAAGTATTTTCATTAATGATTTAGTAAAACTGCTTGCATGAGCCCTCACTTCAGAAAATGTATAAGTTACCACAAACAAGATGTCACTAATAGTGCCTAACGGGGATTTCAGGCGAGATTGAAATACACACACACAGTGTGGTTTCACTCCTCCATCATCTTACAGGATGGCTAGAGCCAAGTCTGTCCCAGCACTTGTAGACATGGGTCTACAAGTGCTTATTGAAGTCCTCTTAGTCAAAGGCGAGCTTGTCTACTCGGTCACCCATTTAGTTGCTCTCTAGACCCTACAGTGCTTAACCTGCTGAACGAAGAAAATGTATCATCCTCTCCGTCACTTTCACTCTGCAACATTTCGTGCTAAATGTCTTTGTATAAACAAAAAAATCCTACTGGGTACGTGGGCAAATGCCGTCACTTTCCCCTGATAATTCCCTCCCTCCCTCCTCACCCTATTTCAGTTCGTACTTACACTTCGCATGCAATCATTAACCAATTCATATTTTTTCCAGGGTATGCTAGCCTATCGCATTCCCAGCAACGTGCCTTGGGGTACGTTGTTCTCCGTGATGGAAACTGTGAAGGCTGGCCGGGACCCCTCGGCTACAGAGGCTGAGAGACCCTACTCATCGCCCGCCTCCCCATCCATCGTGGAAGTCTACGCCGCCTCCGACACATCCCTTGAGCAGGTCTTCCTGTCTTTCGCTAGGGAGGCAGCGCTGGAGCAAGCGTCCGATGTGGCTGGTAATGGTGATAATGTTTTCGACGCGTCGTGCGATCATACAGCCATCCAGATGTACGAGTCCTCCGCGTCAAGGAGCAGCAGCAGCAGCAGCAACAGCATACCGGGAGCCGATCTAGTGACGGAACTTTAACACTGAAGTACGTTGGACTTCTTTTTCTCTTCTATATAGGAACTCTTCACAGCTTTTGAGTTGACACGGAGAGTCTTCCATCAGACATTTTGGGTTCCTATTGCTTGTTACGCTTATCGAGGTTCCCATAGATCAATGACTGACCTTTCATAGTATGCAACCCACAATAGTTGACTGACTCCAGGGTACCTGTTTACGTCTGGATGAGCAGGTGCATCAGGTGGAAGGAAACGTCCATAAACTTCTCGCCCTGCCTGTTAGGACTCAAAATGGTTATTAAGAAATGTAAATCGTTAGTGAAGAAGCCATATGCTTGTAATGTATCCAAATGAGGTGAAGGTGCGCATGCGTGTGTCTGCCCCTCTCTCTGGGATGAATAAACTAAATTTAATATTGAGAAATATTTACGCTGTACGTCTCTTAATTAATGTTGTAAATAATTAGTCTATATGTGTATTATTAAGAGAATAGTTGAGTAATTATTTCAAAATGAACATCTTGCAGGACTGAAGAAGAGAATTATCGGCCATTTTTGCTCATTTTTGTTTAGTTATCACTTGTTTTGCTTTGTTTTTTATTGTAAACAATGAGTGGAAGTCTTATTTGTTTGTACATTATCCCAAAGGATAAAACATCGACGGCATTTGCCCACGTACCAAGTAGGATGTTTTTTGTTTTGACACAAGAGATATATATTGTGCAGAGTTATGTAGCCCGCTTCTCGGGGAGTATATGCATGGAGAGTTTATTTTAGTCGTAGACAATGTTCAGGACTAAGGTATTCTTGTTGGTTGGTCAGAAAGTTATTGTGGCGGCCTTAATAATCTTCCAGGGGTTAATATATGATGTATTGGCCTTAGACCCAACACGAAACCAAAAATATATATTTTTTAAGTCTTAATTATGTGCACAGAAACTAATATGTAAGCCTCTCAGATACTCGTGTGTTAGTGAGTAAATGGTCGTACCTAATTGAGTAATTAACCAAGCATTAAAAATGTATGTTAGTAAATGCCTGAATAATTATGTAAGACAAACTTGTAAAACATTTTAATTGTTCAAGTAAATTTTAACGCTGGCTTTGATTAAACGTCTATCAAAAATCAAACCCAACTTATTTGTCTCTTAAAACTCCATTTTCTTAGAGGCAGAGGTCCTGTGTAAAGCTCTGCGGTGCATGAAGAATACACCGAGTGGTGTACCTCATTGTTTTAGTCCTGGACTATATGCAGGACTAAAGTATACTTGCTGATTGGTCGGTTAGCCACTGTGGTGGCTTTAATAACCGTTTCGAGGTTGATAGGTCTTAATCCCATCACCAAAGTTATCATAAAAGTATTTGTGTGTACGTCTGGCAACATACTACATGTGTAAAGGAAGAAATATATATGTTTATCACTCAGAATGTTCGGTAATATGTTTATTGTTTGTGATGTGTGTCTATATATGTATAAACACGTTGTACTGAACGGGGTGAGAATAGCTTGAGCTCCCTCATTCCTTTGTGTGTATTTTACCTCGATAAACTTATTTCAATTTCGATCACCAAAGTAGAAGTCCCCAGCTAAGACCTCTGAGGGAATTACCTCTTCGACATCCATGGACAACAGAATCACCTCTCCCGGGATGCTGAGTAGTGTGGCAGTCACCTTAGGACATGACTTGTGTGAAGACTTTACCTAATGGTCGGTGTTCTCACACACTTTAACCGTAATTAAACATGTATTACAAGTCCTGCTGTTTATCTTACCGCAAGACCAACCCCTGATTATCTGTTACCATCCCCACGGGTGTTGGGGGTGTTGGACGTAATATAGGTCTCATGACCTTCCGATACTTTTAAGGTATTGTTGGTTGACTGGGCTACTTCCCTGTTAGCCTAAAATTGTATCCTTAAAAAATTATTGGAGATTATTAATTAAAATATATATATATGTATATATAAATTCCAACCAAAACAAACCAGGAAATAACATTCATTTGGACCATCGAAACCTCGAACTCATGACCACTGGAGTGTATGACAGGAAGGGAATTACCAGGAAAAGCGCCAAGCCATTACGACTATATAGCACTAGAAGGGGTCAGGATAAGGATTTGGGATGGGACGGGGGAAAGGAATGGTGCCCAACCACTTGGACGGTTAGCTAAAAACAATATAAATCAAATTATGTATATATACCCAATAAATGACAAAAAACTAAACTATATACATAATAAAAGCCAAAGATATATACAGTATATATATATATATATATATATATATATATATATATATATATATATATATATATACAAAAAATAATAAAAGAACTCAACACCTACTTAAAGACAATTAGTCTGTAAACAACCGAGTCGACGACCCTGAGCTGCTCGGCTTTGGAATCATTTTAAAGATTGAGATTCTCTTAAAATATTGAGTTGAAGGCGAGACGAGCTGCAAGACAGAACAACGACATCGCTGTAGGTGAAAAGGTGCCCTTTATCCTCGCTGTGATCTCTAATAGCAGATGAAGAACATAAGCAGGCGATGAGTCACAATAATGTGGCTAAAGTATGTTGACCAGACCACACACTAGAAGGTGAAGGGACGACGACGTTTTGGTCCGTCCTGGACCATTCTCAAGTCGATCTTACTGGATCACAAATGATGTAAGGGCGAAGAGGGAGAACAGCCTATTGACATAGCTCGAGTGCAGGGGGGGGGGTTGTGTAAAAGCCTGGTTTGTGCCTCGGAGTGGCTACGGGATCCAGTAAGTTCAGTAGAACTTCGGTTTCAACTCTTTTTAACCCTGTCGTAGCTCAGTCGATTAAGGCAGTATCTGGGATGCTCCCGGACGCAGGTTCGAATCCTCGTCGCGGCCCTTGTGGATTTGTTCATTTGTGCATCACGTTAATGTGATCTCTGTGTGTAGTGTGTGATATTAGTATACTGTATATCACATATTTCGACATTAAGAAGCATATTATGACATATTGTAGCATATATTATGGCACATATATTATCGTTTATCATAATACATAATATGAAACATATCACATATGACATTGGTACACAGTATAGCATATTCTAACGTATACGATATGGTACATACTATTGCATATATTACGAGCACATATTATGATTCATTATTCATATATATATTGAGCACATATTATGAGTCATTATTCCGCATATTCGGGCAAATGTTATATAACACTATAGGAGATACGTTATGAGTGAGATTATGTCACATATTTCAGCTCATTATGGCATATATTATAATAACTATTATAAACATATTTTAAATCAAATAATATGACTCATATTATATTATGGCAAATGCTGTGGAGCATATTAAGGCATAGTATATTACGTATTATAATTGGTAACATATTATGGTAGATAATATAGAACATATCCATCAAAATGATAACGAATGAATAAAATAACAATGTCAATGAATAACGTGATCAGGGATTGGTATATACGTACAAATCTTAGAGTGTGTCGACACACTCACTGGTGTGAGTACCCGAAGAATCTATCTTGTCACAAAGCGACTTAGATAAGACGTGTTTCAATCCGTCGTCGTCTGGATCATTCTTCAAGCCGTTTGGTTCATTATTCGTGACGGGTATGGCGCTGGAGATGAACAAGACAGCGTTGAGGCGTTATCATTGCTCCCTTATCACTGGAGCGCGTACATGTTCCAGGATATTTGTGTATATTTTAGTGTGTGTGTGTGTTCTGTGAAGAATCTGCTTGCACCACATCTACACAAGATTACGGCTCACTGGCCGTAATCTTGTATGAGTATTATTTGAGCCCTCCTTGAAGTTATGTTATATGAGGAGTGAAGTTGTTTATATAATCATGCTAGTTACTATCCGGATTGATACAAAAGGTAGTTGGATTTCCATGTTGGATTGGTACGCCTGTGGCGTCAGGTCAGAGCAGCCAGGCGGAGGGGGGGAGGGAGAGGTTACGATGTCAACTACCCTGTTTTGTTATGCCTCAATTTATAGAAAAATAATGTTTTGCCAGTATTTCCACTTAATAGCTAACCTTGGGAAAGTGTTCATGTTATCATCCATAATTTGTATGTAAAAGGTCATTCCTTAGTTTAGCCCAAGATCATATTAATTAGCGTTTTTAATGAACTGTGGCAAGGGTTCAGGCCGCCTTGCTTGTCAAGAGAGGGAGGTGAGGACAGTGTGTGGTGGACACAGCACCAAGAGAATGTGTGGTTCAACTTTAGGACAGTACTAGGCTACCAGCTTGGGTGCAGGATACGGTAATGTGCTGTTTATGAGTTGCTTGTACATTGTTGTTGTTGTTACAGATTCAGCTACTTGGAACAAGTTCCAAGTAGCACGGGCTATGGTGAGCTCGTAACTTACCTGGCACAGGAGCGGGGCAAGTAGCACGGGCTATGGTGAGCCCGTAGTGGACTTACCTGCCACAAGAACGGTGCCCCTCGTTGCTTGTACACTTTGTATTTCTATTTCTAGTGCTTCAAGCATAGGAATTTTATTAGCTTAGGGTTTACTTAATTTGCCAATTTATTTATTAATGTTTATATGATTATTTCCCTGTGTATTTTAAATATTTTTCCATCGTTCTGAGTCGTAGTTTCTTGAAGTGTTTTGGGAATGTCTATGATCCTACGAGTATCCTTATGAGTTAATTTTTTCCTTTGTCTGGAGTTAAGAACTTTTTAAAGAAATTCCATCCATCTTGCACGTTTTAAGGATTAAAGTCTCCGGATAATTTGTACTAATATGATTGGTCTTCTCCTGAGTCAATTAGCTTAATTACCCAGAATTAGAAGTGTTGGTAGCGTTGTGTGTACGTAACCTTATTCTTACCATCCAGTGGTGTAAATAATTGTGAAATATATTTTTTAACATCCTCGGTCATTTTTCGTCCTGATAACGGGAGGATGATAGGCTGGACGGTAGAATGATGGTCTCGCTTCATGCAGATCGGCGTTCAATCCCCGACCATCCAAGTAGTTGGGCACCATTCCTTCCCCCGTCCCATCCCAAATCCTTATCCTGACCCCTTCCCAGTGCTATATAGTCGTAATGGCTTGGCGCTTTCCCTTATACAAATCTTCAAAGAATATGGAAAGAAAATACATATACAAATCTTCAAAATATATTTAAACCAATTTTATTTTGTTTACATGATTTGCATGAATGTTGGCACATGCCTGATTTTCAGCAAGTTTTGTAATTCACCAGCACTACCTGAGTCGGATCTCAGACCTGTTCTACCCTGACAGCCCGGCCGGGCGCCAGGATTTTGTTCCCATTTCCAACCCTGATAATATTCCCCTGAGTAAGACAAAATTAGAGTATATTTTGTTGTATTTCGTGTTGGCCTCAAGGCCTCTGGAGGGTTGTTGAGGGCACCACCATCGTCCGAATAGGTGGATGAAGGAAAACGGCACATGACTCCGGGAAATGTATTAACCGACACACCAGGTAGCCTCATGGACATTTTGCATTTTCCGGAAGCAGGACTGGAGTGCTCATTATCCCAGATGGTCGCCCTGTGTTCGTCCTGTAGATGGTTGACATAGTTCCAACATATTCAGTACTAGGTGGTGGAGTTCTTGCAGGAGAAGGAATTAAGAGGGGGCGGCCCCTGGAAGAGGTTGGGTCGTCACCACAACTTCCTCCTTGGGTGCTGCTCTGCGGCGCCTTCGTGAGGAAGAATCTGGTTTGGCGGGACAAAGAAGTATATTAAACAGATGTAGAACACATACATATGTATAGTGAGAGTTCGTGCACTAACACCCAACAAACGCGGTGTATGCGCACTCATGGTTTTACATGCATATGCAGTTAGTCACAGATATTCGTAAAATCCCTTTTTTTCACTTTAAAATTGCCTATAAGTGGAATGGTTTAGAGCTTAAACGATGAAGTGGTAGAAGCTTACTTAATGCACAAGTTTATATAAAAATAAGATAAGAACAACGATGAAATGAGTCTGTATTAATCTTTTCCACTGCTCCATCTTACCCTAGGATGGGGAGCCGGTGGCTGAGCGGTCAGAACACTGGACGCGTGATCCTGTGCTCCCGGGTTCGATCCCGGGCGCCGTCGAGAAACAATGGGCAGAGTTTCTTTCACCATGTTACCTAGCAGTAAATAGGTACCTGGGAGTTAGTCAGCTGTCACGGGCTGCTTCCTGGGGGTGGAGGCCTGGTCGAGGACCGGGCCGCGGGGATACTAAGCCCCGAAATTATCTCAAGATAACCCTTTTCACTGCACCAATCTTACCCATTACACTACTCTAATCTTACTCCGTACACTGCTCCAGTGTTAGAGTACAAAAAGTTTGAAATGCAGGACCAAGAGCAGATGCTCGACACTGCAAGCACCTCTAGGCAAGTACACACGCATTCTTATCAATAATAATATATATAATTTGAAGTCATAGAACATGCTCTCACATAACATGTGATCAATGATTGTAACATTTACACACTGTATGACAACTGGTCATACATTTACACAACTGGCATTTACGCCAGTACTTGCAATACTTACACGCCATATAGTTAGATAAGCACTATTAGGTAGGTAAGCATTATTAGGAAATTGTCAAGAATTCTGGAAAAAGGCAAATGTTGTCTCAATATTCAAGAAACAAGGAAGACAGGAGGCACTAATTTAAAGACCAGTATCACTGACAAGTATTCTATGTAAAGAGCCTGAGAATGATGGAACACCTAGAGAGGACCAAGTATGTAAAGAAGGGTCAGCATGGATTTAGAAAGAAAAAGTCGTGCCAGACAAATATATTTGAGTTCTATGATAAGGTTATTAAACATATGACAGGAAAAAAACTGGATAAACTGTATTTTAATAAATTCTCAAAAAGCATTGGTGATACTTATGAAATTGTGGTGTACAAGATGGAGAGGCAGGCTGAGACAACTAGAAAAACACTGAACTGGGTAAGGGATTACCTAGAGGGAAAAAAATGCAGTCAGAGAGCCGGTTTCGAGCTGGTGAAATGTACCAAGTAGGGTCCCACTTGGCTCAGTCCTGGGGCAGCTGATGTTTCTAATTTATGTCAATGTTGTCATGATGAGGAATGTAGAAATAGAAACGGCCTTCAGGAAGTTACAGAACTACCTTTACAAACGCCTAATATTGGAATGTGCGGCACCAGCATGGTATCTGCACCTTGAGAAGCAAAAAAATAAATTGAAAGTACAGTACATGTGTTTGCAACAAGAATGGTGTCAGAGCTAAGAGGGTTTAAGATATAAGAATAACGTAATGGAACTAAATCTCATAACCCTAAAGAACCGAAGAAACAGAAGGGATATGATCACAAAATACAAGATACTGAGAGGAAAGACGCGATTAACAAGAACAGCCTCTTTAAATTGCGAGAAATTAAAACGAAAGGACATAGATGAAATGGAGATGTAAATGAGTCGAATAAATATAAGGAAATACTCGTGCCCTGCATTGGTGGCCAACAAGTGTAATACACTGAGAGAAAAAATTTGTGGAAGCCACCTCCATGTTCAACTTTAAAGGCATTGATGTACAAAATGGCATCAGAACGGGACTGTAAATGTTAATTAAATATTCTTGCACGATAAACACCTCACTTGAGACACTTGAGCAAAGTCCCAGCTGTGTCTGGGTTGTGGGGTACAAGGCGACTGGTTGAACAACCCAACGGGCTCTCTTCCTATTTGGAGATTAATGCACATAGTGCTTCAGCGGAATGTTAATTCACAGTGTGACGCTACCGAATAAATTCACCCTGTGTGGAAAGATATAAAAAATCTGTTTTTATTTTCCGACAGCAACAACCACATCACATTGTCTCTCAACTCCCGCTGTGTTCTGCTTCTGGCTACGGCTTCATCTCACGAATTACTCATCCCTGTAGCTTACTGAGAAGGTATATATATATATATATTGCTGATGTTTACCTTGTCTCACTTTACGGGTTATTCATGCCTGTGCCACCTGTTGGATGTCTTAATCTTTATCAATCAATCTTGTCTTGCTGACTACCGTATACAGAGCTGCTTCACCACACTGTTCAACACCGTCGCTAAATTTGCCTGGAGTTTCAAGATTCTTCAAATTTAAAGGCAGTAATTCCCGCAAAGTAAAATAAAACGGAGAACTAGGAGAAAGAAATTATGGTAATACTGATAAAGTAGAGAGAGAGAAGCGACGTCACGAGGCTACTAAGGTGGGAATACGAACACGCGTAAACATTAGTGAGGAGCTGAACCACTCAAGGTCGACCACTCTACGCCTCGGCACACTACACTCTCACCTCTACTACAGCAATGCCTCCAGCTGGTCAAACACGAGTGTGTGGCAAAGACCGGACAATCCCAACAGTATTCACAGCTATTGCAACAGCCGTCACAGCTGCTGCAGCAGCCGTCACAGGTGACACAGCAGCCGTCACAGGTGGAGCAGCAGCCATCACAGGAGTAACAGGTAGGGTCGCTGGCCAGGGTCAGGGTCAGGAGGTCACAACAGGCGCCACAGCAGTCCGAGTCAGTCATGGCGGGGGACAAGTCTTATACCTCCTCCTCCCTCCACGGCTAGAGTTACACTGTGGCGTCAGCTGGGTATATTCCTCAGGATATCCTGACCAACCTTATATACAACAAAAACTCCTCAGGAGATCCGTCGTCTTTCACGCTCCCCTAAGTTGAAACACTCTAACCAATATTTTCCTTCAATGCATGATGAACTGGGTGTAAATTTAGATGATTAATTTATTTTTATTTATTTATTTATTTATTTATTTATTTACGTGTTTATTTGTTTATACAAGACGGTACATTGGGTTTGTGGGAGTACAGAACATTGTTCTTACATTCTTGTAAAGCCTCTAACACGCATAGCGTTTCGGGCAGGTGTAAATGTAATTTGGATGTAATCATCTTGTAGCGTCAGAAAAGTTAAGTTACAATGTAACAGCAACAACAGTAAACGGGGCATGGAAAGCCTAATAATATTTTTTTTATTCAGGAAAAGTACATACATACATAGTTGTATACAAACATAATGTTTGATTTCTAGATAGAGCACATACAATACCTATAGCCACTAATACGCATAGCGTGTAGGGCAAAAAGAGTTGTTAAAGAGTTGTAATCTGTTTAAAACCGTCACTTACATTTACGGACAGTGTACGACATGGTAATTGCCAGTATTAGGCCGAGATATTGTTACTTATGAATCTCCCAGCTGTGAGTATTTCAATTGTTATTCTAAAATGAGTTAGGATACACTCTTCAGTATTACACAGTGCTAGTAAATATCATAAAATACTTAGAAACTTCGCATAAAACTTACATAAAAATTGACGTAAAACTTACCTTTTTTTTTTTACTATTAATTTACTCAAATATTTTAAGAGCAGACCGTCCTCGTAGGGTTTCCAAACGTCAAGAAACATTATACTACAGTGCCTTATCCTAACCTACCAGAGGACCCAAAACAGAAAACGGGACAGTATGTCAGTTCAAGTATGAGACAAGAAAGAAATACATCTCAAAGGGATAGAGTAGCTTAGGCTATTTCTACACCCCCCCTTCCCCTACAATATGTCAACTTCGTGAGCCGTTTCCATTTTCTAGAACGACGATTTTTGGCCATAGGTAGAGTATACGTCAAAATGCAACACAGTGAACTTGAAGTTTGCCAGTGAAAGTTAGTAGGTTCTACTAACTTTCAGCTAGTTCTGTTTCAGGAGCTATATATTTACAGTAAGTCATTATACATTAATGGTAGATCTTATAGCTAATACATAATTGTTTGGGCAATGGAGATGTTAGTCATAGGGGAGCTGCTGTTTATTATTAGTCTTCACAATACACTACTTGTTTCTCAATCTCATGTGTCGTTTATCTACTGGAAGCGAAATATGGATGCAGTGCAAGGATTTCAGGTATTTTATCCTTGGTAATAAGATAGGTTGCCATATTACACAGCGTGCGTTTTGACTATCTCTAAATGGCTCAATTTTACTACAATCCAAGATATAGTGTTCGAGTGTGTGTCCCTGTCTTTGTCCACACACTTTACACTTTACTTCATCTAGATCCCTATACGAGCCGAACTGCCAGAGATACATGTAGCCAAGTCTTATTCGAGCTGTGACAACGTCTGTTAGTCTACTGATGTCGTTACTTGCCCCATACATATAATTTAAATAAGACATCAACACTTTCGTTGGTCCCCAAGGGCAGGCTTCACCAAGCATTACGTTACTACTTACGAAACCTGTACATCTTTCTTCAATTACGGCGGCTTTCTTGACATTTATTAACAATTTTATCACCTTGGAAACCTCACAACCCCAAGTTATTATTGTTACAACCTCGTAGTATTTTGTATCTCATAAATTGTGTAATAAATTGAAACGGAGCCGCAATAATTGAAAATAAATTTATAGGTATCTTAAGTGATAGCGTAAATACTTGGTGAATCCTGGCTCTGTTTTTTATTTTTTTATGCAACTGAATCGTATGTTCACTCTCCTATCGAATCCCATTGTCATTGAATAATTACCGATGATGAACCTAGAGTTCTCATGAGTTCCTCTCCTAGGCAGAATCAGGAGACGATAGCAAGACTCGTTGTTACTAAGATGTTCGCATTTACATTTACAGCGTTGTAGTTCGAATAAAAGTCGTCTGCGAAGTACTTGTTCCGGAAGTGTTCAGATGTCTTCAGTTGTGAGTCGTGTGTAAACCGTTTTTCATTCATAAACAGCTGGGGTTTGGCGGGTGGATGGAATGGACTTTGGCGTTTGTTTATGCGGACGGGCTGCGGTCTGACATGGGTACTCTCCATACTGAGGCCCACAAATTTAGAGTCGAGTCAATAATAAGTCTACATTATCTCCAACATCGTAACAAAGCGGTCATGGTGTTAGTTATCTTTGAATCTTATCAGTCATTATCTATAAAGATTATTACCTTTATCTGTTATGATTGCTGTCTATATATGTAATGATTACTATCTGTAATCATGTACAATAGCAGGTGTCGATGAGAGTCCCATTGTACTCTGTCATACATATGTTGACCGTTATGTACTGCAAGGGGGAAGGGAGTACCAGTGTACTGCTGGTGATAGAGACCCTCTTGGTCTCTGTCTACTGCCCGGGGGGTGGTAGTAACTGTGTGCTGCCGGCCAGTGTTCTCAGTGTTGATGGTCACTCCCTTCACTTACCTTCGTGTGTACTGGAGAAGCAACAGCAGCAACAGACGTAGCTGTCACCATAGTCCCCACAGACATCGCAGTCCCCACAGTCACAGTCACAACAGTCACAGTCACCACAGTCACAGTCACAGTCACAGTCACCACAGTCACAGTCCCCACAGTCGATGTCGCTCATGGTGGAGGAGCAAGGGGCACCTAGCTAGCCTGATCACCACCGACAAGAGGAGTGACTGCCGGAGCCTGTCGTTGGCCTGTGTCCGTATGGCGATAAAGAGAAGCCTACTGCAGTGGGGGTTCCCTGATAAGATACTGTGAGTAGACGTCAACCCCTGCAGGAAAAATGCTGTCTAGCTGGAGTGTTGCATATCTCAGGAAATAACTCCCGTTATCAAGAGACATAAATGTCATAGAATGAGTGAGGAAATGAAACATACCTCCTAGAGCGAGTTCATAGGAGATCAAGATATCGAAACATCACGGGGAAAGTGAACAAATGTCATCACTGAACTTGTTCGAAAATGCGTTCCAAGAAGAATGAAACGAAAAAGAACTAGGTGCATACAAGGGCAATAAAATATGCTTTAGATTAAAACGCAAGCTCTGGAAGACGTATCAATCCACCAGGAATCACATAGATCATGAGATATACAGAAGGGCATTAAATTCACCTACCCAGAAAATCAGATCAGTAAAAACTATGAAAGAAAACTTCCTGAAAATATTTAGAAGGATCCAAAGTCTATATCTGCCTGTATAATAAGCAAAGCCAAGACAAAAGACCCAGTAGGACACTTCAGAGATGAGACCAACCGAACTATATTTCACGATAAAAAAGGCAGACAACATTGAATGAATACTTTACATCAGTGCTCACACTTGAAAGATCAGAAAACAGCCACAACACCCACACACATGTTTGAAGCAGGCGAAGATAATGAATTAAGGAATATTCCCATAACGTGCAAAACAATCAGGAAGAGCATTGACAAATTAAAGACATCCAAAGCCCAAGGTGTGGATGGAATTCAATACAAAATCGTAAAGTAACTGGCGGTGGAACTGTGTCTACCACTAAAACTCTTGTTCAGAAAATCTCTGGACCAAGGGGAAAAATCGCCCCTAGATTGGAAATGTGTAAATATTATCCTCGTCTTCAAAAAAGGCAGAATGAACTTGTCAGAGAACTACCGACAATCGGGCTAGCCTCGCATATCTACATGCTGAAGGTGCAGAAACTATGGAAATTGGAGGCAGGACGGATTATTTTGGAAAACCAAACCATCATGATAAAAGCCCCCTAAAGTCACGGAAGAAAGAATTGTCCGTGTCAGCATTTTTAACACCTCTTCTGTGTTCTTCAAGTCTGTCGTCAAACGTACGGCCAGCTTTACCAGAGTATTGAAGTGATGAGACGTATGGAATTGAATAAACATTAGCACACTGCTTCTCTTGCATGTTTATTCAATTTCATTTCCTCTTGTTCTCTCCAATAGGTTGGTGAACCTGGCCCTACTCGTAATGACAGACTTGAAGAACACAAAAGCAGTGTTAACTTTGTCATGAACATTGTTCACTTCTGTCACGTTACCGAGAACATCTCTGGGATAGTTTGGGGTCACCTTTAAAATATAAGAAAATGATACCTTACTTGGCCAACTAAAGAAAATAGTGAGGGATAACTGTGCTATTCGAAGCATCTTGTGATAAATTTACCTGAGGGAGCCTCTACGAGGACAGGAAGTTGGCGGCTTGTCAAAGGTACACACATTTTCATTGAAGTGTTTTTCCAGTTGGATTTTAACATTCAACAGAGTTCTGGCAATTACGGTTTCGATGGGTAGGAGGTTCCAAATGTTTATAATCTTGTGAGCGAAAAACCTTTCCTCTTGTTAGTCCTACATTGTGGCTTATTGAGCTTGAAACCGTTGCTCCTTGTCTGTATTACATCCGATCTTTTGAAGAAATTGTCTGGATCAATATCCTCCAAACTGATCATTATTTTACAAGTTTCCATGAGATTTGCCCTGTCATATCTGGTTGTTACATACAAGAGTTGTTACATTCTTGTACAGCCACTAGTATGCGTAGCGTTTCGGGCAAGTCCCTGGAATACGATCCCCGCCGCGAAGAATCGTTGTTACAACCAAGTACACATTTTACTGTTGAGTTAAACAGAGGCTACAGTTAAGGATTTGCGCCCAGTAAATCCTCCCCGGCCAGGATACGAACCCATGACAAAGCGCTCGCGGAACGCCAGGGGTTTGTAGTGTTGTTAGCACTGTGGCCCTCTACCTTCCTCGCTGAGAGTCGAGTTAGTTCTGGAATGAATTATTTTGCCAGGTGTTGAACTTTCTCCAAAGCAGCTGTCTTTCTGAAGATGAGGTCTCCATGCTTTGATATAATAAACCAATTAAGTGAGAACGCACGAAAGATTTATGCAGTTGAATCACTACCTTCTTTTCCTTAAAGTCAAAGGTATGCTTGATTATTCCTAGGATTTGGATACCCTTTTTTTTATTGTTGCTCCTACCTGTTGTGCAACTTTCGGTGAATGATGGATTCTGACTCCAAGGTCTTTTTCTTCATCAATCTGGTGCAAGATAGTGCTGTTAATTTGGTAGTTGTGACTTGGGTATTATGCCCCATATGCAAGGTAAATATATATTAAAAAGCATTTGCCAGTCTTTTGCCAATTTGTTGAGTTCATGTAGATCTCTGTGTAAGGCTTTAATATAATTTTCACTTCTCACTTTACTATAAATCTTAGTTTCATCTGCAAATTTGATAACGTGGTTTGTAATATTCTCATCTATGTCATTGGCATGTATGACAAAAAGGGTTGGCCCCAAAATGGTGTCATGCAGAACCCCCCCTTCGCCACATTGCTCCAGTCAGATTCATTCCTATTTAGCACGACCCTTTGTTTTCCTTATCAATCTACAGATAGAGGCTGATAAGACAAGGGAGATCAATTATACGCGTTGCATTACATGTAATTTTATTGTGCAGAGAACAGATCATAAAGTACAAAAGCGGGCAGGTGAGTATAGGCGGCCTTCGAACGCTGACTCGATCTCTCTCCTTCATCCGGTCGCTGGGACGCGGGGGCCAAACACTATCAACAACAGAATGGCTTAGAAACTCCTCAGAGACTTTCGTGCGTTAATAGAGCCCGTGGACGACTTGCTATCGTGCATTCGTAGCACCCGTGGACGACCTTCTATCGTGCATTCGTAGCGCCCGTGGACGACCTATCGTGCATTCGTAGCGCCCGTGGACGACCTTCTATCATGCATTCGTAGAGGTCGTGGACGATCTTCTGCATGTATTGTAGCGCTCGAGGGCGACGTTCTGTCATGCATTCGGAGAGTTCGTTGGAACACTCATTTGAGAGAAGCAGACTCGCTGGAGGAGTACGGTGCCAAGACTGGGTATAGGAGACAGGTGTGTTGGCCGGGGAGTGCTTGAAGACGTCTGCTGACTATCAAAGGACGAAAATAATAGTCTGGCATAAGAAATCCAGTAGTACTGGTATCGGAAAACGGAGACTTGTGACAGGAAATGAAAATGACAGTATTCCTTTTCATAATTTTAGCCTTTGTTTAAATTAAGTTTTGCTCTTTCATGTAGAATTTTCAAATTTTCGTTTTTGATTCTATACATCAGATTAAAAGTTATGAGTAAACCAAAGTATGTGTTGGAAGTCAAGACTGCGGCAGCCGGTGTGTGGTGTTCCAGTGGGGGTTCAGGCAGCGGATGGGAGTGTCTTAGCGCTTAAGAACGGCCTCGCCTTCATAGGTGACGTCTGCGTTAAAGCCTCCATCTGCATTGACGCTGAAATGAAACAGAGGCTTCATTTAGAGATGCCAAAATATTTATGTATATATATTTTATTCACTTGGACTATCGGAACCTCGAACCGCAGATCACAAACGCATTAACCTGCAGTTCTATCTACCGAGCTATCATAGGAAGGATTCCAGAGATCTGCTGTCCAAGTAGCTACTCGTAAATATACTTGATCAACTAATCGGTCAATAAACCTACGTGTAGACGACGATCTGGCGGCGGGTGTCAGGAAGGAGAACTTCGTAGCGGCCTTCGGTGTCGTCCCCGTCGCGAGACTCCTTATGACTATAAGAGTTGCCGCTCTCTGGGTCCTCTACAGCGTACTCGAAGTTGTACTTCGCCTGAGGTGAGGGCGAGGCATCACTCTTAATATATAAATATATATATATATATATATATATATATATATATATATATATATATATATATATATATAATATATACCAGCCGTGACGAGGCATGAGGATCAATGTATAACAAATGTTTAACTAGGCCCAAAGGATACCTGATCAACCGGGCTGTGACTCATACGTCAGGCTGCGAGCAGCCGCGTCCAACAGCCTGGTTGATCAGTCCAGCAACCAGGAGGCTTGGTCGACGACCGGGACGCGGGGACGCTAAGCCCCGGAAGCACCTCAAGGTAACCTCATGGTAAGGTAGGCCAGACCACACACTAGAAGGTGAAGGCACAATAGACTTGAGAATGGTCCAGGACGGACCGAAACGTCGTCGTCCCTTCACCTTCTAGGGTGTGGTCTGCTCAACATACTTCAGCCACGTTATTGTGACTCATCGCCTGCAAATGTGTAACTACGTATATTATTCTGTTAAATGTATACATTCACACCAATGCATTTATGAAATACAATATTATAAAGTATAGATTATATACTAAAAACAGGACAAATACATCACCAATATAAATATTTGCCACACATAAATACACATCTGAGAGCAAACTTGACCATGGGGACTTAGTCATTTCTCGTAGAATATCACACAATATTTTCTGTTTTTTAGGCAGCTACATATGCACAGATATTTCTATATAGTGATACATTGTAATGTGTAAAAGCTGGACACTGCACAAACGTCACTACGGGAGTGGTGAGCAAGGATGAGGGTATACTCACTGGTGGGTAATTCTCCTCTTGCGGCCTTCCTGTAGCCAGAACCACCAGGCAGGCGAGCAGGATCACCTGATTAATGTAACACGAACGATTAGTATAGCCACCTTGGGCTGGAGGATTGATGCGCGCACACACACATGATTGACAGTTGAGAGGCAGGACCAAAGAGCTAAAGCTCATCCCCCGCAAGCACAAATAGGTGAGTGTACACACACACACACACACACACACACACAAATGGAATGCATTAGGCAGTGATGTTGTGGAGGCTGACTCCATACACAGTTTCAAATGTAGATATGATAGATCCCAGTAGGCTCAGGAACCTGTACACCTGCTGATTGATTTGGTCCCGTCTCTCAACTGTCAATCTTATGTCTGTAAGAAAGACGGCATGTCCCTCTGTTCTAGGGTGGAGGCCTTGTCCCGTTTTCTGTTAGTGGGTCCTCTGGTAGGTTAGAATAAGGCACTTTAGTACGGCAGTTTCTTGGCGTTGGGAACGTTCTCGAGAACGAGGTGGGCAGTTAGCCTCGCGCAACGTTACAGGGCCAACTGTGATTGTTATGGTGTCATAGGGTGGTTGAGGGTCGACCCCCATGCCCGTAGGATTGGCTCTTAATGTGAAATGTGGGTTTGGTTGTCAATAGAGTGCTGCCCAATTTAATTCACGCTGTTATCGACGTTAAATGAACTTTTTTCACATCGGGGACGTCGATTCAACGTCGATAATGTTGATTCAAAGTCGGTAGCGTTGATTTAACGTTGGTAATGTTTATCCAACGTTACTCGAGCATGTTTTGCATAATGGGAGAGAATGGTAGAGAAGGAGGAAGGGATGGAGAATGGGAGGGAGGGAGAGAAGAGGGTTAAAATAAATTATCGGTAAATTAAGGTTAGATCAATTAGCTAAGCTTGTTATAGCTATTTTCTTATCTAGACTGTCACTTAAAATAAGTATTCATCACGTGTTAAAGTAAGAGTTCATCACGTGTTAATTTTCGTGATTTACACACATAAGAGTTCACGTAGGAGGAGCAGCATGAGGTGTAAGAACGTACCGTGTACTTCATGACTGGTGAGGCTGTGTTGACTGTGGTGAGGCAGAGGCGGGAATGGTGCTCCCGGGCCCTTCAGGGAGCGTTATATACCCGTCGCTGCCAAGGAGAACGGGACGAGGCTACCTCTGGCGCCCTCCAGGCTACCTCTGGCGCCCTCCAGGCTACCTCTGGCGCCCTCCAGGCTACCTCTGGCGCCCTCCAGGCTGCCTCTGGCGCCCTCCAGGCTGGAGATGGCATGAAGGGCACGAGGGAAGGCATTACAAGAGAAAGAAAGCAGTGGAATAATGGAATGACAATCGAAGGGAAGGAAGAAATGAAAGAATTAGTGAGAAGATTGTTAGGGATCAGAGGAAGGAAATGGGATAGGAGTCCGTGGGACAAGAAGGAGGAAGGCAGGAAGAACAAAACTGGAGCTAGAAGGAAAGGGAGAAACTGAAGATGAATGGTAATGAATTGGCGGAAGAAAGGGACGAATAGGCAGAGGGAAGGAGTAGGAGGAGGTCTCTGGGCCGCCGACAAAGTGCCATCACTGCAAAAGGCTCCAAGACACCGCTCCAGCGGGCACCTCTTGCTCCTCCACGGACCCTCCATGTACTCAAAATCAAAACATCAGTTCATAAGTCTCACCTTTCTAGGTATTGCTGTAACAACTCCCTTTCCTCGACTTCTCTTTTATTTTCATTTACAAATTATATCAAATTTGGCATCAACAATGTGCAGGCGAGGAGTCACAACCTCAAGCTCAACGGGTTAGTCTGGGGCCCCTGCACTTGGAGTTAGGGGGCCTCGTAGTGGACCATGGGCCCCTCTACCCTGCACCTGGAGTTAGGGGCCCTCGTAGTGGACCATGGGCCCCCTGTTCCCCTGCACCTGGAGTTAGGGGCCTTCGTAGTGGACCATGGGCCCCCTGTTCCCCTGCACCTGGAGTTAGGGGCCCTCGTAGTGGACCATGGGCCCCCTGTTCCCCTGCACCTGGAGTGCCACAGGCAGTCCATGTTTACCTAAGATGACGAACCTGTTTGTCAAGTTTTGAGTGGTCATCCTCACTTGTCACGTTAGTTATAAGTGAAGATGACCACTATCTAACCCCAAACTGCAATTTTTATTTATTTTACCAAACATTTAGAGTGCAACACAGAGTTTCTTCTGAAATATCACTATCATTGTATAAGTGAGCATGGAAACGCTTACAATTAAACCCAAAGAACATCCACTAAGGTCTGATTGAATATCCTAGGCCCAACCGTTCACAAGATGAGTATGGCGCGGACAATAAACTACCTCTCGCATCCCTTCTTGGTGCTTTCGTTTGATAATTACTTAGCATGATGAATAATAATATTTATAACAAAAAACAATAAACACAATGCACAATAAACCAGCCGCCGATTCTGGCAACAAAGACGGTTGAGCGCGCGGGAAGAGTGGCCAGGAGCCGGAATTGCGCGCCATTAAAATTCAAAATTCAAATTTTTATTCAGGGAAAAGTACATAGATGCTGAGTTACACACATAATATTGAGTTTATAGATAGATTTAGTACATAAAATACCTAAAGCCACTAATATGCAGTGTTTCTGGCCATTAATGCTCCAAGTTGACGCTCCTATAAGTCGAGATTATGTTGTATGCGAGTAGGCTTGGTTCGTGTATCCGGGTAGCTCCTGTGGGCATGCTGATGCACAGGACTGTGTACGCTGGTACAAACGTGTATATGCAGGGATGATACACATGTATACAAGCAGTGTAACTGCTTCCCCACACACCCATGAATTACATCATCCAATGACTCCTTGTAATCCTCTATTGCCTGTGTGTGTAATGCAAGAGATTCTCTCATGTTATCATCACCTTGACACAAATAAATACAAATTTTAAATTTGTGTATTTAGACATTTTGAAAAATTCTTTCAATATGTAATATATTGTTTCTCTTTACATGTATTCAGCGTCGATTCTTTTCTCACTTTGAATATGGCACCAGAAATTTTAACCAAATATCTACAGATTACTAACTGTAGATAGTAACTGATTATAGCCTATCCACCGCTGTCAAACTGGATGGGTATGGGATCCACTACCGCCCACAGGGTGGGTATGGGGTCCACTACCGCCCACAGGGTGGGTATGGGGTCCACTACCGCCCACAGGGTGGGTATGGGGTCCACTACCGCCCAAAGGGTGGGTATGGGGTCCACTACCGCCCACAGGGTGGGTATGGGGTCCACTACCGCCCACAGGGTGGGTATGGGGTCCACTACCGCCCACAGGGTGGGTATGGGGTCCACTACCGCCCACAGGGTGGGTATGGGGTCCACTACCGCCCAAAGGGTGGGTATGGGGTCCACTACCGCCCACAGGGTGGGTATGGGGTCCACTACCGCCCACAGGGTGGGTATGGGGTCCACTACCGCCCACAGGATGGGTATGGGGTCCACTACCACCCACAGGATAGGTATGGGGTCAACTACCGCCCACAGGATGGGTATGGGGTTTACAACCGCCCACAGGATGGGTATGGGGTCTACTACCGCCCACAGGATGGGTATGGGGTCAACTACCGCCCACAGGATGGGTATGGGGTCAACTACCGCCCACAGGATGGGTAAGGGATCCACTACCTCCCACAGGATGGGTATGGGGTCCACTACCTCCCACAGGATGGGTATGGGGTCCACTACCGCCCACTGGATGGGTATGGGGATTACTACCGCCCACAGGATAGGTATGGAGTCCACTACCGCCCACAGGATGGGTATGGGGTCTTCTACCGCCCACAGGATGGGTATGGGGTCTTCTACCGCCCACAGGATGGGTATGGGGTCTTCTACCGCCCACAGGATGGGTATGGGGTCTTCTACCGCCCACAGGATGGGTATGGGGTCTACTACCACCCACAGGATGGGTATGGGGGTCCACTACCGCTCACAGGATGGGTATGGGGTCCACTACCGCCCACGGGATAGGTATGGGGTCCACTACCGCCCACAGGATTGGTATAGGGGTTCACTACCGCCCACAGGATGGGTATGGGGTTCACTACCACCCACAGCATTGGTATGGGGTCCACAGAATGGGCATGGGGTTTCATTACCGCTCACAGGATGAGTATGGGGGTCCACTACCGCCCTCAGGATGGGTATGGGGGTCCACTACTGCCTACAGGATGGGTATGGGAGTAATCTACTGGCCACAGGATGCGTATAGGAGTCCACTACCGTCCACAGGATGGGTATGGGGGTCCAATACCGTCCACAGGATGGGTATGGACGTCCACTACAACCCACAGGATGGGTATGGGTTCATTGCTGCTCACAGGATGGGTATGGGGTCTACAACCGCCCACAAGATGGGTATGGGGGTCCACTACCGCCCACTGGATGGGTATGGGGATTACTACCGCCCACAGGATAGGTATGGAGTCCACTACCGCCCACAGGATGGGTATGGGGTCTTCTACCGCCCACAGGATGGGTATGGGGTCTTCTACCGCCCACAGGATGGGTATGGGGTCTACTACCACCCACAGGATGGGTATGGGGGTCCACTACCGCTCACAGGATGGTTATGGGGTCCACTACCGCCCACGGGATAGGTATGGGGTCCACTACCGCCCACAGGATTGGTATAGGGGTTCACTACCGCCCACAGGATGGGTATGGGGTTCACTACCACCCACAGCATTGGTATGGGGTCCACAGAATGGGCATGGGGTTTCATTACCGCTCACAGGATGAGTATGGGGGTCCACTACCGCCCTCAGGATGGGTATGGGGGTCCACTACTGCCTACAGGATGGGTATGGGAGTAATCTACTGGCCACAGGATGCGTATAGGAGTCCACTACCGTCCACAGGATGGGTATGGGGGTCCAATACCGTCCACAGGATGGGTATGGACGTCCACTACAACCCACAGGATGGGTATGGGTTCATTGCTGCTCACAGGATGGGTATGGGGTCTACAACCGCCCACAAGATGGGTATGGGGGTCCACTACCGCCAACAGGATGGGTATGGGTCCACTACCGCCCTCAGGATGGGTATGGGGGTCCACTACCGCCCTCAGGATGGGTATGGGGGTCCACTACCGCCCTCAGGATGGGTATGGGGGTCCACTACCGCCCTCAGGATGGGTATTGGGTTCCACTACCGCCCACAGGATGGGTATTGGGTTCCACTACCGCCCACAAGATGGGTATGGGGTCCACTACCGCCCACACCCGTATCCACCCTGTGGCCCATAGTGGACCCCTATTCCCCCCAGTGGGCGGTAGCGGACCCCCATACCCTCCGAGAGGGCTGTAGTGGAGCCCCATACCCATCTTGTGGGCGGTAGTGGAACCCAATACCCATCCTGAGGGCGGTAGTGGACCCCCATACCCATCCTGAGGGCGGTAGTGGACCCCCATACCCATCCTGAGGGCGGTAGTGGACTCCCATACCCACCGAGAGGGCGGTAGTGGACCCCCATAACCCTCAGTGGGCAGTAGTGGACCCCATAACCCCCCAGTGGGCGGTAGTGGACCCCCATACCCTCCCAGAGGGCGGTAGCGGACCCCCACACCCTCCCAGAGGGCGGTAGCGGACCCCCACACCCTCCCAGAGGGCGGTAGCGGACCCCCACACCCTCCCAGAGGGCGGTAGCGGACCCCCACACCCTCCCAGAGGGCGGTAGCGGACCCCCACACCCTCCCAGAGGGCGGTAGCGGACCCCCACACCCTCCGAGAGGGCGGTAGCGGACCCCCACACCCTCCCAGAGAGCGGTAGCGGACCCCCACACCCTCCGAGAGGGCGGTAGCGGACCCCCATACCCACCGAGAGGGCGGTAGTGGACCCCCATAACCCTCAGTGGGCGGTAGCGGACCCCCCACACCCTCCCAGAGGGCGGTAGCGGACGCCCACACCCTCCCAGAGGGCGGTAGCGGACGCCCACACCCTCCCAGAGAGCGGTAGCGGACGCCCACACCCTCCCAGAGGGCGGTAGCGGACGCCCACACCCTCCCAGAGGGCGGTAGCGGACGCCCACACCCTCCCAGAGGGCGGTAGCGGACGCCCACACCCTCCCAGAGGGCGGTAGCGGACGCCCACACCCTCCCAGAGGGCGGTAGCGGACGCCCACACCCTCCCAGAGGGCGGTAGCGGACGCCCACACCCTCCCAGAGGGCGGTAGCGGACGCCCACACCCTCCCAGAGGGCGGTAGCGGACGCCCACACCCTCCCAGAGGGCGGTAGCGGACGCCCACACCCTCCCAGAGGGCGGTAGCGGACCCCCACACCCTCCCAGAGGGCGGTAGCGGACGCCCACACCCTCCCAGAGGGCGGTAGCGGACGCCCACACCCTCACAGAGGGCGGTAGCGGACCCCCACACCCTCCCAGAGGGCGGTAGCCGGCGCCCACACCCTCCCAGAGGGCGGTAGCGGACCCCCACACCCTCCCAGAGGGCGGTAGCGGACCCCCACACCCTCCCAGAGGGCGGTAGCGGAGCCCCACACCCTCCCAGAGGGCGGTAGCGGACCCCCACACCCTCCCAGAGGGCGGTAGCGGACCCCCACACCCTCCCAGAGGGCGGTAGCGGACCCCCACACCCTCCCAGAGGGCGGTAGCGGACGCCCACACCCTCCCAGAGGGCGGTAGCGGACGCCCACACCCTCCCAGAGGGCGGTAGCGGACCCCCACACCCTCCCAGAGGGCGGTAGCCGGCGCCCACACCCTCCCAGAGGGCGGTAGCGGACCCCCACACCCTCCCAGAGGGCGGTAGCGGAGCCCCACACCCTCCCAGAGGGCGGTAGCGGAGCCCCACACCCTCCCAGAGGGCGGTAGCGGACCCCCACACCCTCCCAGAGGGCGGTAGCGGACCCCCACACCCTCCCAGAGGGCGGTAGCGGACCCCCACACCCTCCCAGAGGGCGGTAGCGGACCCCCACACCCTCCCAGAGGGGGGTAGCGGACCCCCACACCCTCCCAGAGGGGGGTAGCGGACCCCCACACCCTCCCAGAGGGCGGTAGCGGGCGCCCACACCCTCCCAGAGGGCGGTAGCGGGCGCCCACACCCTCCCAGAGGGCGGTAGCGGGCGCCCACACCCTCCCAGAGGGCGGTAGCGGGCGCCCACACCCTCCCAGAGGGCGGTAGCGGGCGCCCACACCCTCCCAGAGGGCGGTAGCGGACCCCCACACCCCCCCAGAGGGCGGTAGCGGACCCCCACACCCCCCCCCAGAGGGCGGTAGCGGACCCCCACACCCTCCCGGAGGGCGGTAGCGGGCGCCCACACCCTCCCGGAGGGCGGTAGCGGGCGCCCACACCCTCCCGGAGGGCGGTAGCGGGCGCCCACACCCTCCCGGAGGGCGGTAGCGGGCGCCCACACCCTCCCGGAGGGCGGTAGCGGGCGCCCACACCCTCCCGGTGGGCGGTAGCGGGCGCCCACCCCCTCCCGGAGGGCGGTAGCGGGCGCCCACACCTTCCCGGAGGGCGGTAGCGGGCGCCCACACCCTCCCGGAGGGCGGTAGCGGGCGCCCACACCCTCCCGGAGGGCGGTAGCGGGCGCCCACACCCTCCCGGAGGGCGGTAGCGGGCGCCCACACCCTCCCGGAGGGCGGTAGCGGGCGCCCACACCCTCCCGGAGGGCGGTAGCGGGCGCCCACACCCTCCCGGAGGGCGGTAGCGGGCGCCCACACCCTCCCGGAGGGCGGTAGCGGGCGCCCACACCCTCCCGGAGGGCGGTAGCGGGCGCCCACACCCTCCCGGAGGGCGGTAGCGGGCGCCCACACCCTCCCGGAGGGCGGTAGCGGGCGCCCACACCCTCCCGGAGGGCGGTAGCGGGCGCCCACACCCTCCCGGAGGGCGGTAGCGGGCGCCCACACCCTCCCGGAGGGCGGTAGCGGGCGCCCACACCCTCCCGGAGGGCGGTAGCGGGCGCCCACACCCTCCCGGAGGGCGGTAGCGGGCGCCCACACCCTCCCGGAGGGCGGTAGCGGGCGCCCACACCCTCCCGGAGGGCGGTAGCGGGCGCCCACACCCTCCCGGAGGGCGGTAGCGGGCGCCCACACCCTCCCGGAGGGCGGTAGCGGGCGCCCACACCCTCCCGGAGGGCGGTAGCGGGCGCCCACACCCTCCCGGAGGGCGGTAGCGGGCGCCCACACCCTCCCGGAGGGCGGTAGCGGGCGCCCACACCCTCCCGGAGGGCGGTAGCGGGCGCCCACACCCTCCCGGAGGGCGGTAGCGGGCGCCCACACCCTCCCGGAGGGCGGTAGCGGGCGCCCACACCCTCCCGGAGGGCGGTAGCGGGCGCCCACACCCTCCCGGAGGGCGGTAGCGGGCGCCCACACCCTCCCGGAGGGCGGTAGCGGGCGCCCACACCCTCCCGGAGGGCGGTAGCGGGCGCCCACACCCTCCCGGAGGGCGGTAGCGGGCGCCCACACCCTCCCGGAGGGCGGTAGCGGGCGCCCACACCCTCCCGGAGGGCGGTAGCGGGCGCCCACACCCTCCCGGAGGGCGGTAGCGGGCGCCCACACCCTCCCGGAGGGCGGTAGCGGGCGCCCACACCCTCCCGGAGGGCGGTAGCGGGCGCCCACACCCTCCCGGAGGGCGGTAGCGGGCGCCCACACCCTCCCGGAGGGCGGTAGCGGGCGCCCACACCCTCCCGGAGGGCGGTAGCGGGCGCCCACACCCTCCCGGAGGGCGGTAGCGGGCGCCCACACCCTCCCGGAGGGCGGTAGCGGGCGCCCACACCCTCCCGGAGGGCGGTAGCGGACCCCCACACCCTCCCAGAGGGCGGTAGCGGGCGCCCACACCCTCCCAGAGGGCGGTAGCGGACCCCCACACCCTCCCAGAGGGCGGTAGCGGGCCCCCACACCCTCCCAGAGGGCGGTAGCGGGCCCCCACACCCTCCCAGAGGGCGGTAGCGGGCCCCCACACCCTCCCAGAGGGCGGTAGCGGGCGCCCACACCCTCCCAGAGGGCGGTAGCGGACCCCCACACCCTCCCAGAGGGCGGTAGCGGGCCCCCACACCCTCCCAGAGGGCGGTAGTGGGCCCCCATAACCATCCCGTCAATGGTTAAGATGTCAAATATTCCTCAAACTTGAAACCTTTCTACTTTTAAGTGTTTAGGTTTAATATTTTGGCTGTTTACTGTGTGGTTCTGATCCTTGTGGTATTATAGGGTATTAAAATTTGGGTATTATTATTATTTTTATTTTATTTATATATATATACAAGAGTTTTATTCTTGTCCAGCCACTAGCACGTCTAGCATTGCGGGGCTTAATCCTATGTTCTCAGGAGTACGACCTCGACAAATGGTTGTTGTTATAGATTCAGCTACTGGGAACAAGTTCCAAGTAGCACGGGCTATGGTGAGCCCGTAGTGGACTTACCTGGCACAGGAGCGGTGCTGTGTCCGACAAATGGTTTAACAACACATTGTACTGTTGGGTGAACAGCAGTCTGGTGGTGTGGCGGTGCAGCTCTCGGCTTTGCATCATGCGGGCGGAGGTTCTAAGGCATTTGTAATTAAAAAAAAAAATATATATATATATATATATATATATATAATATAATATTGTATATTTAGGCTGGGGGTAGGTTAACAAATAATAATCATAAATAATGTAATGAAAAGTTTTATCATTTCATACGAATTTGTTTAGAAAATATATAATTTCAGTTAACTGCTTGTTAGGCAAATCGGGACTTTCATACTTGCCCAAGTAGTGCGCTCTGGGTACTCGGGTATATGTATGTATGTATAATACATATATATATATACATAGACACAGAGCTGGATTACGTAAGACCATAAGAGGCTGGGTGGCCTTGACAGCCTGCCGAAGGCGAAGTTTTAAAACGCATTTAAAAAATTGCATAAATTTCTCTTCTTGGAACCCTTCACTAATCTGAATAATAATAATACTACTACTTTATTTACAAAAATTATGCATACATAGAGCATAAAGCGGTAAAGCGGATATATATTTGAAGAGATTTGATATATTTATATATATTTATATATATTTAGATTACATATATTTTATCTGCCCGAAACGCTTTGCGTAATAGTGGCTTTAGGCATTGTATGTACTAGCTCAATCTATAAATCCATCAACTTTTGTATCTTACCTTGTATATATTAGGGAGCCGGTCGGCCGAGCGGACAGCACGCTGGACTTGTTATTCTGTGGTCCTGGGTTCGATCCCAGGCGCCGGCGAGAAACAATGGGCAGAGTTTCTTTTACCCTGTGCCCCTGTTACCTAGCAGTAAAATAGGTACCTGGGTGTTAGTCAGCTGTCACGGGCTCCTTCCTGGGGGTGGAGGCCTGGTCGAGGACCGGGCCGCGGGGACACTAAAAAGCCCCGAAATCATCTCAAGATAACCTCAAGATATGTACCTTACCTGAATAAAAATGTATTTATTTATTATTTATTTGTAGTGTGGGGTCAACCACTGGAAAACGCAGTACCGGGAACACAACCCAGCCATTCGTGCTATAGCTTTCACGGCGAGAAGTGCAAGTGGCCGCCGACATAGTTAGCATCAGTGGCAGCAATTCACCCTTTCATTGTTCTCCTCGATAGAATTCTAGGTGAATCGGATACTTTTGATATCGTTCGCTTTATGCGTTTTTCTTCTCGTATTGGCATTCTTGGTGATATTTAGCGCCCTCTTTCGCACTTTATTATTCGCACTATTATTTCGCACTTTGATGGTGCTACATAGCCTTCCCGGTTTGGTGCCTTCTTTTGATAATTACCTTACCTACCTTTCATTGTTCCGCAGTAACCATCCCTCGTGTGCCCACTCCCGTGACGACCCGACGCGACGTGAGGAAGGTTAAGAGACCATGAAGACGGACGGGTCCAGTGGTGGCGGCTCCCGCGTCGTTCCGGTGGAGGTTGTGTGAATGTGGCACTACGCCGCCCTACACGGGTTAGTGGCGAGCGATGAGTTCATGACTATAGATGGGATAGACGCAGCCAATGCCTCTCTTCACTTCATTTCGCCCGCCATCTTGGGTTATGAGCGAGTGCGTGAATCTCAGGTACTTTGTAAGTTGGTATTACGTTCGTGATATTTAGGACAGGAGTATTCAGTAGATTTATTACGTGTTTGGTAAAGTTCAACGTTGAAGATATATCTGTGTATTTTATAGTTCTGCATGAGAACAGAAAACTTGCTTTGATTGTAGTATTAATCCCTGTAAGAAATTATGTTCAGCCTTTGTAAACGGATTTTTTTTTATTACACCCACTTACCAGGTGGGGAGATGAAGGGGGGGGGGGGTGAGGGCTGGGTGGTGAAGGGGGTGGGGGGGGGTGAAGTCAGGGTGGTGAAGGGGGTGGGGGGGGGGTGAGGGCTGGGTGGTGAAGGGGGTGGGGGGGTGAGGTCAGGGTGGTGAAGGGGGTGAGGGCTGGGTGGTGAAGGGGGTGGGGGGGGGTGAGGGCAGGGTGGTGAAGGAAGTGGGGGGATGAGGTCAAGGTGGTGAAGGGGGTGTGGGGGGGTGGGGGCAGGGTGGTGAAGGGGGTGTAGGGGGGTGAGGTCAGGGTGGTGAAGGGGGTGAGGGCAGGGTGGTGAAGGGGGTGTGAGGTCAGGGTGGTGAAGGGGGTGTAGGGGGGGGTGAGGTCAGGGTGGTGAAGGGGGTGAGGGCAGGGTGGTGAAGGGGGTGAGGGCAGGGTGGTGAAGGGGTGAGGGCAGGGTGGTGAAGGGGATGTGGGGGGGGGGTGAGGGCAGGGTGGTGAAGGGGGTGTGGGGGGGGTGAGGGCAGGGTGGTGAAGGGGGTGTGGGGGGGGGGGTGAGGGCAGGGTGGTGAAGGGGGTGTGGGGGGGTGAGGGCAGGGTGGTGAAGGGGGTGTGGGGGGGGTGAGGGCAGGGTGGTGAAGGGGGTGAGGGCAGGGTGGTGAAACTAGCATAGGAAACTAGTATGACGTCATACGTCACCGCGCCGCTGTCTGTGCAGCTCCCCCCTCCCCGGGAGGGGGAAGGGGGAGCCCCAGACCTCCCACGCCGGCTATTCACCCATCAGTTCTTCGGCTGATGCTATAGGCACTGGTTATGTGCTCCGACTCCAGTGGTTGTTTCAGCACTGTACCTAGAGTGTGGTGTCTGTTTTCTAGGTGGTGCGTGAGCCGGGAGTGATTCTTCAGTACTCGGGCTGCATGCGCCTAGGGTTCCCTTCCCTAGGTGCCCTGTAAGTACTGCCCTTGGGGCTTGGGGCCACCTTCCACAAGTTCCTTGGGGTCCTGCCCCTGCTTGGCCGTTTACTGCTTGGTTTTCGGCCGCTCTTTGTGTGCTCGGGTGTTCTGTCTCCCTTGTTCGCCTTAGAGTAAGGGGCAGTGTTTGCACTGGTGGGGCGCAGGGTACTGTGCAGCTTGTCTTTACCAATCATAGCGGCCGGCTCTGTTCCGCTTGGGTACGCTGTCCTCTTGCGGGGTTTTCTTTTTCTTTTTGTTTATCTACCTGGTGGGGGGGATCTGCCTTCGTTCTTGCCCCCTTGTGTCCCTTGTGTTCTGAGTATTTTCTGGTGGTACCCCTGCTAGGTCCCCGTGAGTGTACACGTCCCGGGGGTTCAGCTCTTAGAAAGTTGTTTGGTAGCTTTGGGTGCCGGTTAGCAGTACCCTGCCTGGGATTACCTGAGCGCGAGTCCTCTTATAGTAAACGCTCGGGACCCTGGGAAACCCCTGGGGGCGCGCGGGTCCGATGGATGTGACCCCAGAGCCCCCCCCTCGCTTCCAGCGAGTTTGAGGGTTGCTCTCACCCTTTGTCTCTGGGTGACTCTCTGTTTTGCCTCCGTCTCTGCCTGTGGGGTCGGTGACACCTTCGACCCGGAGTCCTGCGAGTTTAGTTGCTCGTTGTGGCTCGGTTACCCAGTTGTGCTAACAAAGCGGGTGCGGGCAGCAGGGGCGTTGCACTTGAGCCTTGGTGGTGGCAACGTTCTCGTGGTTTCCTCCCCGGGAGCCCCGGGGCTGCCCCGTTGTAGTTTGTTTTGGGACTTGGGGGTGTTTGGTTGCTTCGGTTCCATCCACGCCCCTTTGTCTTTGCCCTGGATCACCCTTCCTGCCTGCATCCGGTTCCTTACCGTCTGTAGGTTCGGGGCGGGGTTTTTGATGGTGTTGAGACTCGGGCAGTCTCGGGGAATTCCCCTTCCGGGGTAGTGACGGGGGCATTTGAGCCTGTTCCTCCAGCTGTGTTGTACGAGTCTGCCAGTGGGCTCCCTTCATTAGTGGTTTCACGGCTGCCCCGGTTTTCTGGTACGGCCGGGGCTTTGGGGGAACGGCTCTGCCCCGGGGCCTGTCGTGTAGGTTCCCGGGGCTGGGGAGGGGCTGACTTGGGGGGGCCTTGGCCCCGTTAGACCCCGTGGGGGGTTTTATCCCCCTCTAGGCGGGGCTTGTGGTTACGCGGAGTGGGGTTTTTCCTCCCCACTCGCCGTACGTGCTGTTGGGCGTCGGCCTCTCCCCGGTGCTCGGTTCCTTGGCCTTTGAGTCGGTTGGTTCCGTCCTGTGGGTGGATGTTTCCTCCCACCCCTTTTTGGGACGGAGTTTTCGTCATGTTTCCCCGTTCGATGGGGTTCTGCGTGACTTCTGATCTCGGGTGCGCCTGTGCCTTCGTGTGCCTTCGGGACTAGTGTTGGCTTCTGTGTTCTCGAGGGTACGGGAAGGTTTTTCGCTACTTCCCGCATTATTGGAACGTCTGTCGGCTCCTCGTGCTTGTCGCCCTGTTGGGCTGCTTGTCGCCCTGTTGGGCTGCTTGTCGCCCTGTTGGGCTGCTTGTCGCCCTGTTGGGCTGCTTGTCGCCCGGTTGGGCTGCTTGTCGCCCGGTTGGGCTGCTTGTCGCCCGGTTGGGCTGCTTGTCGCCCGGTTGGGCTGCTTGTCGCCCGGTTGGGTTCCTTTTTGGGCTCTTTGCTTCTTTGGCCGGTTTTATTGTTCCTGCTTCCTCTTTTGGCTACTTTTCTCGTGCAGTAGTCGTGGCTGGCGCCTTCCCGCAGGGAGGGTGTGCGGTTCGGCCAGCGTGTTATGCGCATGCGCCGTGGAGTTTGTTTTGGTCTGGGTGGTGTTTCAGTGCTGGTGTTTTGCGCCCTTTTTGCTACAGTGCTTCGCCTCTCGTTCTTCTCCCTGGCTGCGGTATGTGCCCCTTCGCGCCGGGGGTGTCCTGGTTCCCAGTTGTGGGGAGAACACCGCGGTTTTCCGTGTCATGGGTGTGGACCGCCTCCTTCGCCTCTCCCTGCTCTCCTGCGGGTCTAGCAGGGTCCGGCTCTGGCGTTTCACCTGGCGGTGCTCCCAGGTTCTTCTGGGCACGGTTGAGTCGTGTCAAGTTCGTGCCACCATTCGCCAGGTGTGTTTCTGCGGTCTGGCATCTTTTGGCCGGGCGCTGGATGCGGTGTTGTTTATATACCTGTTTTTATTTAGGTATATTTTTGTACGACTGAGACCGTTCGCTCACCAGTGACTGTCCCTTTTTCAACCCTTCCTGTCCCCCTCATGTGCATGTCCAACCCATGCTGGAGTCATTCGGGGGACCCTCCTTTTTAATGTTGTGAGGTGTGGGGGTTGTAGGGTTGGTTCTGTACTCACCTGGTAAGGCTCCTGGCTGTGCTTGCAGGATTTGAGCTCTGGCTCTTGGGTCCCGCCTATCTGGTAGAACTTGCGGGATAGTACCAGTGGAGTGCAGTGGTGCTATTGGCACATTTGGGGAACACTGTATTACCATCAGAGGTCTGTGCTTGTTACACGACCTACTTGCGAGCATAAGCCTTCTTGCTGGTTCGCCCGTGGACTTCCAGGGCGCACTAGCCTGTTTTCGTATGGCAGTTCCGGCCCGTCCTGGTTGTGGGGGTATGTGGGCCGGTGGACTGCTCCTAGCAGCTGCCTGGTGGGCCACCCTCTAGCCGGTCTAGCCTGGCCTTGGGCCGGGCTTGAGGTGTAACAGCTCCCAGTACCTCATCCAGCAGGTATGAGCGGGGTTTCTCCGCCGTCGGTCGCCTGGTGCAGTTTTCTGGGCCTGCGGGGTTTTGTGTCTCCGTAGGCCCTGTCTGGGGTCTGCCTGCTCCGTTCTCTGCCTTTGCAGAAGGGAGTTGCTATTTACATGTTGCATGTTGCAGTGGTGCCTGTTTCTGCTGCTGCACGTGTGCATTGGTACAGTGTTTCACGGTGGCGTGTCCTTGTTCCTGTGTCCGGTTGTGGAGTGGCACTTTGCTGCCGTTTTGTGCCTGGGGATTGCGTGGGGGTTTTTCTGTCCCTGCCTGATTGTCTACCCCTGGTTGTTCTCCTGGGGTTTTTGTGCTTGTGCTCTTTCTTCCTGCCTCCTCTGCAGCAGGGATGTTCTGCGTGTGTTCTTAGGCGTTGGTCAGCCTGTGTCCTGTGATGTGCTTCTTTGTCTCGGTCTATTGCAGTTGTTCGTACCCCTTGGTTCGGGTACTGTTCTGGCGGTGACCCTTCCGCCTTCTTTGGTTTCCAAGCTTGCCCTGCCGTTTTTTTTTTTTTTTTTGGGGGGGGGGGTCTTGCGATGTCTCGCGTCGGACCCGTTGTTTCTGAACTCCTGGCGGGCTTGCATGCTTTGGGGAGTTTTTCTGTTCGGCAGACGTTCCATCTCCTTGTGCCGCCTGGGTGTCGGTGGTCGCGCCCGAGATCTTCCCGCGGCTCCGCCTTTTTCCTGGGCTCGGAGGGGCCTTGTCGGGGCTGCTTATGTTCTGCCTCGCGGTCTCGCCTCCGGCTGGTGGTCGGGTGGCTTCGTGGTAGGTGTCCCACCTGCGTGGTTCTCTTGGCGGCAGTATGGGGGTATTTTGGCGGTCCTTCCTTTTCCTGTCCCTTCTTAGGTGGTTACTCTTGTTAGCTTGGTTTACTCTCGGCTTGGTTTTCTGGTGGGGGTTGGGGGCCGTCGTCTTGCCACATACTGTCGCCTCTTTTCGTGCGGCGCGGGCGGAGCCGCTTCAGCTTGCTTTCGGTCTTGGTGTTGCTTCTGCACCGTTAGTCAGCTGTCTTGTGCGTCGTTTCACCTCCGGCCTGTTCGTGCGCCGCTTGCACCATCCTGGTCTCTGGTCAGCGTGCTCTGTCTTC